GAATGCCATAGGCCACCCGTTCTCAGCCACTGCCTATGCCAATATTACAGAACATCCCTGACTGCAGTGCTCACCGGATCGTCGCACGAGTACACACTAATTACTCGTAGTAGACAAACACTTACACGCTGTAGCTGAATAAAGACGTAGAATTTTAGCACGTCAAGCAAGTATGTTGCAATCACGTCAGGCTACCATGGATCCGTGCCTAGTTGATGCGCTATTGGATGTATACGCAAGCACACCGGTATTGGATCCAATTGGAATGGAACATGGCTAGCTGAGACCAAGGAGTGCTTTGCATATGTCAACTACCAGCCCGGTTGAAAGATGTTTGCTTTTCGAAATAGGTTGTTCGAGCCATTCTCTGTTTCAGCTGTTCCCTATACTTGAGGCAGGATGACTTCACTTTGGACTTTAGAGGTCGATTTTCTTTCCTTTTTTCGATTTTCGTTTTGTTTATTGTATTCTTGTACCCGATATATGTTAGAGTGAAAGATAAGGCAGCTCTATGAGTCCGAGAGCATGGAAACCAAACCCCTCTCAAAATTTTTTTTTTCTTCTTGTCGGTGTGCATTATCTAGGTACATACATACTACATACATATAAATGTGTGATGGTTCATTGTGACGGGAGATAAAGAAAGAAGATAAAGCCGAGTGACCAATCGATCGACCACCGCTTTAGTCTTGGCGCCAACGACCGCTTGGCTGGCAAGTCCGTCTTCTCCCAGCGTCGTAATAACAAGCTGTACAATAGCACCAGTTATTTCCTGTGAGAAGATGGCTTCGAAAAAGGACATGCGCAGGTTGGACCTCGGTACGTTAATTTCACCACCCATTCCCTTCTTGTCTCATTCATGACGGTGAAAACGCAGTCACTAATTGCTGTTTTCTGACACTAGCCATCCCCTATGTCGACCCGCCCGCCAACAAGGATGATGCCGATATGTCTGGTATATTAAATCTGCTACATGGATCAATTGGGGAGGAATGCCTTATTAACGCTCTGGTCCAGGCGCAATGACCAGCACCTTGCCCATGGCCGCGGTAGGTTGACATCCGGATTTCTCATGGTTGCGCGCTCCAGGGATGCTGACAGATTTCGTAGATGTTTACCCGTAACAGGTGAGATAGACTACATCTGTTCACATTAATAGGGTCATCTGTCTGACAATCCTTTGATATCCAGGATGATCGGGTGGTAGGTTGCTTTTTCTTACTATCAGCCGTATAGATGTCTAACTGGCTTTCAGGGTCTCATTCGTATTTTCGCTTCAGAACTGGCTCGGCGAAACACCCGATCAGAAAAGGACGGCATCTACTCCCGCGTATATGTCCGTTTTCATGTCATGTTTGTCTCCCACCCCCCTCTAATAAAGGGCAAGATAGATACTAACTTCTGATGCATATAGTGATGGCATTGATTGTTGTACGTCTCAAGTTCCCTAACTATCTGCCTTGCCTAGTGATCGGGTCTGGTACTTACTCATATGGTACAGACATATTTCCCTATATTCATGCCTCCGCCGGCGGCCCCAGCAGGTGCTGCTACTGCTACCCCTTCCCCATGAATAATATCGACTGTGTGGCCTTTGCGATAAAATTGAATTGCGATCCTATACCGCCCCATATATTTATTACCTAAGAAGAAAGGGGGTAGGACGGTTTTGAAGTTCAGGATGATACCCAAACTTCCATGTCCATGCGGTCATCGATTTGCCACTGTAGTACATCGTGATCACGTGGCAATGTATCAATAGTTACTCTAATACAAGTCTTGATATTTTGCTTCTGTTTCTGAGTCATGCTGGTTTTTCATATACTGTGAGATTAGATCTTAATGAGATAATACTGTGATATATAGGAAAACCATACAAGAATACAGGTAATAGTAGATCATCTGGCCGATCAGCTGGATGAAGAGACGCAGATGAGCGGCCAGGGGCTTAGTCACTGATTCACCGCCTTCCCCCACAGAGACGCTAAGTCGGGTCGCGCCCCTCAAAAGGCTCTTTCTTCTTCCTCACTTGTCTTCTCCTCAACAACACCTTCCCAGTCACCCTTCAGCTCTCCTACGAACGCTCGCGATCGCTACAAGTTACAGAGTTTTTACTCTTACCCCTCGCTTTCATACTACAACCGCTTTTAAGGGCCCGTTTCGAGAAAAGGCCGAGTTTATGTCCATCGAAAACCTCAAGACCTTCGGTAAGCCCATTTTGCCACCTCCCCTATGCCCGCTATGACTCCCCCTTAAGGTGGTGATCGCCTTGGACGAGCAAAGTCGTCGCTATAGCAGGTCTATCCGATGTTTTGTATCACGGATCTGGCCTTGATCGTTTGCAGATCGTCTTTCTCTACAGATCAGTGCCGCATGGCATTTTTTGGCGGGGTAATCCTGCTTAGGAGCCTGAGGCTGACACGTGCCCCAAACAGACCCCTTCGCCGAAGCTGACGAAGACACCGGCGAGACCAAGCAGTCTCAAAATTATATCCATATACGGATTCAGCGTATGTCCTCCATACTCTCCTCTCTATCTTCTGGATTTTCTATTCCCTTTTATCAGTTGAATCGCTCTACCTGCCCTTGGAACTTGTTACTGATATCGCTCCTTACCAGAGCGCAATGGTCGAAAAACCTTGACTACCGTTCAGGGTCTTCCTAAGAAGTTTGACCAGAAGAAGATCTTAAAGGTGATCAAGAAGAAGTTCGGTAAGTTCCTACTGCGCCGCTACCGTATAATCGCAAGGACTTCCCCTACTAACAGATGTACAGCCTGCAATGGCACCATCGTCGCTGATAGTGAGATGGGCGAGGTGATTCAGCTGCAAGGTGATCAGCGTAAAGATGTTCAGGAGTTCTTGACCGACAAGAAGGAGGGTCTCGAGCTGGATGCCAAGACTATCAAGGTCCACGGTTTCTAAAGGAGACGCCGCGCCCCGTTCCGATCCCTTCTTCCCAGTCTACTTTGCCCTCGGAGTGGTTGGATAGAAGGCATGTATCGCCTATCCTTCGTCTTAACTCTGCATTGCACCCTACGCAATTGCAGCATCTAGGTGGTTCGGTTAAGCTTCTTGTCTTTTACCTTCAACCCTCTGTGCCCGGCGTACTGGACCTGGGACCTCTGTCGTTATTATGCACTGTCTAATTTGATCCCTACCAATTGCGACACGCGATTGATGGGAGTGGGTCCTTTGTGGGCTCGACTGCTATACTCGGAATGGGATTATGACGGAACGAGGCGTTGGTAGATACCCAATATATGCATAGATGTTCTTCTGTTTCTTACCTCATCCCTGTCGTTACTCGGCTTGGAGGAAATACGTGTCGGAAGGTCTCTCGTCAGATGGATGTTATGGAGGGTTGCCTGGGGTGCGAAGGCCAATCTCTCGTTTGCACTTGCGTTCTACGTCTTCCACATGTTGTTTCTGAACTTGTCCTCACAACAGTCATTTTCAGAATAGGATGTATGCAATGCGATTTGCAATCTGCAGTGGATCTTTTGGTTACCAATAGGAATATATGTAATGGTTTTCGCGAGTAACAGATCAGAAAACTAGGCCAAGGCTCTTCATTGCTTGCGCAGTATTTCACATAGTAACCCGTTTCCCAAGGAGCATCAATCACAACTCGCGCGCCCCAACTCGATCATCCGCCACACGCATGCGAAGGAATATCGTAACAGCCCAGTCCCATAATTTCCGAGTGATAACAAAGACAGGGACCTCCGGTTCGTTTTCTCGGGTTAGATGTAACTGAAGCAGAAGTGAGGACATGCTCACAAAACTCGCAATGGAAACAACTAGTAGAGCAGCCGCCGTTTCGCGCTTAATCATGGCGTGGTTTTGGGTGGCATGGTAAAGGAACGTGAGAGTCTCCATGGGGTAAGCAACATGTCAGTCATTCCTCATTGCAGCGGAGTGAGTGGCAGACTTACAGTTGTGATGGATATCCAGGCCGGAAGGAGAAGGCGCGGATCTGAAGATGCACCCGAAAGGTAGAGGACCCATGAAGATATATAAGCAATCAATCCGTTGGTAGTAAGGAGACGAATAACAACAGCCGGTGGGGTATAATTCAAAAGCCTGTAGAATGAATGTCAGTCTCAGACTGGGATATAGATTTAGAGGGGCTGAGACACAAACTCACCATCGAGACATCATACAATCGGCAAAGAAATACGAAAGATAAGCAGATGCACAGCACTAGGGTAGGCTTTCTGTTAGTTCACTGTTTCGTCAAGATGGTCTTATGCGTGGACGTTGGGATTTTCATGGGATCGCTATCCCCGTAGACCTCCCGTCAGAGAGGCTCATACATACCCACATAATCGCCAGGGCCACCTCAGTCACCCTGAATCTTCTTTCAACATCCCACTCTTGATTGATACTATCGACAATCGCCGCCGTCCACCCCTCATGCCCCATTCCCGCCTGTATGTGGAGCAATTCAGCCAGGAAGGTGAAGGCACACCGGAGCCCCCACCATGCTGCGGGCACCGTGCTCAGTGCCCGACAGATCAGGAGAGGGAGGTACCATTTCCGGTCTACTCCCAATATGACAGCCACTCGCGGATGCAAAGCGGAGGGAACCGTTGCGTGACCGGAATCATTGCTGTTGGGGATCTGGGGTGTAGAGGATTCGTGGGACGACGGGACGATAGCAGCAGCAGCGGCTGGGGAAGCCACGTCTTTTTCGTAGGCGTCCGCCGGGAAGTTCGAGATTGAGGCTAAGAGTTGCGAGCGCAAGTCCGGGTCGAGAGTACTCAAACGAGCAGCTTCAGGGGGGTATCGGGCGTGGGGAGAGAAGGGCGGGGGAGCATCACGAGGAGGAGCCAGCCTTATGATACGGCATATGCGGCCGTTGCGCAGAAGGATTGAGAAACTGGCGAGAAAGCAAAGACTGGAAGTGATAGGAGTCAATCCTATCGAGGACTATCCCGTAAACAAGGTCGGTTTCTATCGGCGAAGATGACGGGTTGTTGACAACAAGTCGGATTCCGAGCAGCACAGCACAGCGCACAGTCAGCGACGAGACGACTTCATATGCCAGCGATAGATCCGTCCTTTAGGAAGCTGCCGATAAAGTCGACGCCATGACCTAGCGTGCGAATCAGAGAGAGCACGGCTGGCCGAACGTTCTGAGAAATGACGGGCGGAGTTGATATCACGTGAGTCATCCCGTCGGGATTTCTTTTGCGGTCTTGATCATTGGTTCTCTTTGACTCGACTCTCAATTCGTTCTGCTCGAGGTTCTCGTGGCCTTACTTCACAATGGCGTCCTCGCTGTCAAAGGGGCCCGTCTTTACGGCCGTCCGCTCCAATAACGCCGTTTTCCAACTGTACTCCTGTCAATGCCGGTTTCTTTCGCAGTCGTCCCATCGCAGTGCCATGCGGGGGATTCCCGAAAACATTTCCATCAAACAACCAGCTCAACCAAGTATGGCGACGAGGGGGATGGGTCTGTCAAGGTCTGAATTGCCTCAGGATATTGGGTTGCTGCCAGGCACATACGTTCGCCCGCTCTGGAGGGATATGCCTTCGATCTTTCAACAACCGCGGGAGCGTCTGCAATTGGAGTGGCTTTGGTTGAAATCGGGATTCCAGAATTTCTTGGGGTATGCCGTTGCCTTTCACTGTTCGTTGTATTCTCGTCTTTTACGATAACCGAAAACGCGGAGCACCGCGATGCGCGGAAGTGATCTACTAGGATGGGTGCAAGAAACTAACTGGCGGACAGTCTTGTCGCTTATTGCAAATGGTTTAATTCTGGGTTACCGCTCCGTCTGAAGGAGCGTCGGCAGGCTGCTCGTGAGCTCCACCAGCGCATGTACTCTGCGTTCGCTAAGTAAGTTCTACCCAATCCACATGCCGCGGGCTGGTGAGATCCTGATCATGCCATCCGTCACACAGGGGAGACATCAGTACCCTGCGCAAGGTCTGCTGCACCGGCCTTGCCAACAACCTTTCCTCCCGTATCGCCAACCGCCCCAGGGATGAGAAAGTCAGCTGGTCTCTTGACAAATACAACCGCACTCCAGCAACTCTTCTCACCGGAATCCGTGTGTTGTCGGACCGTGCTACTCAAATCCCCGAGATCCCCGATTCTGGAGTGCGACAGGTCGTGGTGCGTATCACAAGCAGACAGTCTACTGGGAAGTCCAAGGTGGTCAAGACGGGCAAGTCTGAAGTCTCCGTCGAGTCTACCGCTCCGCCCAAGCAACAAGACTGCACCGAATACATTGTTCTCCAGAAGCTTCGGTGGTATGGCGAGGACGAGGACTGGCGCATTTGGGGCCACGCTACGCCTACCACTGTGGAAGACCTCGCCAACCCCATGTTCGTCTCCGGACTGACGTTTGCAGAGCGTATGGAAGCCATGAAGGAACAGTTTCAAGGAAAGAAATAAGCCCCATCATACGCAGAAATCACGCCAATAGCTGTATAACGAGCCCCTAATGGCTAAGAGGTAGAGCCCAGACTCCTGGCACTCATCTCCAGAATGAGCGAGAGGCATGTCATTGCCTCGTCACGACGTACAAAAAGTGCCCTGGCTTTTCGTTGAGAATGTCATCTCACTTCATCTTTCCCCCTTACAGGATCATGCTGTGCCTCTGACAGCCAATTTCGATTCTACCCGTGTCTTAAAACTACCCCATGTTCCCGGGTTTTTGCATTCTCACCATGTATTCAGCGGGCTCTCGAAGGACTTCGCATTGCCACACTTCATCATTTGTACTATATCCGGTTTTTGCTGTCATTTTCCAACTTGTAATTATCCAACAGGCTTCGTCAATTCAATCATAGAAAGAACGTGACATGATCAAAACCGAACTGAAGACGACTTGATTGCGCTAAATCCACTAGAATTACATTATAGGCAAGTAATGATATCTCATCAGGATATTTCACCGGTCCAAATATCACTATATACATACGTTAGAAAAAGGAGGTTGGCTTGCAAGGCAAGGCAAACGAAGAAAGATGGCCATGGCCTTTTGTTCTCGAGGCGCAACTAATCATCATCGAAGATCTGGAAAGTGTTCAAAAGAACCGTCTCTATAACCCGGACTTGCCAACCAGCGTCGGCGACATTGCCGCCGGAATTGGCACCCATAAGAGTAGGTCTAATAGCAAAATATATGGTTAACTTTTGTACGGCCCCTGACAGGGTGAATACGTTGACTTACCCGAAACAGATGGCAATGTTTCCTGCGTTCATACGGTTTTGGGTGTAATGTTCTTGCACCTTATGGAGATGCTAAAATCAAGCAGATTAGACTTTGGACTGTACAGAGCATGGGACTGAGAACATACCAGGGTCAAGGCTCTCAGTGTGGCGTAGTGTGCGTCGGGAAGATTATTTACAAGCGCATGAAGTGAGTCTCGACGCTGAACATCATCGTCAATGCCTGAAGCAGATGTCAGTACGATAAAGAAGGTCCTGAATCTAGGAGTTAACAGCTTACGGGCTGCGTTGATGAAGTCAGCATAAGACTGCGATGTGAACAGAGGGTCAGGCAAATCTCTAAAGAACTGCTTGAGTAACCCAGCAACACTGTTTACGTCATGATAAAAGTTTTCCGGGGTTGTGAAATCGACCTGCGCTGAATCTGATGACGAAATGTTAGAGCAAGATCTCTACATCTATGAGACAAGGGCTGGCCCACCATTATCGAAAAGTTGTTTCATCTGATTGATATGATTCGCACTTCCGGAAAGTCGATAAATGCCCTCCATATCCAGGCCAAAAAGTTCAATGGCTTGGAAGCATTGGTACACAATCATTGGAACGGCGGTTCCATCTCTCAAATACAAATCTTCCAAAGAAACCCCAAAGACTGGTTTCAACGGGGGAAGGTGCTGCTGGAAGTTGCCTCCAGTTCCTCCAGCTGGTGGCAACGGGGTCGGTGCCGCTGCCAGGGATGGCGGATTTAAGGGCTGCTTTTCCGGCACAGCGGGACCTTCGCTCACTGGATAAGGCGGCTGGAATGTTGAGGATGGGTAAGAGTCTGGATTGTGCGGGTAAGACGACTGCGGAGTGTTTGGAACGGGAGCTGCAGCTGGTGGTGCTGGTGCGGGAGACTGTTGCGAAGACTGAGCCGGAAGATGTTGCTGGGAATATGACTGAAGCAACATTGACGAATTGCGTTTGTTTTGTGTACTAGTCTGAGAGGCTGGGACAACAGGCCCAGTAGTACCTCCAAGCGTCTGATGGCAGGGGTTAATAGATAGAGAGAAAGCTGGGGCTTATGGAACTTACCGGATGGCGTTCATACTTAATCTGTTCTGAAGTTACCGCCCCGGGATTATTCTGATGGCTTAGCACATAATCGCGGTAGTCTTTGTCATTATCAATCTGATGGATAACTTCATAGAGACTCTTCGGTGCGGTGGCAGCATTCCCCGCACTATCTTTCAGGGGACTGATAGATAATCCCTGACCCAGTAGAAGTTTCTCGTTAAAAGTTGCTAAGCACAGTCAGTAATGAAACCGTGGCGTCATGGATACCGAAAAGGTATAAGCGTACCGAATTTCTGCATCTGCAACGTAAGGCCAGAGTCACATTCCGAGATCAATTGCTGGATGTTGTGCACAGCTTGAGGTCGGTGGGTGGAAACCAACTCCTGCCGGGCCGCTTGGGCCGCTTGTACTTTGGACGCATAATCCGAGTCTGCATTTTGGACCTTGCGGAACAGCTCTTCCTCATGCTGAGCGGCCGACTTTGGACCCTTTAGACCAAACTTTCCACCCTGCTTATCTCCTGTCTTTACCCGATCGTATTGCTCCGCAAGCGATTCGTATTTGGCCTTCGCTTTCTCCGCTGCTGCCTCTGCCTCCAGCACTCTCTTTTCCGCACTCAGGCCGGTTTGTTTCCACTGCTTGCGACCTCGCTCAATATTTGACGCTAACTCGTGAAGATTATCAGCCATCTGCTGCAGGGACACCGCGAACTGCAGTCCATGATCCGCCATGCGGTCATGAAATCGACTCAGGTCATTATGGCTCTGGCCATAGGTACCTTGACGGTTATCGGTGCGGACGGAGGCATCGAGGAGAGAGCGGGACAATTTTCGCAAGCCTTGAGCATGCTCCTCTTCCAGAGAAGATCGCTTCTTAAGGAATGTTGAGAAATCCTGGATTTTCTGTGGTCAGCACGATGGCAACATTAAGGGGTCACCGATCCGTGGACGAACCCTAGCCGAGGCGACGCTTTGTTTCAACCGGGTCAGGAGGGTGGTGATACCGATCTATGTGATACAAGTTCCAATCAGTAACCTAGCCTTTCAATGATTGAACTTAATGGACGATTATTTACATCTGAGTAAACAACTTTGTCCATACGAGCCTTAAGCTCATCTGAGATCGCCGAGTGGCCGGCGGAATCAGCACTTGCTCGTGGCGCATCGGCATCTCGCGGGGACGGCGCAGAAGGCGCAGGGCCATCGTGGAGACTGACGTCTGCCATAGAGAATAATAATACGGGTAGCGAACGATAGAGGAAACGGCCAGTGTACCGGAAGTAAAAAGAGAGAACTGAAGTTGGTTTTGTAGATCGCGGAAGCCTAATGATAGTTTCAATGGATAACGTAAGTTGGTGTTGGTAAAGCAGCTTGGAAGCATACGGAGTAATGGTTGGGCGGTGGGGGGTGGAGGCAGAATATAGTACCTAATTTAGGTAAATGGCGGTTCAGGTACCAAAATTCCTCCCAGAACACCTTACGCTTCTCGGCTTAGTGGCGCAGTTTTTAGCTGGTGTGGCAGTGACGGCGACGTCATTAGGCTTCAGTGTTCTGTCCATTCCCGTGACTTTGGGTGGATACTAGACAACCGTCTGAGTACACGGTACTTTGTACTCCCAGTGATGCATTTATTTAATTCTTGACTCGGAGTAAATTCAATCTCCAGCATAGATCCATGTTCATATCTGTAGAAGGTTGACGATCTTGAGAGCTGACTGCTAAAGTGGTGTATAGTTCTGATGTCCGTTTTGGCATGATTCTTTGTATCATAGCATGGATGAATGGTGGTGATACGTAATGGGTACCATACTAAATACACTGTATAGTATCATAATATGCCCAGTGATCAGTATGAAGAGAGGAACTGGAGACCGCAGGTTAAATCAGGTGCACGCAGACCTTAGTACTGTTGTACTAAGGTTACTCTGGAGAAATGCCTCAGGCCAGTGATGAGTCAGCCTGTCAGCAACCTCCGAGTTTCGCGACACTTCAACACCTGAACTTTTCTTCCGATTTCCGGAACGTAACCTGGTTCCTTGACCGTTTCCCTCTTCGTTTCGCATGTGTCAATGGGCCCCGCTGTTCCATACCGGCGGGCGACGTCTGATTTATACTGATGGACCTGGAGTTCCGGGGTGTCATGGCACCGCATGGACTGCCTACACATGCGAGTCTCTTAACGCCTTCGGGCACTCCCAGCGACCTTCGGAACAACCCCAGAATGCCCCGGCCCGTCACAAGTTTCGATCTATCAGCCAGGAGTTCGGAACCTTGCGAAATGGAGAAGATTCCCCCAATCACGGGGAAGCGCCGGGGTGGTAGTAGAAAGGCTTGTAATGAGTGTAAGCAGCAAAAGGTAAGCCTGCATCCACCACTTCACTCCTCTAGCCCATCTGCCTCAAGATAGAATAAGCGTATCGCGCCTCCTAATTCTGGCCTCCACCGTCGTTGCGTACTCTATCTCCATCACGAACCACTGGCTAAACATGGGGATTCGCACACCGTAGTTGCGGTGTGATATTGTACAGACGCCCGCCGCAGCGTGCTCACGCTGTCGGCGACTTCAAATAGAATGCAAGGTCGAACCTAGCTTCAAGCGCATCTCGAAAAGAAGGTAAAACTTAACCATCGGGCCCAAAGTCAAGCGAATCCTGCATGGCTGACTGTGCTTCAAACAGGCGTAATGCAGAGATGGAAAAGGAGATCGCAGAGCTACGTCGACGACTGGCTACTTCTGCTGAACCTCATGGCGTGGAAGCAACAGTCAGCGACGAGCTATCCCCATGTTCAGAAGAGGTGTTCTGTGGCCCTGATTCGGCCGTTTCGAACAGAACACGAACGCTATCTGCTCCGCTGGAAGCACAGCCCTTGGCGACCCCGTTATCCATCCAGAGGGGTGCCTCCATTATGTCCCAGGAGGACAATATGTGGAGATTGGAAGATGTTTCACTGTCCCGGCCAAGAGTCGCACGGTTATTTGAACAGTAATCAGTTCCCTCCTTGGATTCAGGCCCCTGTCAACCCTAACAACAGGTCAGGTACTTTAAATACTATCATCCCTTCCTACCGCTTTTGAATCCCCAAAAGCCTCCCGAAGAGTATCTTCGTCGTTGCCCCCTGCAGGCATGGACGATTCTCTGCGTCGCAAGTCGAAGGGCTCCATCAGAGCCTGGACTTCTCACTGCACTCTCTGGCCCCTTTAATCGACTCCTGTGGTCAACGATTACCGGAATTCCGCAGGACTATCGTGTGGTGAAAGCTCTTTGTCTTCTCTGCACGTGGCCGCTCCCCACGACAAGTCAAATAACCGACGCGACCTTTATGCTTAGCGGACTGATGATGCAGATTGCCATGCAACTGGGATTGCATCGGCCGGTGCAACCGGAGGAGTTCACAACCTTCCGGATGGAAGTCCAAGGGGAGGCTGTAAAAGATCGAATACAAACATGGGCGATATGTAATATTGTAGCTCAGAAGTAAGTCATCCTGTTCTACACGGATACATGTAGCGCTAACTCTCACTGCACTAGTGTTGCTACTGGCTACGGGCAACCGCCTGGCACTATCTACGACTGGGCGCTCGAGCCAGCGTCTCTCCAAGACGCGGATTATCACCCTTCCCATGACCTTCAAACTCGATTGCGAATCGAGAAGTTCTGTGATCGAGTGACGAAGTCATTGTACAGCAGTAAACCTGAACCCGCGGAGTTTATTAGCTCTGAGAAGTTGTTGATTGTGCAGCTGTTGGAAAATGAGCTGAGAGACATGGAGGTCGATCTTGGCCGAGATATCTCTAGTAAGTCTCGTCTGCGCCCCTTCGTTCTCGAACGAGGTCTAATATGGTCTCCGTTAGACATCAACATGATCCATCTACGAGCAGCTGAGCTGCATTTGCGGTACTTTGTATTTTTAGGTTCTAACCCACGAAGTGACGATTTAACGAAACTTTTCATTGCCACCACGTCATTCCTTGGACGAGTATTAGATCTCGAAACATCTCCTGGGGAGCTGATTGGCCATGCGACTAATTATATTCTTCAAATGATCGTATCCGCTGCGTTTGCCCTGATGAAGTTGTTAAAAAGTGACTTTAGTCGCCACATTGACTTCGACCACGGGAAGCTTCTGTTCAATGGTGCCATTTCAGCCATCCGGCGGATTAGCGTCATGGATCACGACCGTCCGGTGCGCCTGGCCGATATTTTAGCTCAGATGTGGAATGCGGGGGGCTCCGATCCCAGCGGAGAGGAGGCTTTACTGCTGAAGGTGCGCTGCCGAATGAGTATGAGCCATGTCTATGATACCGTTTGGCGTTGGCGGCAACGATTCCGGCCGGTCAAGAGCGTCGAAGATGCTCAAGGTATGTCTTCTTTTTTCCTTCTTCTTCGTACCTGTAGCTTATTGGTGCAGCTTCTCTAGCCAACCCGAACCTGTCGGCGACGGCTGGCCCTGTTTCTCGACAGGACGATTCGCTGGAGGACCCCGGGCTGATGTACGCGCCCAACTTCGACCAAAATGGAGCATTTATTAGCGATGTCGGATTTTCCGAGGTGTTTGATTCTCTCAACTGGGTGTTTGACGGAATTCCGGACTCGTTTGTTGCTCCTCCCGTTATGTAGACGCACTTGTACCACCATCTGGGCGGCAGGTTCCTTTGATCCCGATCACATTTCAACGTAAGAGGGAGAACCAAAAAGAAAAGTTCATTGTGGATACCAGTTTCATTGTATATACTTTTTTAGCTAGATATTCAATGCGATCGCAGTTGGGGATCCAACCGCATTCATACACAACACATACCAAGTTTGTTAGTCATCGCGCAGGGATGAATCGAATCCCCCGCATATCCTGTCGGTCAACCATGACATCCCTTTTGCTTCCTGCATGGCCTGGATCATCTTTCGTACATATTATCGATCAGATTGGCAATCCCAGTAACTGACCATCGCAAAATGGCTTCTGAAGAGGTGAATGTGGTGGCCATCATGTACCCTAAGCCCGGCAAGCATGACGAAGTAAGTGAAGTCCCCTTCCCCTTCGCCACTACGGCGTAACATATACTATGTATTGCTTTTCAGGATGCATCCGACTTTCTCTTGAGAGAATTTGACCGCTGACAAGGAATAACGTCACTAGCTCTCAAGTCATATCTCGGAACTCACCCGCCAAGTACATGCCACCGAACCCGATACGTTAGTTTACTATGCCTTTTCTATAAAAGATGGAAATGAGATAATGGTCGTGGAAAGGTATGTTTGAACCTCGGTGGCCAGTCTGAGGCCCGATGGCTCATGGACGAACAGGTACAGAAACCAGGATGCACTCCACATGCATCTGCTCAGTCCATATTTCCAGGAATTCGGCAGCAAAGCGGCTGGGCTGATGGAGCGGCCGTACGATGTGAAGGTTGGACATGGGATTCTTCCTTCCTCGGTTGGCGTTACTCGTGTTCAGTCATAATCCTTCTTAATGTTTCTTTCTTTCTTTCTTTTTTTTTTTTTTGTCTTTTTCTATTTATGTTCCCTATTCTGTATTTCTGTCTTTATTCTCCAACAGGGTTATATTTCTTTTGTCTTTTGGTTAGTAGCAGTATAGTGATGGTTGACTCGCCAGTCGATAGACAGTACTATAATGGAATGATGATATAGTCGCTACTACGTATTCTTTTACGGATGCGATAGACCCGAGGGATCATCCAAATCGTAATCCGATTGAGCGCCACCTGTAGGGCCATGCATACTTGGCTTGCATGATATCACACCAGGATAGAGGCATAAATGCGGAGACTCCAACCAGTCGCAAACAATGGATGGGATCTAAAAATACCGATTGGGGAGGAGGTTTCGTTTTTTTGGTGGCGGTCAATGCAGCCACTGCCAATGGTGGCTACCATCCGGTTGGCTTCTTTTTCTTTTCTGTTCTCTATTTTTCTTTTTTCTTTTGTTTATGGGATTAGAATTAGAGCCCTTGAATGCGGCCCGGTAGGGTTATAAATTATGTATCTTCACTTGTTTTCTGTTTTGATAGTGACGGAGGCTAAAGGAATTAGGATACGGTACGGTAATGCTTTAATGCTGGGACGTATGGATGTACATACTAGTGCATAAGTACATACATACATACAGTATGAATCTATTTTGTTTTCTACGATAAGAGACAAGAGGGAACTAGTTTGTTAGTTAGTTACTATGGTAAGTGTTATGTAAGTCTGTCATGAACGACTTTTGGTACCGCCCCTGAACCAAACTTCCTCAACAACTGTACCTTGGATGTCGGCGAGGAAGTGCAGGAATTGGCTATAATTATAGTAAGGGCCACAGAAAGACAACCAGAATGAGGCGCGATTCGAGGAGAACGCAGATGGAGAGGTAGAGAACGATTGCCAGTCAGCATACAGGAAGAGACCGCGTCCAAGTACCTAGTATCATACTGTAGGGACCTAACCAGGCTAACAAACTAAAAGTTGGTTTAGTGCTTCCAAAATCCCCAGCCGACTCGACCTTAAGCAACAACCGTGTAGTCGCCTCGGACTTTCCCATATCATTGGCGCTTAATCACCAGCCATTCAGTGTTGATTTTCCCTGCTATCGATTGAAGGATGATTTCGATTTAGGGGTGATTTGGGGCTCAGGCAAACCAGCCGAGGAAGGAAAATCTGATATTCGCGTCATAATATCGGAGAAAGCAATATAGTTGGCTGGATAGGATTGAATTGATGGAGTTGATAGATTAATTAATTAATTAATTCTGGATTATTATTATTTATTTCTATTTTTTGTATTTTCCACTTTCCATTTTTGATTTTTGATTTTTTTTCCCTCTTTTCTTGAATACCTTAAAATTCAGGTGAGCTATCGAAAGCTCTCTCTCTCTCCCTTTACGTTGGCCCCGAACTTGTTCCCCCTCCTCTCTCGTCTTTCAATTGCCCCCTCTCGGTCTTCTTCCCTTCCCAGTTTCTCCCTCTCCCTCTTATTCTCCTTGAACTCTCCGCACTCCCATTCGCTGTCTACTGCATTTGGCGGTCGTTCTGGTTCAACTTCCCTTTCTTCACCGTCTCTCTTCTTCATATTTCTCTATTTGTCTTCCCATCGTATTTGATTCTCTTTAACCTATTCATCGATTCCATAGCGTCTTGCGATTCGCCGTGTTGAATATCGATCTATTCTCCCCTCTGCGCTTTGTCCGATTTGCAGATACCCGTCCACGGTCCACGTTGCTTTTCCACCGCCAACAACCCGCCTACTTATAACGCCCTGACTGTCGTCCAGTTGACTGTTCGCCCGCTGCGCATCTCTTATCGCTGCAATTGCCCCTTTTGCCTCCATATATTGCAGCTTCTGAAAGAATGGCGACCGGTCCCGCTACCCAATCTTTGAAGGTCAGCACTCGCCAGCTCCCCCGTAGCTTATCTGTCGATCGATCACACCGCGACTAATAGACGACCATGTATAGTGTGTAGTCACTGGTGACGGTGCTGTTGGAAAAGTAAGTCAAAGCTCTTTCTATGGTGATTTCTAGTCCATTCGTCAACTCCATCGGCTAATCCTGGACCCAACCAGACATGTCTCCTGATCGCCTACACAACCAACGCTTTCCCTGGGGAGTATATACCGACCGTGTCCGTGGCCCTCTCTTCCCTATATCTGTCTGAACCGAACCCGTGGTTGACCTGGACCCCAGATTTGACAACTACACCGCTAGTGTGATGGTAGATGGCCGACCGATCAGCCTAGGACTCTGGGATACTGCTGGACAGGAAGATTATGACCGACTTCGCCCGTTGTCCTATCCGCAAACCGATGTCTTTCTTATCTGTTTCTCCATCGTCAGCCCTCCGTCGTTCGACAACGTCAAAGCTAAGGTGCTTACTCCTTCCAAGCGACCCTCGTGGAACACTCGCCCCCCGGGGTCGATTGCGTCCAGCCTAACTAACCTTTGTGCAGTGGTTCCCGGAGATTGAACACCACGCGCCCAATGTCCCCATTATTCTGGTTGGAACGAAGCTCGATCTGAGAGACGACCCAGCAATGACAGACGCCCTTCGTCAACGAAAGATGGAACCGGTTTCCTACGAACAAGCCCTCGCCGTTGCTAAGGAAATCCGTGCACACAAATATCTCGAATGTTCGGCTCTGACACAGCGTAATCTGAAGAGCGTCTTCGACGAAGCTATTCGGTAGGTCGGCCCACGCCAACGCAAGACTCGGGGTTCTGAGGTTAACTTGCCTGGATCTAGTGCTGTTCTCAATCCACGACCCGCCACGAAGCCGAAGAAGACCAAATGTTTGATTCTGTAGATCGATTCTTATAATTTTCCTCCGACTATAATATAAAGAACTAGTACGGCGTCTGGGTTGTTGGGGAATCTATCCCCTATGATGACAATATCTTTCAATTCTCTTGTTCCTTATTCACTGGCTGCATTTTTCCATCCTTGGCTCGAAGCTACGATTTTGATGTTGTTTTGGGAGCCCAGATGCTCTGACCCGTCATCTCTTTTACCTCTGCTTTAATACAGTATAAAGATGTAACACGCCATACAATATCATGCAATGAATGTCGCTTGATGGGGTTGTTATTTGCTGTTTCTTTCCTGTTTGTTTTTCTTTCGGTTCTTGTCTCGGGTGGTTGGGTCTCATAAAGGGACGTAGTGACAACCATGCATGCTGCGGGTGTGATTGCGATGCATGCATCTTAGCGAGCGGTAGTCATTTGGAAATGGACGATTATGCATTCGAAGTCGTTTTGCTTTTTCATTCCTGTCTTACGCATTTCACCTAGCATCCGCTGGAAGAAAGAGAACGGAAAGGATATCTCTATAAACAGAACACAAAAACAAACACTTTTGACAGATCAAACATGAGCCTATATGGAATCGAGGACGGGAGTCACGGGGGAAGGAGGAAACTATGCCATGCGACTCAGTCGGCTGGGGTGCACACCCGCATATTCGTCAACGCCAGTTTCTTCAACCTTGGTTTTCCTGTCCTTCTCCTGTTGGATGGACTTGGCGTTGCGCTGCCTTTCTTCGAAAAGCTTCTTGTTCTTCGCTTCGATCTTGGCTTTGCGGTTCTCGTTGTTACCACCGCCACCAGCACTGGGAAGAGGGTCAGTAAGATGTACAGTAGACCGGAATTAGTCCAGAACGGATGCTCACGTCAATTCAACATTGATCCTCCGGGGCGGGTACTTCTTATCATCGAACATCGAGTGGTGATACAGCTTGAGGCAGGTCTTCATGCGATCGTAATTATCGAACTCAATGAAGCCGAACCCACGGCACTTGGTCGGTTTGTCTATCTGAGTAGCAACACGTACGGAGACTGGGGCAATCTTTTCGAAGTGGGCGGACAAGGACTCATGGTTGGCAGAGTAGGGCAGATTTCCTAGCCAAGCACATTAGGAATGATGGGATACTCATGGGGAGGGACTGGCCGAACGCACCGACAAAGCAAATGAACCGGGAACCTTTCTGCTTCGGGGCGTCATTCTCAGCAGGTTCAGCGTGAGATTGCTGCCCGTTGGACTCCGGCTGTTGCTCCTGGGCCTCGGCCTTCTTCTTTTCCTTTCTGGCCTTCTTTTCCTGCTTCGCCTTCTCTTTCCGTTCTTTCTTCTCCTGGGCCTTCTTATCTACCTTGTCCTCGCTCCCCTCGGTTGGCTTCTCATCCACATCCATTGCATCGGCGGTTTCCTGCTTCTCTTCCTCGGCACCGTTTACCTCCGGCGCATCCCCCTCGCTCTCCTCCTTCTTTCCTTTCTTTTCCTTCTTTTCTTTTTTCTCCTTCTTTTCCTTTTTCTCTTTCTTGTCCTTCTTGTCCTTCTTCTCTTTCTTCTCTTTTTTCTCCGATTTGATCTGCTCCTTCGCGCCGGTATCCTCCACCTTCACATCTTCCACGGTGTCCTTCGACTTGCGCTTCTTCTCTTTCTTCTCCTCGCGCTTTGCCTTCTTTCCCTCGGGCTCAATGGCCTCCTCGGGGTTGTTTTCGACGATCTTGCGCTTCTTGTCACCCATGTTGTTTATAATGGTCCCGTGAACTGGAATGAAAGTAGAAGGCTGAAAAGTAAGATATAATTTTATAGTCCTGAATATACCAACAACAGAAAGACCAGAGAAGAAAGGAAACTCCCCAAAGAATGTAAAGATAATAACGATGAGGGGGAAAAAACCGTATCAAAAGTTGGGCAAATTTGGAAATTTGCTTTTTTTGCCGGGCGGAGATTGTTGGGCGGTGTGAGGTAAGTTGTTTGTTTCACATGTTCCTGATCTATGCCTTAGGCACTCAAAAAGCAGAAGTATAGAAAGATATGAAGATAGCCTCAAGAGGACTAACAATACTGTGCCTTGATCAAGAATCCAACTATACCTTTTTTTTTTTCTTTTCTTTTTTGTATATTTGTCCTTATGCTATATCAGGCATAGTATCAGCAAAGCAGCTAAGATATACACCTCGTCTCTAGTTGTGCAGATGCACCTGTGTTGTATATACTATTTGTCTTAGGATGCCCTTCACCGTCGAGGAAGGCGCCGCCACCAGAATAGTGCATTCAATTTCAACAGGACAACAGCTGATCCTCTTCAGAATCCTAAGATATCCAGGCCCTAAAGGTCTCTTTCAATTCTCTCTTGGGGATACCCAAATCCTGAGTGAGCCCATGTAGAAGCTGAATCAATAATAAGCATGGAAATAAGCCAAAATATACGGTAAAATACTTAATATCGAAGTAGAAGATCAGGGTGTGCGGTATTCATCGTTCCTTTATACTGGTATTAAAAATCCATGATGAATTTACAGTTTCGTCTGTTTCACCATATATCACTTGCACATACCAATGGTTTATCTATATAGCCCTAGTCTAGAGGTGAAACAATAGTCATGACGGGGGTGCGTACTACTGTGCGTCTATTTCCGACTTATCCGATCTATAAACCGGCCTCTTCGAGCTGTATTCAAGCGATGTGATACATATATATTCTTACTAAATAGATGTCTAGGTAGTTAGAATCCAGGTTTATGTCAGAACCGCCTCCGAGTCCATGTCTGCTGCCAACTCCAATGGGATCTTGAACTAGTCCGCAGCCGCATTAGCGTAGTCCTCTAATAACCCAAGGTAGTCCTCGGACCGTTGTATGTCTATAATATGGAGACGCCGAGGATATTTCCCATTCCGAGGGGTTTAAACACTGTGCTCGCTCGCTAGACCGGAGCACAGACGGCAAGCTGCTAGCAGGAGGGGTCAGCGACAGCAGCGTCCGTGTCTTGAACCTATACACGGGGGAAGAGAAGACTTGTTGAGGTTAAAATTTGACAACTGCCTGATGAAGAGTTGAGGAAATTCAAGAAGTTCATCGATGCGGGGTGAAAGTTGGTGTTTTGGAGACAAGTATATATATACATAGCCCTAGTATGGTGAAATAGGTGGTGTACCAAAGGAAGACGTTTTAATCCCTAAAATGAAATCCGGTACTAGTTTCAGAGACATGAACCCGTGAGTCGGCCATGAATTTTCCATGTGAAATATGTCGCTTTGCATTTTCTGATGCCGAGAGACATAAATTGATGGATTGATGGATGGATGCGGGGAAAGCGTCGATCATCCCCATAAATTGGGTCGAGAACCATTTCGTTCCTCCCAATTTTTAGCCACGCTCGATCGCCCTCCTGAAAATTCACTTCTACAACTTGCGAGCACATTGTGACTTCTTCAATAGAATCGCCATGCGCCTCTTCGTAGGCCGCTTCGTTCTTTCTTTTCTCCTCTTCCTCAACATCGATTGCGCTTCAGCTGGGATCAACACCTCATGCTTGAAAGTCGTCACGGCGCTGGCCGCTCGTCCGGGCGATCTCTTTGCTAAATTCCAAGAGCACATCTGCGACCAAGGTTGTCGACCGACGGTTCCGCATTGGGACCTCTGGACGAGAAACAACTCGTTCGTCCCCGCCGTGCGCAGCATCACGAAACGCTTAGATGCGCCGCGACATGAAGCGGCGATGATTAAGCTGGGAGACGACGCGGCGGACATTATCAAGCGTCGTTGTGGTTCGATGCTGCATGGCGGCGATCTTTGTTCGGACTCGGAGACGCTGGCGGGCTTCGGAAATTGTTTCAAGACGAATTTCGTCCGGGCGGCGATAATCAATTTGCCGACATTGTTGCCTATGATCAGCGAGGAGGTTTGTCGGGAGCAGTACGAGTATCTGAAGACCGACACGCTGTGGGAGGAGACTATCCCCAACAATATGAGGGAATATGCCAGCGTGTGCCAGACCTTGGGAGATGGAGTGCCGGAGCTCGACCAGGGAGTAGTACATGAGGAATTATAGTCTACGAATAAATGTATAGATAAGACGATGTATAGAGTGACTACACTACACACAGTATGTACATGCTTGATATCACGGGATTAAGGATCGGAGATTCCACGGACATATAATCATCTTTTAGGGTCTGGACTTGTCAGCACCTTTCCCTTTAACTGTACCTTTCCTCTGTTCCCTCACCATTCCTTACTTTTTCTTATCCAGTAGCCTTTTAAACTTCTTTATTCTTTGTTGATCTTTACATGAATGCATCATGAGAAGCCTGGCCTGATTAATATCTCCTCGACACCTCCGAATGGCGTCAATGACGTCGGTCGCCCGCGCATTGCGGTCCACACCAACTGCACACACGACCACCTACTCTATACTCCGATCGCACCCACGTCCTCTTTTGCTTCCACACTTCAATTCCCCTCAGTTCGCTCGATTTGTACACCCCGGTACCTACCAGCCTTTCGTCCCGCCGTCCCCGAGCGAGCTCGGGAAACCCGCCCCCGCGAAGACCTACGATCGGTCCCGCAAATGGCTCCGACGCCTTGTCTATCTGTCGCTAGCCACCGGCGTGGTCTATGCGATCGATACCCAGTTCTACGCATCCTCCCTGACGAGAACAGCCCGGACCTTCACCCTAGGTCTAATTGTGGCGCTGGACTATAAGATCAATTTCCGCCCAAATCCTCTCCTCGCCAAGTCCATCAATCATCTACACACGCGCAACGCCGAGAGACTGTCAGATTTGCTGCGGCAGAATGGCGGCCTCTACCTCAAGATCGGTCAAGCAGTCGCGATGCAGTCGGCCATCCTGCCGCCCGAGTTCCAGAAAATGTTCTCGCGTATGTTCGACGATGCCCCGCAGAACGATTGGAAGGACGTGGAGAAGGTCATCCGTGAGGATTTCGGCAAGTCCCCGGAGGAAGTCTTTGGCGTGTCGTTCACAGGTGATCCCACTAAAGGTGTCATGGAGCGCAGGGCCAGAGCCAGCGCCAGTGTAGCGCAGGTTCATTGGGCTCGCTTGGCCGATGGAAGGGAGGTTGCGGTGAAGGTCCAGAAGCGGGAAATTGCGCAGCAGATTCAATGGGATCTATGGGCGTTTAAGTAAACTTGCCCTCCCTTCTGAGCTGGCTTTGGCTACCTACTAACCAACGATAGGGTCGTGACCTGGGTCTACAGCCGCGTGTTCGATATCCCGTTTTACTCTTTGGTCCCCTATGTCAGCGAGCGCCTATTTCTGGAGACGGACTTCGAGAATGAAGCTGATAACTCGGAGCACATGGCCAGACTCGTTGCAGGGGAGTCGCGCCTCCGCAATCGTGTCTACATTCCCAAGGTCTATCGTGAACTGAGCTCCAAGCGGGTCATGACTGCGGAATGGATCGAGGGTGTTCGCCTCTGGGATAAGGATGCTATCACACGCTCCTGGCGCGGCGGTTGGCGGCAGGGTAGCCCAGGATGCCACGGGACCCCAATAGACTCCCCACAGTCCAACAGCACACCCACCCAGGTCTCCCACAACCCGAACGCAACCCAGATCAAACCGGAGCGGGATCACTGGCGCGGATGGAACGGCCGCGGCGGACTCGGCCTCTCCCTGAAAGAGGTGATGACCACAATGATCGACCTGTTCTCAGCCCAGATGTTCCTCTGGGGCATCCTCCACTGTGACCCGCACCCGGGTAACATCTTCGTCCGTCGCCAGCCCTCGGGTCAACCCGAGCTCGTCCTGATCGACCACGGCCTCTACATTCATATGGATACAGACTTCCGCCACCAATACGCCCGCTTCTGGAAAGCGCTCCTCACCTTCGACAACGCCGCCATCCGCGACATCGTCAAACAATGGGGCGTCACGAACCCCGATATCTTCGCCTCCGTCACCCTGATGCGCCCCTACCAAGGCGGCGACCTCTCCACGCAGCAACACTTCGAAGGGCTGTCCAAGAAGGACCGCGCCCAGCGCCACTACGAAGCGCAGCAAGCCGCGCGCAAGGGCATCCGCCAGATCCTGGGCGACGAAAGCAAATGGCCCAAGGAGCTCATCTTCATCGGCCGCAACCTGCGCATCGTCCAAGCCAACAACCAATTCCTCGGCTCCCCCGTCAACCGCATCAAGATCACAGGCACCTGGGCGTCCCGCGCCCTCGTCGAGTCGCCCGATCTGCCCCTCAACGAGAAAATCCAGAACTACGGCCGCCACCTCCTCTTCCGGCTCGTGCTCTTCACCAGCGACATCTACTTCTATTTCACAAAGATCCGGCAGTTCCTGAGACTCGGTGGCGGAATGGAGGATTCGCTGGAGGCGCAGATGCAGAGCATGGCTAAGGATATGGGGGTGGATCTGCAGCAGAATGTGTTTGAGGGATAGGATCGCTTTTACCTTCACTCGATGTATTATACTCCTACCTATAGATTCCTCACTCCAAGTCTTATCAAAACCGTAAATATATGATGAATGAATCCTGCATGCATCAGCTCCGTATACATCAATATCAATCTGACATATCATATTCCGTTTAGGTTAAAACATATATCTCATTCCTCATAGGTAGCATTTCATCAAATATGTCCAAAAGCTCAAGCTCGCTATGCTCCAGACAGCAAAAGTCAAATATGAGTACAGTATCTCAGAACTAAAATATTAACCCCGGAAAAGATTATATGTAAGAAAAAAGAAAGAAAGATCAAAAGGGTATCTACCACGCCAACGAACAAACTAGCGAAACTAAAGCGATTCTCTCTGCTACTCCCACCCGGAGAACCCAACTGGTTTCCACTCCTGGCCCGGATACGCCGTGCTCGACATCATGATCTCTTCGCTGGAATCGTCATCGGTCTGGACGGGCAACTCGACCGGGGCGTCGTTGTTGAGGACACGGCCTTCGCCGCGCGTGGGGTGGCTGTTCCCCGTGGATTGGGAGAGGGGCATGGCGGGACGAGTTGTAGTAGTAGCGGGGATGTCGCTGAGAGGGGGCTTTTCGTCGCGGAGATTTTCCTGGGGTGGGTCTGTGGTGTCCTCTTCGTAGGTGGGTAGTCGGTCGCTGCCGCATTGGAGGACGCCCTTGGTGGTCTGCTGGCGCCAGGCGAGGGCGTTGTCCGAGGGTTTGTCCTCGTCGGATTCGCCGGGGATGGTCAGTTTCCAGGGTCGTTCTTGGTCGCCGATGCGGCTGGTGCGAGGGTTTCGGCGGAAGATGCCCAGGTGGTAGGCGGGGTCGGAGGTGTCGGTGCTGGGGATGTGTCTTTCGTCCGGGCGCGGGGCGAAGGTTTTCGGGCTGCGGGAGCGGATGTTTAGGTCTTGGGCGTAGGATCTTTCTTCGGAACGGCCGCGGGACGGTGGGGATTGTGGGGCGGGACCGACGGGGGAGGCGATGGGGGATGCGACCGGGGGTGGTTGATATTGGGGGGTTTGCGGCGTTGTGGGTGGTCGGAAGAGCGGTGATTGGGGTGTGAGTCGACCATTCCCACTACCACTGCCACTGCCGCTGTGTCGATGCCGGAAATAATCGGTCGGCGACGGAATGCGATTACTCGTGATGGTATTGCTGGCCACGTCTTCGACGGTGATCTGCTGCGTCAAGGGAGTGCCGGGTTCGGGGGGATCATTGAGCCGTGAGAAAGATTCCGGAGCGAAGTATCCTTCTGCGGGTGGACGTTGGCCCTGGAAGGAGTGGTTCTCGATATTTGATCGGGGGCGATCAAACTCGGTAGAGGGCAGGTGAGAGTGATCCGAGGTGGACGTGCGCTGTGATGAGACGGGATAAAGCCGGTCCATTGAATGGGCCTGACGCTGGATGTGCACCACGGGTGGAACGTGGGTTTCGGCCGCTCTGGATTTGGGCCGGGCATGTTCCCCTCGACGGTTGAAGAAGCCCTAATTGGAATGATTAATATCACTGCGTTGTGAGCTTTGACAAGCAGCTTGGGGAGGGATCTTTGTGTGTGCGTGTGGGACACATACACTGATTTTGTCCAACGCCTTCCGGTGTGGCTGACCCGTCTTGTCACTGTGGGATTCAGAGCCCCGAGAAGGGCGACGAATTTTGTTGCCGACAACCTTCAGCTTCTCCATTGTTGATAACGCGGTCTGCGGTGGCGCTTGCTTTGAGGCAGGCTGGACGGGCGGGTTGGAGCGAGCATGGTCGGTCGATTGGGAAGTCTCGCGGGGTCTGCTACTGCCTGACAGAAGAGGTCGAAAGACACCGCTAAGTCGGCGCGAGGCATGTTCAGCCTCATCGCCTGGCCAGGGGCTCTTCGGCCTGCGCCCTCGATGATCGGGTCTAAGTATGCCGCCAAGACTTTGGTGCTGACCCTCGCCCCCATCCGACAAGAACGACACTCGCGACGAGTTCGCCGGGCCTGGCGCAGTCGAAGTTTAACGTTAATTCCGTGGGAATTTGTTGGGCAGCGTGGTTACTCACCGAGTACTTGGCGCAATGGCCGTGGTGGGTCTCGATCAGCCTCGAGGGTGCCCAAGGATGAGACGGAGGGCACTGGTTGGAGTCGCACTTGGACGCTGGAGCCCCGCCGATGGTGACTCGGATCTAGCAGTGTTGCCTTATTAATCTCGTCGTTGCTACGTGGGACGTCCCTAGTTTTGCTTTCCATGACTGAGGAGTAGAACCGTTTCCCCATCGACGACGGTGCCCGAGTAGTCGTCGGCTCGCATTCGGGAGACGGCTCGTCGCGCGCAGGTGGTGGCTGAACGTTATTTTGCTGGCCCATGGGATCGTCAATGCTGTTGGCCTGCTCCGTCCACGACAGGATTTTGTCGCCAATGTCCCGCTGGTCGCTTTTGTACTCGGGGATCAACAGAGGCGCGTCATTGATTGCCACCTGAATCGGGGTCATCGGGGGAGATTCGCTCCTCCTCGACAAAGGCTTTCGGGGAGGACAATCCCTGTCAGGTTGCACGGGCGCTAATCGATGCGCCGAGGATGCACTCTCTCCAGGCAACTCCCAATGCTCCTGGGACCCTGTCTGCGCCAGGACGCCAGAGTCAGACGCCTCCAATTCCGCCATCGCTCCAGCGGTACTTCGATAGGACAATGCAGGACCTGATTGACCTGATCGTGAATCCGCATCACTGAAGCCGAGTGCAGCAATCACTTCCTTGTCCAGATCCTGAGTAAGACCGGAGCGGTGGCTATGGATGGCGGATGGCTCAGGATCCGTGTGATATCCCGTGTCTGCTGCCGCGCCCTCAACCGGTCTACGCGCCGAGACCGACGGGACTTGTTTGCGCTTGATGTCCAAGCTCAACCGATTCACTTGGCTGTCTCGAGCGCCATTCATCCCGGGGAGACTTCCAAAGTGGACCGTCCGTCGCTTGTCGTGGTCCTCTTCGGCTAGGTCTAGAACAAGTTCTGAGAAGGAGAATTTCCTGCGATAACCACGACTCGATTCAAACCCCTACAATCACCATAACATTAGATGAGTTTAACCAGACGAGGGTATTAAGACCGAAAAAAAAAGTATCAACCCGATGTACAGACATCAATCATGTCACATTCTGAGTGCGGAGATATGTTCAATTACAGACATGGTATCAATAGAAACATAAACAAAACGGCAACGATCAGAGACATGCTGGCGCAGCGATGGATAATCCATAGGTTCCCACACGCTCCCTGCACCGCTGAACATGATATACCACCCATAATAAGAAAATTAAGGCTCTACCTTGTCTGACCCTCCACCTTTAAATTTACTCCTGCCCTTGGCAAATAGACCCTTGGCGGCCTCGCCAGCTTTACCGCCGAAGACACCAGCGGTGTGGAGGAAATCCTTCCCTCGTTGTTCCACATGCTGTTTATTCATCATGGAACCAAGATGAGTCGAAGGACGTCTAACATGGCCCGAGCCGGACGACCCTTCCTGGTGAGACGACACGAGGTTCCCAAGAGACGACAGTTTAGGGAATTTGGCCCGGGGTACGGGGTACTTGGACTCATCCGTTGTCTGTTTCAAGCTTTGCTGCACAACATCTGCGTATTCAGGGTGAGCATGGATCGTAACCCGGAGCCAATTATTTAGACCGGTATCGATTGTCACAAACTGGTCTCGGGTTTTGTTGAACGCTTGCACCCGTTCGTCGGAGGTCTTCAACTCGAGGATCTCACGGAAGCCAAGCAAGCTTGCTTCGATAGATGGCGACTGCGTGGGTGCAGACGTAGACGCTACGGCATCCTGGTTTGCAACGGCTGGGGAGTAGGCATCTCCAACGGTTTGGGCATTGACAACTTCTGGAAGATGTCGACCCGAAACGATGCTATTATCATCGGTGGCAGACGGGGGGATGATCGTCAACTTAGGCTTCTCAGGCACATGATCACGGCCAGCCTCATCATGTGTCTCAACTGGCGGAGCCACAGTGTCGGGCTCCGGCGATGGCTGAACACTATTCTCATCAATTACAGGGAATTGCCCGGGGATTGGCCCTACAGGAGGGGATTGGACCTCTGTCGCGGGCGCAGCCTGTTCCTCGGAGGAGGCAGACTCCCAAGAAAATCGCCTCTTCAACTTAGGGGTTGTGTCTTGCGGAGCCGCATTTAGTGCTAGAGTAGACGCCTGCAGTGGGCTACTGGAGTATAAATCCTGGGACTCGTTCTGTGCGGAGTTGTATCCAAGGACGGGTTTGAACTCCTGGGGACTGGCACTAGTTGTTTCGTTCCAGTATCGTTCGTATTCGCTCGGAATGAGACTATCCTGCCGACTTGTTTGTGGCCTGGACCGGTCTTGTGGGTCCGGTTCGTCAGATGGAGTGTTCTCCCGACTCAATGAACGAATGATCTCCTTCCTTAATCGGTCACTCTCGGTGTCTTGCGGGGAATTTTCCGTACTCAGGGAGGGAACAATGGCGGGAATGGAGTTTTCAGGGGGAGACATGTTACCACTGATTTTGAGCGGTGCAGGTCGATCTTCCGCGGTTGTGGTAGTTGGTTGCATGGTGGATTGTTGATATGTTGGCGTGGACTGGTCCTGAGGTGAGTCAGATGGAGGGTCCGATGACATTTCTGCTAATGATTCGGGAGCGATGGTATCGTTATTGGTGATTATTGGCCTTCTCAAAGGACTATTATCTGGACTGGGAACACTCAGATCACGGCGATGACCAGGCTTAAAGCCTCTCGGTGGAGATGAACTTTCCGGCTCTTCCTCAATCGTTGGCGTCTGCTCGTTTGGGCCACGAGGAGGAATGATCGGGCTTATTACCGACGTGCTATTGCTATCCGACCGTGCAATGCTATCGATGGTAGTGCTGGGTGTCTCTGGAACATCGAAAGCTTGATTAACCACCGACCGGAATCCGACGGAGGGGTGATGGTGTAATTGAGGATCTTGCTGCTGTGGTTCTGCGGATTGGTCCTTTTGAGCGTCAGACGAAGGAGCACCCGTGAGATCTGCGCCGAATCCTGAGAGACGTCTGACATCTGGGAGCCCAATAATAGGAACATCGTTCTGAGGTCTGGAAGGAACACTCTCGTTCTCGGGTTGCTTGCCTTGTGCTTCCTGTCCTGCCGGGCTGGTTATAGGTGCTGGTTCCGTGGAGGCCCGACTCAGGCTTGGAGGGTTGCCTGGCCTCGCTGTCTGCTCGCGTAACCGGCTATAGATGTCGCCTGGGCGTGATGGGAGGTTGTAATTCTGTTCTTCTGCGTTGCGATCGGTTGACCGACTACGGCTATCCGCCGCAGGACCGGCCCCTAGCGTCATCACCTGGTCCATTGACCGAGAGCGATCCATTCCAAGAGCCCAGGGCTTAGGTATGTTTCTTGACGATACACTTGGGAGGTCCCCAGTGCTTTGATTCAAAGGTTGTTGTTGCTGTTGCGGTAGAGGAGGCGTCAGATCCTCGTCGTAATCATCGTACTCATCGTCACCCCAGTCATTGCCATCGTAAGAGATCTTCTTCGCTTCAACCCAGCGCTTTGTCTTCGCGCGATTCACGTTCGTTTTAAATGATATGGGTGTGCCGCCACGTGGTTGGGGCGACAAAGGGTTATCGGCGCCGGGAGAATCCCTAAAGATGCAGGAAAGCCTGATCAGCAAAATTCTAAGGCGCCGAGGATGCATCCGCCTGCATGTACTTACACCGGCTCGTAAGGGTTCTGAAATGGGCGAGCCATTATATATGAGGGTCAGGTCGCCTGAACGAGATGGACCGCATCAAGGCAAATGCCGCGTTCACTCGTTATATGAAGCTGCCAAGATCTGATATGGCGTGCGATATAATATTTGGCCCGAGTGGAATGGTCAAGCTGCGAGAATGGAGAGGAAGAAGCAAGTAAGTAACAAGCTGAGTGGTACAAGCGATGACGTGTGTGTATCGTCGTATCGTGTGCGTTCGTTACCAAAATTAGTGGGCTGCTGCGGGTGTGCCCCTGAGGGTATCTTAAGTATTCGCCTGCCTAAAGCGAATAGATAGCGACGACTGTGGCTGGTAAGGCACCGATGTGGCGGGTCCATCACGTGGCCCTAGCCGCCCGCGCCTTGCCTATTTTCGGATGGGCGACGAATTCCCCGGAATTAAGACGTACGTCTTCGGCCATTCTCTCTGCGACATCTCACCGAACCCCGTTCTGTCGGAGACTAACGATCTCTGCAAGTGCAATGATATGACACTCCCATAACGCTCCTACACCGCTTGTATCACCTCCTTTCCGCTCATTTTCCCTCCTTCACTGTTGCCTTGTGGCTTCGACGAACGGACACGTCTACAGTTTGCCTCCTTATCGATTAGGTTCACTCCGTCTACTCGCATACACCATTCCCTTAGATCCCGGGGGCTCGCTTACCTTCCCCCTCGAACTATCACCCGCCCTCCACCTCACTTTACGCTTCTAGCGAAATGACCGGCCCATCGATTCAGGATCGCACCGGCGAGTTCCACGCCATCTTGGGACAAGCCCAGAAACGGGTCGCCACGACCAAGGTTGGATCCCAGCGGCAGGCGCTTCTATCGGATTCACAAAAGAGACAAGCCAATGGGTCCGCGAACGGAAGCGCGCAACCCGGCAGGAGATCCGAGTTTGCCAGGAGGGCTGTTGAGATTGGACGGGGTATCACTGCGACGACAGCCAAGTTGCAGAGGCTGGCTGAACGTGAGTAGGAGCTACAAGGTGGACAAGCAGGATGTCTAACTAAGTCTGCCAGTGGCCAAACGAAAGACGCTTTTTGATGACAAGCCGGTCGAGATCTCAGAATTGACATATGTCATTAAGCAAGACCTCGCTTCCTTAAACCAGCAGATCGCCTCCTTGCAAGCGCTCACGCTCTCTCAACATCCGAAATCGAACCGGTCGAAAGCGGACCAGGAAGGAGAGCATAATGATAATGTATGTACACGGCACAGACAGAATCCAGCGTGGGTGGGCGATGCTAAGAATACTAGGTCGTGGTTATGCTGCAAGGCAAACTGGCGGACGTCGGAGCAAACTTTAAAGAAGTTCTCGAGGTTCGAACGAAGAACATCCAAGCGTCGCGCTCCAGGACAGAGAACTTTGTTTCATCGGTATCCTCGAAATCGCAGGCGGCCTTAGACACGCAACGGTCGGACTCTCCGCTGTACACCTCCGGCAGGAGGACTCCTCAACCGGGTGGCTCTGCCGACCTGTTGACTCTGGAGCCCTCGAATCCGTCGCCCCTCGGACGGCCGTCTATGCATTCCGACCAGCAATTGCTGGTGATGGAAGAGGCGCAAACGAGTAACTCTTATATCCAAGCACGTGGTGAAGCAATCGACGCGATCGAACGTACAATCAATGAATTGGGCGGCATCTTCGGCCAACTGGCGCAGATGGTCAGCGAGCAGTCTGAGATGATCCAACGGATAGATGCCAACACTGAGGACGTTGTGGATAACGTCCAAGGCGCACAGCGCGAACTAATGAAATACTGGACTCGAGTATCTGGGAACCGATGGCTGATTGCTAAGATGTTCGGAGTCCTAATGGTGCGTGGCTCTCCCGTCCTCTTCCAGTCTTCTCTGGTACTAACTTGTAGTAGATTTTCTTCCTTCTCTGGGTATTGATATCAGGATAGAAATGCCCCTTTCTTTTCTTACTAATGTATTGTATTAATACGGATACTTTCCTTCTTGCTGTGCATGAACGAGTTATGCATGTCCCTTTTGAACGTCACCAGCCGTCTTTCTTTTCTAGGCGTGGCTAGATTTCATGTTCACTTTATTTCTTTTCTCATTTCGCCTTGGTTGCCGCAGGTAAATATTGTTGAATTTATTCATAGATCCATGCCGGCCTCTGATGTATACGCGTTGATATGGACCAATTACATACTTTCTTACCCCAGATTGTCATTTTTCCTCCCATATAGAAGACCTAGAATATCCAGTCCCAGATCATCCACACATACAATAGCTTCTACTATAAACAAATAGAAAAAAAAAAAAGTCACTCACAAAACTCACATCTCAAAGCAACGCCCGCCCCATGCAAAACAGGCACCACCACCTCACCCTCATGGGGAATAGCCCCCCGCCGACAAATCTCCCTCTGCGCCGCCTCGAACCAAACCTCGCTCAACTTCGGCGGCGCGAGCAGCCCAGACGCAACGAACTCGCCCCAATCCCGACGCATCTGCCACATGAACTCCATCCGATTCGTCCAGGTGGGCGAGTGCCCATTGACACCAGCAGCAGCCACCTTGACCGACTCATCCGTCGCCGCCGCGACGAAGAACTCCATGATGCGCTCCAGGGTGGAGGTGGTCAGGAGGAGAGCGAGCCAGGCCTCAGCCGAGGCGGCGGTGATGTCCGGGGCCATGAGGTGGCGGACGGACGAGCAGAGGAGGTGCATAGCGTGGTGGGTGGCGAGGAGGGTTTGGGTGTTGGTGAAGGGGGGCTGTTGGAGGATGGACTGCTGGGCCTGATGCCGTGAACTAGTAGCCCGGATTGACGGTTGGGGTTCGGAGGCGTGAGTTTCAAGGAAGAAAATAATATATGCGCTGTTTCTCGTTGTCAATCGGGGGAGTGAGACTTTCAGGAATATTGTCTATGACGTACACGGGAGATAGGAGACGGGACTGGAGGAGTCCGACGCCTTTGCTGTAGCCGACCTCTTTTTCGGTCTTCGAGGACCACGAGCCGTCTTTCACGAGGTGCTGGTGGACTACGTACTCGGCCAGGTAGTACGATAGCTTGATGCATGTCTTCCAGCAGCGGGTGAGGTCGGCTAGATACCCGAAAGAGTACTCGGGGAGGTCATCCCCGACCCCGGTGGAGGTGTACTGGGGTGGCGGCGGGGGGAATAGACTGGCGATGAAGGTTAGGTCGTCGCCGACGGAGGGAACGAGCTCATGGCCCGTCTCGGTGATATACTGCGATGGCTGGGTCCGGTGATGGAGATAGGCCTGGGAGATGGCATATTCGAGGCGAGAGACTCTGCGGCGCAGGATGCGACAGGAGAGCAGGAGGGAATAGATGTCCTGTAGCTCGCATTGCGCGAGGACTCTCACCAGAACGCTGTCTGGGAGTCTTCTCCAGATCGATTGCTTCTGGGTGCTGACACTTCTGAAGGTTTGGTTAGTCTCTGGGCTGGGGTTGTAGTTGTGGTGTCCACTTACATAGTCGACCTTCTCCGTAGCTTTGCGGTGGTTTTGGCCCTGTGTATGATGCTTCGGACTCGTTCGAGGACTGGGGGGCTCATGGTTTAGTCCCCCATGGAGGCATTGTGGTGGAAATCTCGTTATATGGATTGTTTCAGCTTTCAGGATGGGCACGTTTATAAGTAAGGTTATTGGCCCAATGGGCGATGATTATTCAGCTTAGGGACCAATTCACGTAACCTTTGTTTCAACTTCTCCTCCCGTCCACTTCAGTAGTTGAAGTGTGTGTTCTAGACTCCGCAATGGAAAAGAATAGACATGGCATGATTAGACCTGTTTATCGTTCCCCCGGGCCCGTTTTAGTATTGCCTAAATCGGCATGGTGAAGAGTCTAATACACATTTTAAGTGAATTTTTTTTTTCTCGCAACATACGGCATTTGATTTACACGGCTTGGGCTGGCTAGTGATGACCCAAGTTTTATAAGTCTACTTCTATTGTCATGAGTTCCCGCGTGAGGCGAGTGTCTCATGACGAGTAAAACAGCTATTGGAGATAATCCTTAAGATTCCTAATTATACAGGATATATGGTGTCATTGAACCGCGGACGTGTGTCAGCGGCCGTGTTTGGGGAAGAATAGACGGAGAAGAAGGACATAATGGGCTGGATGGTGGATGACAATTCAGAAAGCATCCGTCGAGAATAATTCACTGTTTGGGAATTCTAGCTGGAAATTCTCCAGAAGATCGTCCCACTGGCCCCAATCTAAGGGGCTGTGGTCAAAATTATTTAGGTCGTCACCGGGATCAAGCATCCCAGCGTTATTGGGAATGGTCTCTTGTGTAGTTCGTCCTTGGGGGGTCACACTGGGTTCAAAGCTCGGCTGATGAGACGAGGTGCCTCGCTCCGATCTTTCAGACAATACCGAAACGATATGAGGACGGGGTAACAGATGGCGATTGCGTCGAGTACGCTCCTCAGAATGGGACTTCCAAGCTTTCAAAATCAGCCCCTGTATTGCAATATGAAGAGGGGTTTTGGGCCTGTTTCTCATCTGGTCATAATGCCGACTGTATATCCTGTCAATGAGGACCCACGACCTCTTGGTTTCTTCTTCATCTATGCGGGTCCGGAGCTCATATAGCGTATAAATCAACACATCCCACGGGATGTGATTGTCCACGTGCCACAGATATCGCTGTATGATCTCGTTGCTCTGACAATCCTCGAACCCTTCCATGACTTGCACGCATGTGGAAAAGACGAAATCCCTTTCCGCTAGTGATATGTGGTCTTTCTCGCCATACTGGCGGGGATGGTGGGCGGAGAATCTCATTTGGCATACAACATTCTGCATCAGTCTAGCCGACATGTAGTGTAGTGGAATGGATTTGTCGCAATACGACAGGAATTTCGATTCGAATGCGCGGCTCAGCTCCTCGATTGCTTGATCCTTCGCCTCATAAGACAACGCCGAAGAGGCCAAGAAACCTCGACCTCCGTGAGAGGCTCCGCCGGCCTTGGACCAGCGCCTCATCCATTCGCCAAATTCGCTCCGTGCAAGGACGAACATCATTTCTGTCGCGCCATGATTTTCGCGAGGCATATCCGTCATGCGTGGATCAAGCTCACTGTCATTTATGTTGGACGGGGGGAGGACGTCAACAGAAAAATACGGGAACTGCGAAGTGATGCCGGAACTTTGTGCCGTAGTGACATCTAATATTGATAGCTGTCGCCAAAGACGGCGGCGCATTTCCGTTTCGAAAATGGATAATCCAAGCTCAGATCCGTCTCGATGGAGTCCAATCCGCTGAGCCATTCGCACCGCAACGCCACATAAGGACCAAATAGACTGGGGGTCAGAGGACGCACGCATGGAAAGCTTGTACGACGACGTTAGCGTGAAGATCACGGCGTATCAGGGAGACGCCTACCAAATACAAAACAAATGCCTGGAGAACTACGGTTTTTGATGTACGTAGAATGCCAGCCTTGGTAAAAGCTAAACGAGCTCCGCGTCGGAATCTTGAGAGTAACAAAGCTTTGCTCTCTCCGTAAGTTTTTTGTACATCATCTGCCTTCAGAGAAACCAATGCGATACAATATATTGAGAACATTAATGCCTCAAGCTCCTTGGAGACTGTGTTTAAGCTACCGCTGGCTTCTAGAAGCTGTTGCTGGACGGTTGGGCCGTGTAGTATCTTAATCAATGGATTGATATTCTCAAGGAAAGTTTGCCAAAGTTTAAAGATGTGTAGTGGAGAGGGGTGAAGTGCACTCAGGCTTTTCTTCACTGTTTCTCCCAAGATCAAGGAGATTTCGTCATCCACTCCCTGGGCAGAATGATTTGAATCGTTGTCGGATATGTCCCGTAACACATCCTCCGCCCGAGGAAGCTAGACCCAGAGTTAGATCGCAATACGAGAAGAAGTTAGGTAGGGAATCCTGACCTCGCCTCGGACGCTAGTCCAGACATTACTATCTTACTCGTTAGCCATTTATGCACCGCGGTTCATTCCAAGGTAGCTCAACCTGTCTAGATAGATGGATTTCCCGTCACCTGTGAGCAACATCCCTTGTTCAGCCCTGGAGCCACTGGGGAAAGCATTGCGTGTGGTTGCTGGATGGTCTAAGTGGCTGATGCGAGCTGACGCAGCGTTGTCTTGTCTAATAGGACTCTGATAGGGGAAGCCGCTGTGTCGGCGGTCCTCCGAGCGCTGCCTTTTGCGGCGACGCGGAGGGATATGAGTAGGGAAAACACACTCAGCGCCGCGTTTGATACAGGCAGAACAAGGATCATTGCGATCACACCTGACCTTTCTTCGCGCACAGACCACGCAAGAAGGGTTCTTGGGGATTTGGCTGTCAGCAGCCATTGGACTCTGCTGCACGACCACCGCAAGGTGGTCGTTGGGATCTGCCATGACTAATGAGTGCGCCGGATGGATACAGTATATCCCAACTACATTTGACTAATTAATCGAAGACGATGTGTTCGCAAGGCGTAGGAGTAGATGGATATGCAACATCCGCGCGGATGCAAGAGGGTGAATCAGAAGGCGGAGTCGAAGACGGTCCGAATTGTTTTCTTGTTCTGCCGCCCAGCTACGAACTACTTCCGAATCAGGCAATTCCCTAGCCCTAAGTTACGATGCATTTCCTGCATACATCAATCTGCTAAAGAAGAATGAATATAGGAATTGTTCGTTCTCAATCTAGTCATATATATTCCGTATCTATAGTGCCTATCGCCTTGCGACCGCAATGTTGCCGCTGTTTCGTGTATTCTTCGCGATAGGTAATCGATAGAGATCGAATATGCATAGACCCATGTATGTACAGTGTTTCTTGACTTGACAAATATGAACTATAAATGAAATTCATTTATTGGATCTATGGGATTGACAAGTTGAAGAAATCTAAAAACATACGGCTCATATTATCATTACCGAAAATGGTCCTTTCGTACAATTGTGATCTACCGACTTTTTCGTTGAAGCGATAGATACGACCACGTCTTGACGAAGGCGGGCATATTGAGTCTTATAAGAATGCATAAATATCCGATAGAGAGCATTCACACCGTTGAGTGATCTATCATCAGTATTTCAGCCTGATTTGGTGCCCTACGGAGTGTTCCCCCTTTTGGGGTGTTCGCAGAGCGAGGTATGCAGCATTTCTCACCCCTCGTATGCAAGGGATGGCCAACTCTAAAAAGGGTCTGTGAGCTGAGGATCGGAGCCTACAGTTCAGAGTATTGGTGTCTTCATTAAACCTTGGACTATTGCACGTGGAAGAATAATTGACGATTCCAAGGTTTGACAGTGCAAGGGCACAATGAAACATACGGAACTGTCACGGCGATTTTGCCATGCTCCGATAGCATAAACCTTTTTTTTTAGACAATGATTGCCCCCAAGAGTTATATGTAGCACATTATCGTATTGCATGGTGGCTAGTTCAACTAGAGATGGCAGTGCTGCAAGGGTACATTGACTTGGATCTATCATTATTAACTCTGCGAGTGTGACAAGGATGAATACGCCACCTCAATCAGAACAAAAGAAGTGATCTTATTCCAAGAGAAAGCGCATACATATATGATCATTTTGGGGCGAGTCGTCATAGGTGGCTTGGATGAAAATACCTTGTCTCATCCTGCTGAGGAGCCTCGCCAAGCTGGCCAATGGCTGGATTTCTCAGCAAGATACAGAAGGAAGCGCCGAGAAACAGCAAGCGTCACACATTCCTGCGCCAGGGAAGTAGCTTATAGGAACGATAAGCATACACCATTCGTGATCCTGGTGTGTGAGGGGGGTTGTGGGGATAGTTTCTTGGGTAGTTTCATTGCTCTTGTCGCTTTATTGCACAGTTGAGTCGCAATGTAATACTCTCATTCAATGATATCTTAGACTTTGATAGTAAACAAAGAGAAAATAGTATGGGATATACCTTCGAAAAATGTTCTAGATGCCCGACCTAACGCTTCTCAGTCCGGATCACTCCGGCCAGAAGAAGAAAAACGGGGCTTGACGCCATAGACAACAAAGAGTGTGAGTGACGCTGAGCCGAGAATCTGCCAAGACCAATAATTCTAATCCTCCCCAGCATGGCTTGGTTGAAACCAAGCTACAAGCAAAAGAAACGAGGGGCAGTAGATACGCGGCGTGGGAGGCAGTGCTCTCATGTAGCCATAACCGCTGGGTATAGCGGGTATAGCCAAACAACGAACCGCGGTTTGCTGGAGATCATCCCTGGGCCAAGTAAATTTAAGAGAGGCTGATAAGGAACTAGATAGAACTAGCGACCAACTCGGCTTCGTTTGTTTGCCGATCTTCTTGGCGCTTACTGGTTTCTTCACCCAGGGTCCAGAGTCCAGGCGCGGCGATTGTATGTGTTTATTTCTTGCGGTGGGAACGATACGAATTGTATTCTTGACCGCGATTGTGACCGCTAGGATATTCCCTATTCCCATATGCTTGCCACATGTTTAACGCAGGATGACCGTCGATTTGGTTGTGTTCAGCCAACCACGTTGCATACTCTGGATGAGAATCCTGGTTGTCGATAGTGGTCCATCCCAAGTTTCGTTATCATATCCAAAACTCCACTTCGCGAAACACAACCCACCGACCCCAGATTGACAAAAAGAAAAGCCGGGCACCTTTCATCTGGGGAGACGGGCCAATTTTCTCCCGCTTCATTGTCCTCTGCCTAGAATGCTACTCTGTCTGATCGGTTAGCGAACTCTCATTTCTAACGCCCGGTAAATAGAGATGCCTGGGGAAGAGAACTTGGCGAACCCACGGATCGGCGGGAAAAGACGGATAAGACAGTCAGCGTTTAGGTTCTTGTTGTCGTGATTGACTTTTAGACTTTAAAGCCCTGGTTAGGCCCGACGATGGAACGCCGCAACGAAAACCGCATGCAGTCATGACGCCTTCGGATGGCGCCAAGGGCTTGCCAAGGTGGATCTATGAGACGAATCCAATCTCTGGTAGAGGCGATAGCAACACGGTACCCAATTGAGACTGTACAGGAAGTTTGTTCCGACTCAATCTGCTAGATACTGGCCGGTTTGAATGTGTCCAGGTGCTATAAAAATGGGGATATCCCGGGATAGTGGAGTTATTTAGTCTGAAACGCTGTTTCCGGGCGTGTAACGCCAGCACGAGTTCTGCAGGGATACACTACCTTCGTTATCTAGAGGGCACATATCGGGTTGGCCCGCGTTGGGCTGATGACTTCAGTATTCCCCCTTGGCACAGATGTTATGTCTTGGGTGCGGAGAGCATCCTCGTAGTATAGTTATATCCCACCCGCATGAACTTAAGTAGACGGAGGTGCTAGCTCATTGCATTCCCATCGCTCATCCTCTGGACGAAGCCCTTGCAAACCAACACTCTATCCCCTTCTTAGCCTGCCATCTAGTCTCCATTACTATTTAGTATCTATCAGTAACATTATGCACCACGCTCCTCCTCCCTCCTCATCGGGAGATCTCCCTCTCGTTCAAGCTCCAGAAAACAATACCTCCATTAACTGGGTCCCCGCATCCCTTGGAAATCAACCCGTATCCCGAAAAGAAGAGTATTCCAAAGAAGCAGGAGGCATCTGGGGTGAGGGATGCAGCGCAGCGACATCCCTCGCAGATAATCAAGACGAGATAACGCTGCGCGCATCACTGGCACGGCACTTCCGCACCAACATAGACACCACACACACCGATATCGTTCTGATCATCTGTGGCTTCGTCAGTGGTCTCGTAGATGGCCTATCATTCAACGCCTGGGGGAGTTTCGCCAGTATGCAAACCGGTATGCTTCCACCTCACCCTCTGAGTTCCGCCCAAACAACGGCTAACCAAGCAACCCGCAGGAAACAGCGTCTTCATAGCCCTAGGTGCCTCAGGCCAGCCCGCCTACCCAGCCTACCTCTGGGCTAAATCCCTCATCGCCCTCACGGTCTTCATCGTCAGCAATATCCTCTTCATCCACGTCTCGCGGGCCCTCGGTCCCCGCCGCCGCTCAACCCTAATCCTATCTTTCACTGTCCAAACCGCCGCACTCCTGACGGCAGCCATACTCGTCCAGCTAGGGATCATCGACCCCAAACCTGAAGACCCTCGAGCCCCCATCGAGTGGATGCAAGTCCTCCCCATCTCACTGCTGTCCTTCCAAGCAGGCGGACAAATCGTAACGTCCCGGGTGCTGGGGATCGATGAGATCCCGACGGTGGTGTTGACCACGCTGCTCTGCGATCTGCTAGTAGATCCCAAGTTGACTGCAAAGGCTAACCCGAAGCGCAATAGAAGGGCTGGGGCCTTCCTGGCATTGTTCCTGGGCGCCATGACTGCTGGGGGGTTGTCGAAAGCTACAGAGATGGCAGCTAGTTTATGGTTTGCTTTTGGCTTGAAGTTTCTCATTACAGTTGGGTGGTTTGTGTGGAAGGGGGATGGGAGGAGAGAGGGAAAGAGAGATATTGAGGGTTGAGGGTTTAGTTTGGTATGCCTTGGACTCCTTATATTTGAAAAATTAAGTCATGATTTATGGGTTGTGTTAACTATGTATGAGCTCGACGCTGGTGCGTTTGCTTATAATATTGCTGCTCTTAGCGGTAGCTCATGCTCAGGAGTCTGGTTAGAGACGTTTTATCAAAGGGAACTCAAGTCTTCAGTCATGTTCGTGTCTATCTATACTGGCCATGAGGCAGTTTTGAGATGCATGTGAAGATAGAAAAATAAAGTTGACTACCGAGGAGTACGCCTGCACAGTTTCCTGATTCAGGTTGCTTCCAAGATGGTATATATGGCCAATCTTCTCTACACGGAATCTGATCATGAATGTATACTTGCCTTGTAGAAACGAGCTAGTCCTCGGCCCATCGGAGTGGATCTGTGGAGACCCGAGGCTATTTATATGCCGGGATATGAACCTTCAGCTCCGCACTTTTATCCTCAGAGCACCCGTTCATCCTCCATCGAATCCAAACATCAACATGCAGTCAGACTCAGATTTAGTTCTTGTGAGTTCCACAGATGACGGAATTACGACTATTACAATCAACAGACCTCATCGAAGGAACGCCGTCGACCCGACCACCGCAAAACATCTCTACGAGAAAATCCTGGCCTTCGAAAATGACCCCTCACAGAAAGTATGCATACTTACAGGAATGGGCGGTACATTCTGTGCCGGTGCCGACCTTCACGAAGTAGCGGGAAAAGATGCTCGCGATGCTACCGGCAAGGAGACAGAAGGCGGACGAAGCCACTTCCAGGCGCCACCAGAGTCCGGCGAACAATCTATAGGCCCGATGGGTCCCTCACGACTCCAGATCAAGAAGCCTATCATCGGTGCTGTCTCCGGGTATGCAGTGGCGGGTGGGTTGGAATTAAGCCTACTCTGCGATATCCGCGTAGCGGAAGAGGATGCCGTGTTCGGGGTCTTCTGCAGACGATGGGGTGTTCCCCTTATTGACGGAGGCACAGTTCGTCTCCAGGCAGTGGTTGGATTGGGCAGGGCACTGGATATGATATTGACTGGACGTCCAGTCAGTGCGACCGAGGCCTTGTCTATGGGGCTGGCAAATCGTGTTGTGCCGAAGGGAAAAGCTGTGGAAGAGGCTACAGCCATTGCGAAGCAGTTGCTTTCGTTCCCGCAGCTTTGCATGAATGCGGACCGGGACTCTTGCTACTACAGTGCATATCAGGCCAGCTCGTTTCAGGATGCCCTGAGGAATGAGTATGAGAAGGGAGTGAAAGTTTTGGACCTTGAGAGTATCAAAGGCGCTTCCCAATTTAGTCGTGGTGCAGGGCGGCATGGAAATTTCAAGAATGGCTCGCGTCTTTAAATTCGGTTTGAAATTGCGTATAGTCTTTGGATTGGTTGACCATGTTAGTTTCCGGCACAATTGATCGAGGGTTTTTGTTACAATCAGCGCCAATATCATTTTCAGACCAGCGAAACAACTTTTATATGGCTTCTGTATCGGCAGAGAGTATCTTTTTTTCAGAATCTCAGACATAGTATTCACTCGAGAGAGCTTGTGAATCCATTTCTCCTCGCTTGATGTGGAAACGTTAGAACTGCCTATGGAAAGCATCATTGTGAAATAGCTCTAAAGCTTGCATATGGACGTGTCTTTTATCCACAAGTCGCACGCATGAAGCCAATGTGTGGTATGTCAGACCTACCCCACGTCACTCTTTATATCTCGAATAGATCTAAGTTAGTAACGTCTATATTTATATTAGTCTACAGTGTTGTGGTGCCCTGCAGCCTGATCTGGTTCTTTTGCTGGGAGACCGTCCAAACGGGTTTAGTTGACCGTTGAGAAATTACAGAACCATACTGGCTAGACCAGACAGTGGATGTTGGATCCAGCAACTAGACTGAAGAATGATCCACTTGCCGTACGGTGCGGTGCGGATTAGGTGCTGATGCAGTAGTGGGTAAGCTCTGAACTGTGGCAGAGCATTAGAAGAGAGTCTAAGAAAGTCAATACTAAATAGTGAACTATGTCTCAGGAAATCAAACAAACCACGTAAGCTGTCGACTGATCCTCCCAATCCCACTCAGAAGGCAGACTGATCAGTCCCAAGTGTGATAGAGTCATTTGTTGACCTCCACACCTGAGGCAGTGATTGGCCAGCCTTACATCGGTCAGCCACGTACAAACATGCTAAAAATACCCCCTGACCAGCCACACACTAACCCCGTCTAGGCAAGTATCTACAAGTTCTCTAAGTTAAGACGCGTAAGGCAGCACTCATAAATATTCGACGTCAAGATACAATAAACCGCATGAAGACCTCCTCTCAGTTGTTCGACGTTGTAAAGAGGTAATATCACGATGGCGCCACATTATGCGATGCTCGATACAAGAGCTCTCGATGCCGCGAGCTCTCACTTCGCTAAGCGTGACCTGACTGTCACTCACACACAGGCGGTGACGCTAGGGGTGATGGCTGTGTACGTGGTAGTGATCGCGCTATTATGGAACTTGCCCTATCTCCGATGGTCGCTATGGCCTTTCAAGGTGAGAAGGACTCTTTTAGTCTGCCAATATTCATGCTACCGGGAGGCTGACGGTTGATAGATGCTGGTCATTGCTTTCCACGAGTTTGGTCATGCGATCACCGCGTGTTGCACCGGAGGCAAAGTGGAATCCATCTCCCTTGATCCCCATGAAGGAGGAGTCACCCATATGCGGGGTGGAATTAGCGCCGTCACCCTCCCCGCCGGATATTTAGGATCATCCATCATCGGTGCCCTCCTGATTTTCGCGGGGTTCGATATTGTTGCGAGCAAGGTTGCCAGCATTGTCCTGGGTGTCTGTTTCTTGCTTACACTGTGGTGGGCTCGAAGAGACTGGCTGACCATCATCACCATTCTCTTGGCGGTCGGGCTGCTGGTGGCGTGTTGGTTCATTGCCCATGGGGAGGCGCTGAAGTGGGTGGTGGTAAGTACTAGCCTATACTGCTACCTCATCCACAGCCGAGTTACTAATGCGGTCGCAGCTGTTCATCGGTGTCATGTCTGCTCTTTACAGCGTCTGGGATATTGTGAGTCTCCCCACACCCATATTTCTGGTTCTTGCTAACCACACCTTGAATAGTGTGACGACCTCATTATTCGAAAGGTCAACACTTCAGATGCCAGCGTGTTTGCCAAGCGCTACGGCGGCTCCTCCCGCTGCTGGGGTGTTATTTGGTCCATTATCTCCCTCTGTTTCATGGCTATCGGCATCATTGCTGGTATTGCGGCATTCCGGGAGTCATTCAGCGAGCAAGAAGAATCCTCGAAGCATTTTATTCCCACTATCTAAGGGCGTATTCGACGTTCTTTAGAAGCGGGTAGTATCACGAACATCTATATCGACGAGAAGACGATTGAAGCCTGTATACCTGGATTGGTGTTGTCTGGATTTTTTCCTTATACCCCTGTGTTTATGCCGAACTGATACGAATGCGTCACGGATTGAATGTTATATCTCTTTTAAGATGGTAGTTCCCGGAGGATTTCTAAGTAATTCAATCAAGAGATTTGAAGTTATTACAGATTAAATCCATGGAATGGATACAGCCTAACTGCATCTGGTTAGCTTAATGAGGAGTTGCATTTGAGAGCCAAACATGCAATTTCCCCAACTACTGGCTGCCTACGGAGGATACTATACAAGTTGTCATGAAAGGATCTGCACTCAGATCATCTCTAAATCACTTGTTTCCTATATCTGTGTTATTGGAGGCCACGTATGACGACATAGATACTGCCCTCTCGCTCCAAATTGCAGTTTGGTTCACAACGGGTACTATAATCCAGGCACTAGCATTCTTCGACACCTCGGGAGAGCTATATTAACTAACGAGGACCAGACTATTCTTTCTGTAACAATCACCTTTCATTCCAATAATGGGGGCCATATTGTCCAAGATCACTGAGACTTACCACGCCTTAGCTGCGTTCTGGTCAGAGCTCTCGCAGAATGCTGCCGAGAGCAATGCCCTTCTACGACGCATCGCCACCCCTGAATTTCCAGCCTCAGATCCAACTATTTCTTTCTGGCAGACTAATCCGAAACATCCAGATCTAGTTAATGCAAAATCGGAGGAGCTGCCCCAGTCGGCAGATGTTGTGATTATTGGCTCGGGCATCTCAGGGGCCAGTGTAGCCTACACGATTCTTACGGAATGCCAAGCGTTGGGGATAGAGAAAAAGGTTGTGATTCTGGAGGCACGCCAGGTGTGCAGCGGTGCAACAGGAAGGAACGGCGGTCATCTGAAGTGTTCTCCCTATTTGACGTATTCGGATCTGAAGGCACTGCTGGGCAAAGAAAAAGCCAAGCGAGTGCTCCATTTCCAACTTAGGCACCTTCCCACAATCTTAGAGCTGGTCAAAGACGAAGGCCTTGATGAAGCGGAGGCCAGGGAAGTGGAAACTGTGGATCTGTTCACCGAACAGACAATGTGGGATAAAGCGCAAGAAATGGTTCAAGAACTGCGACGAGATGCCCCGGAATACGCCGAGGGTACTATGATTTGGGACGCTAAACAAGCACAGGAGGTATGTGAGCTGTGACTAGCGAAATTCTCTCCAGCTGACTGGAATTCAGAAATTTGGCGCAAGCAGCCATTGCCACGGAGCGATTTCGTACCGTGCCGGCGCCATGTGGCCTTATCGACTTGTTACTTCGCTTTACATGAAACTAAAGTCCAAATACCAATCGTGCTTCTCCATTGAAACAGGAGCCACCGTCAGGGAGATACACGTGGATGATAACGACACTACACCTTACCTTTTGCACACGTCCCGTGGTAAGATACGCGCCACACACGTTGTCCATGCTACTGATGCATATGCACCGAACTTGATTCCTGGGCTGAAAGGTAAAATATTCCCTGTTCGTGGCCACATGTCTGCCCAAGCAGCCGACGGCCCCTCGTCTCATCTAGACGGCTCTCGCTCCTGGAGTATTATTGGCAAGAAAGGGTATGAATATATCACACAGCGGCCCCGAAAATCCGCAGGCCCTCACAGCCCTGGTGGGGAAATCATGCTCGGTGGCGGTTTATTCAAATCGGATGAGAAAGGAATGGATGAGCTTGGGATTTGGAAGGATGACTGTGTCGACCCTACTATCAGTGCTTACTTGAGTGGAATATGGTCAACCATGCTCCAGGGTGAACATGCCCGCGTACTACAACTATGGTCGGGATGTATGGGGTTTACGCCCGATCTCGTTCCCTTTGTCGGGGAAGTCAGTCCAACCTTCACGAGGCGGCGAAGGGCCCCCAATCAACGCAAAGGAACGACCTCCGAATCCGGAAGTGCCCCGGCAAATGAATGGATCACAGCCGGGTTTAATGGCGATGGAATGGTGCTAGCGTGGCTTTCGGGGACAGCTGTTGGACTCATGGTTTTAGGGCGTGAAGATGTCCACCTGGAGGCTCGAGCCGGCCGACCAGCGGGCAAAGTTACGGATTGGCTACCGAAAGAACTGTACCTTTCCGAATCCAGAGTTCGTGATTTGAGCATCTTCAAACTTGCGCGATTTTATAAGGGCTTACCTCGGCAGCACGACGGAACTGGATCAGTATACGATGAGGACTTCGGGAAAGAAACATAACGTTGAGACATCACATCACCCCATTCCAGTATTCAGAAGACCTAGACCTACCGGACTATTACCAGGCGTTCCGATCTGAAATAAACTTACCAACAAATAGATTGGATCCCGAAGTTGCCACCAGTAAGCGACCCGAGGATCTCCACCCAGGGGCCCCATAACCCTAAGACGAACCACCACTAAGCATAAATCTAACCCTATAGTATAAGGCTTTTATTGCAAAGCGGACCTTTCCCCGTGTCGCATCCCGTTAGCCGTCCTAGCCATGCAAGACGGAACCACATGCTCCCCCATTTTTTTCTTGACCAAGCATCCATAACTTGCACCGACTGCTTCTTCGACGTGCATTGATGCGGGGAGCAGTGCGGATCTTTCACCGTGTTGAAAGTAGGAGCACGAGCCAAATCTGGGGTTAACAGGCACTATGCCTGTGGCATGTGGGTAGAGGACTTTATATACGGATCACTACCCCGTGGGGATGAACCAGGTTCCCCAGCAAGGCCTTATCAACCTCTTTTTATCTGTTATCATGGGCACTGGATCCATTCTTGAAAGCAAGCCCTCGGTGGAAAACCGTGAGGCAGTTGATGATGCGAGCTCCAACCACAACATCGAACGACAGCAGGTTCTGTCCGTTGGGCTCAACGATGCTCTCACCAAGGAGCGCATGTCGCCCTGGTCATGGGCGATGGTCCGTCTGTATGGTCTTATTGCTTTAACTACCCTGAGTAAGGGATTCTCTATGCCTCTCTACCGCGACTCTCCATTCGATTGCTGACATTATAGACTGTTGTATGAACGGATTTGACGGTACCCTGATGTCCTCCATCAATGCTATGCCCACTTTTCATGAGCACTTCGGCACCCGCATGCAAGGTAGTGGCACTGGTATACTCTTTTCCATTTATGCCATAGGCAACCTGGCGGGCGCGGTGGTTGCTGCACCCGCCGCAGATACCTTTGGTCGGCGCTTTGGCATGTTCACCGGCTCACTGATCATCATTGTGGGAACAATACTGGAAGCCTCCGCCCCCAAGGTAGCCCAGTTCATTGGTGGGCGGTTTTTGATCGGAATGGGCATCAGTATATCGAACACCTCAGCGCCGATTTATCTCGTGGAGATTGCTCTTCCCCAGTGGCGTGGAATTTTCGGAGGGTTGTACAACGTCGTGGGATATTATACAGGGGCATTAGGTACGACCTACTTCTCACATAACATTTATCGCTGACGTTTTCATCACAGCCTGCACGTGGATTGCTTATGGAACTGGGTTCATGGAAACCAACTGGTCATGGAGACTCCCGGTTGTTATCCAGGCTGCTCCTTCGGTCATCGTCTTGGCGGTGGCGTTTTTCATGCCCGAGAGTCCTCGGTGGCTCTTTGCCAACAATAGACCTGAAGAGGCCCGCCAGATTCTGATAAAATATCATGGTAATGGTAACCCAGAATCTGCACTTGTTGCCCATGAATGCCGTGAAATTGAGGAAGGTATTCGCTTCGAGGTAGAGACAGGGGGCCGGCGATGGTGGGACTACAAAGTCCTGTTCTCATCTCGCGACATGTTATATCGCCTTTGGCTCCTCTTCCTTGTTTGCGTCTTTTCGCAATTTATTGGCGGATCCGTCATTACGTGAGTACTCCAGATATAGGCTAGACAAGCAGTGCTAAGCCAAGCAGATACTTCATGCCGGTCATGCTCGAGAACGCTGGAATCACTGGCGCCTCCCAGCAGCTGCTTCTTAATGCTCTTAACACGGTATTCTCCTTTATTGGTGGCATCTGTGGCAGCTGCTTCGTCGACCGCTGGGGCCGCCGCACTCTGTTCCTATACGGCACCTTTATCACGGGGCTAATCTATATCCCCATCAATGTTATCTCCTCTTACGAATCAGAGCGTCTCAGTACCAGTATGGGCTATGGATTCATCGCTTGTATTTTCCTCTACGGCATCGTCTTCTCCTTCAGCTGGACCCCGCTGCAGTCACTCTATCCTGCAGAGATCCTCCCCAGCCGCGTCCGAGCCAAGGGGATGGCTTTCCAGAACGTGGTGTACGGTGGCTCCAACTTCATCAATATGTACGCTACCCCAACGGGGATGGACAATATTGGTTGGCGGATGTATATTATCTTCCGTAAGTATCCTTCCCAATGTGCAACGAATACAACTGACGCGGACAGTGGTCTTGCATTTCCTTGAATACATCTTCATGTTCTTTACCCTTCCGGAAACCAAGGGCCGCACTATCGAAGAGCTGGAAGAGCTGTTCCTCGAACGCAACCCCGTCAAGGCATCCTTGAAAAAGAAAGAGGTGGTCGTCCGTGAGGGCATGGGCGTCAAAGAGGTTGGCGAATAGGACAGGCTATCAGGCGACCGAGCAACTCTCTTCCTCTACCTGTCGGTCTCTATACCTGTCTGTTTTAGCCCGATGGTGTTGTATACTCTCAAGCGCTCCGTATGTAGTCGTCGAGCTCGGCGTTAGGATAATCCCACATTTCATCTCCAGTTGACATGCCAAAAATAAAATTAATAAAAAGAGTACACGCAACATGCAATTTAACTCGGCCATATTTGCTCCTACTAATACGAAGTCCCTGCGACCCAAGAGGCTGAGGCGACTGGCACGTCGATCTCAGACCCATTGATTCGTACCTTACTCCTGAACGACGGCGAGATCCACTTTCAATTCCAGAAGTGGAAGATGATTGCTGGACTGCCGAGTTAATTTCTGAGGACATGTCTGGTCACCTCGTATTCTCCGGCGACTCGCCAATGGCAACTGAACAAACCCGCCGATCGACTCCATCCCCACCCGAGAGATTTGGTCATAGTAACATCGCTCGACAATCTGATACGGAGTCCATTCCCACCAGTTCACATGTCACCTTCTGTCTGATTCCTCAATGTTGCAATCCTCGACCCATGGGAACATGACAGGACTAGTCGAATGCTTCGCAGAGTCTCTGTGTCATAATGAGTGAGTGGTATAAATGGAACGGGCAGCAGTCGACCGTAACAGGCGCACCAAAAGGATGCAATCGCCTGCAGATCCAACTATCCAGAAAAGGTAATTATCGTCCTGAATACGATCTCGCACGTCCATCTAGGAATGGTTTCCATGCTGCACACGACTTAGGATAGCTCGTAATAAAAAAAGTTTGATTGCTCTTGCAGCCTCTGCTGTCCTGCTCTTCTCGCATTTCCCTCTCTTCCTCTGTTTCACATCCATACTTCCACACTTTCTGTACTCTATCAATCAACTATCAAAACCAGCCAAGAATAATACATCCCAAAGAACAACCCCAAAAATAAACCAGAAACAGAAACAACCACCCAATTCAAACCCACGAGGAGAATCAACCGAAGATAACAAGTACAGAGAGAAAGAAGGGAGAAAAAAATGAAATCCCTCCCCCTCGTCACCACCCTCCTCCTAACCCTAACCACAACGCCAACAACGCAAGCATGGACCTTCACCTGGCGCAACGCGTCCAACACGCCCTTCATGGAGCGCAGCACGTCGCCAGCGCCCTGCACGCAGATCGACCAAGCAGAAGGCAAGGAATTCGTCTTCGAGCCCAATAACAGCCCCTACTCGTTCTACATCTGGACCAACGACAACTGCTCGGGTTCTTACAGCGGGTACACGCCGCCATCGCGGTGGGGCAAGAAGGCCTCGACGGATCTGCGCTCGTATATGGTGAACTATGGCGGGAATGATGGGCCGGTGACCACCGCTGTTTCTACGTCTTCTACCACCTCTTCTACTACTAGTACTAGTTCTAGTTCTACGGGGACTACCACGGGGGGTAGTGCCACGGCTACAGCTACGGCTACTGCCTCGGCGAGTGCGACTTCGTCACCCGGGAACTCGTCCGGCTCGTCGTCGGGGATATCCGGGGGAGCGGTCGCGGGGATCGTGATCGGCGTGGTGGCCGGGATAGCGGTCGTGGGGGGAGCGTTCTGGCTGGGACGCCGACGTCGCGGTGGATCGGGAGGGAACCCCGGGCATGGATTCGGGTCAGCGGCGGGATCGGGGCCCGGGGCGGGATATGTGCAGCCGGGGACGCCGATCGGGGGATCCGATGCGATGCCGTATGGCGGGGGTTATATGGGGGCGGAGGTGAAGGCGCCTCTACAGTCCATGTATGAGAATCATCCGATGAGTCCTCTTCCTGTGTATCAGCCGCCGGTGGGACAGCAGTTTGCGGAGTTGCCGGGGGAGAGTGCGCGGGTGGAGATGAGTGATACCTCGAGGGTGAATGAGTTGGACGGCAGTGCGAAGCGGTGATTGTGTTCTGGGGGGGGTTTTGTTTGTATTATACTTCTGTACTTGTGTTGGTTTGGCATTTTGGTTGAATACCCCGGTGGTTTGCATTGTTCGTATACTCTTCGTAATCTATGTGCATATTCTTTCATACTGGCGGCCGTGGGCTTGTAACTGCGAGGGGAGAAGAAGAGGTTTTAAGCTGCCTATTCAAACAAGGGTTTGAGAATCGATGGAATTCCTTTTCATCAGCTATCAAAAGAACTCATGAGAATCACTAGGTGTTCCGTGTACGGAGAAATCATAAAACTGAAATACTTCCTATAATGCATTATCATCCATGGAGCCTGTCCGATAGTAGAAAAGAAATTGATATGTCGAGAAGGTAAAGATCGTGAGCGAGACCAGGCTCCCCTATCACAACAGTATGATACAAGCATCTCCCGATACATGGGGCCTTATCGTAACTCTGTACATGGGACCACCATGCGCGCTTCGCCGAGTATCTGTGACTCCAGATCACGGTAAACATTGCGATGCCACGCTGTTTTTATGTGCAATGCTGTCAAAGAGGTTGAAAGAAAAAGGTGGCAAAGAGAAGGAAACTAAGAGGGCGGAAGGCCCAAAGGAGCCCATCACGGATGAACGCCAAAACTCCCGTGCCAGCTGTGCTGTAGACCTGCAGAACGATAGTACTGACCACGTAAATGAATGCCAAACTCGAACAAGTAATAGGACGCTAGTGATGATGTTCAGGGTATAGGGTATCGTGAGGCTTCTCGGGGTATCGACATGGGTGGCATGCGACCTCCGACCCCACCAGCAGCACCACCTCGACGCATACCTGCTCGCAAATCAAAGTCGGGGTTGTTCTCCAGCAAGACATTTTGCCTCTGTTGGGCCGGAAGTGGAGGCGGCTGCCAGCGCGGGTTGATAGGCCGCTCGGAGATTGACGTAAAATGGCTTATATCGCTAGTAGTGGGTGAGCTGGGTCCTTCTGCCAAATCTTCCGTCAGTTTCGGCTCACCAGAACTACCCGGCGTCAACACCGAGGGCAACCGCGGGTTGCCCACGGCATGCTCATTACGATTAGCAAAACGAGGATCGGCATCTTCGAAATAATCTGCTGACTCAGAACGATCATGATGTGGGGTGCGAGTACGCTCCGTCGGTCGGTAGGCATGGACGGGCGAGGGTGAATGTCCGGGGCGACGCTCAGCCTGCTCCCAGGCAGCGCGAGGAGGAATATATGATCTGTTCGCGGTTAGCTCCGTACACGAGATAGTACGAATCAAGAGTTCGTTTTTGTCTTACGCTGTCCGGCTATAAAGGCTCGAAGGGCTGACAGGTTCGGGCTGGCCATCTGCCGACAGGGCATGTGGTTGCTGGTCTAGCAAAACCTCCTGAGGCACCGGCTCCGTCGAGCCTGTTCGCCTGGGCTGCGGTGTCATCTCAATCGCCTGGCCTACCGGGCTGCCATCCCGTGGCGACACAGCCATTCCAATTGGTCCAGGAGACGGCTGGCGCATGGAGCTGGGTGGAACATCATAGTCGTATCTCTCCTCCTCTGGCGGCGGCATCGGTCGCGGCCCAGGACTGGGCCCATACGCAAACGGTGGCGGTCCTCGATATGCCCCCCGTCCTCCGCGCATCGTGCCCATGGGACTACCTCTACCACCGGGGGGAGGGGCTCTGGGTCCACCATAAGGACCCCCACGACCGTAGCCTCCGCGAGTCGGATAACCACCCCGTCCACGTGGGACGAAACCCGGTGGGGGCGGCCCCCTCCGCGAGCCCATACTACCGTCGGAATATTGATTGTGCAGCCGGGGATCACCCGCACCAGGTCGCATGCGAGCGCCGGGCCCGTAGGGACCAGATTGTGGAAGCGGGTTTCCGAATTCGTCTCGTGAAGGGTTGTATGGCGGCCCGTTCTCACGCAGCTGAGTGGGATACGGATGGTCTGGTAATGGAAAATCGTTGGGCGGTGTTCGCGAGTTCAGTGGGGTGCGGTCGTCATCACTCTCGTGCGTTGTCGTCCGGAATGTCGCAAACGTGGGACCGGTGTCAGATCCAGGAGGTGATCCAGTCACGAAAGGCTCCTTTGTCTCCGCATTGAGCGGCTTCGGATCGTTTAGTCCCATGGCTGCTGCGGCGGCATTCTGGCGATTGTAGAAGTTTTCGCCACTCATCTCGGCGTTTTCAGCGATGCGCTTCTTCCGCGCCTTGCGACTTACGAGGGTTCGGCGCATCGCGCAAGTAACCACACCACAGCTGACGAGGAGGATCGTCGCGCCGAGTACAATCCAGCCACCCCATCCTAAATGAGGAACGAAGAGCAGGATATCGACGAGAAAGGCAAGTAGGGAGACGAGAAGCGTCGGAAGTAGCAGGATCAACAAGACGAGTAGGTAGCGGGGCGAATGCGACGGACCATGGAAGTGGGCTGCGGCAGCCATACAAAGGCAGATTAGGGTAAGGAATGCGGCGACCGGATGAACAATTAGAATAGACGAAAGCGATCTTCGAGTGCTAGAAGGGAGATTGAAGTCATCGCCGGTGTCCGAGAGGTCATCTGTCCATAGTTTAGCACTGAAAGGTTAAGTCGTGTCGGCGGACCACGCACCATTAGTGTAGCCGAGATGGATATTGGTGCAGTGACCAGCTTTACAGTAGCCGAAAACCCCATAGTCGACATTTTCGAACGTCGCCAGCGGGATTCCTTCGACAATAGGGGTGGAGATAACGGATAAAAGCAAGAGAACAAAAGCGATCAGGAGCAGGATCGTGAGGGGAGTCGCGGGTTTGAGAAGCATGGCGGAGGGGCGGAGTTGCCTAGCGATAGACAACCCGTCTTAAAAATGAATGACGAAGACGTTGAATCAAGTAACAATAACTATCGCAACCACGGGGCAGGTGACAGCGACACACGCAGTCAATGATAAAGACGAGAGTTCACAGCATTGGCCGAAACATTGCCGTTGGTCTCCTGGAATTGTTGGGTGGGAGGGAGAGAACTGGGAAGGTGAGCGCTTGAACCCCGTGAGAGGACTCGTCCAGTACTAGTAGTACGATTGTATGTTTGATAAGCTGGAGGGGAAACGGCCAGACTAAAAAGCTAGTAAATGTATGTATCAACGTTAGAAATCACAGATGAAAGATAACTGGTGCGGACAATCTATTTAGGCTCAAAAAGAAAAGAAAAGGTAAAAAGAAAGAATGCGACGATAAAGGGCAGAGGGAAATTGGACCGGAGGTTAATGGTCGAGAGGGAAAGGATAGGGAACGAATGAATGAATGAATGGAGTGGAGAGAGAGAAGGAGAGAATTAATTGATCCAGACAAAGCGGGTGGAAAGGCGACCCCATTCTTGCCTCAGGTGTCCAACCCACATGACGACATTGCCACGATAACTCCTGTTACTGTGTATACGGTGCAGGTACTCCTCTTCTTCCTCTCTTCAATTGTCAAACTCCCTTACCTTCAACGATATCCCACTTCTACTACTTTGCTTACCCTTTTATCTGTAGGGGCATACCTTTCTCACATAGTTTCTCAAAAGTTTCTCATCCTTCACACCAACCCTACTCGAGTCGGACTCTTCGTGGTGGCTGTGTCTCCGTCCGCTTAGCTTCCCGTCAATGCAACGGCTGCGACCCTTCTGATTCGCCCGACCGGGAATCACACTCAGTTGGATCCTTACACGAGGGACCGTGCTAGTGACTCTATAAGCCTACATCCTACCCAAGTAGTTATCAGCTTTTCACACGGATGGTGGGTTTTAGATCCTACAGCATTCCCTATGGCATATACATATACATACATATCTACTGCTAACCTTTTGAGAAGGCAGAGTCTCGACATGTTTGATTGTGCCTGGTCTGATTGAAGTTTTGCCCGAATGAAACAAACAAGTGTTGCAAGATACGCGCTAAGGCTATCGGTCCCACAGAAGCGTTTTACGCAACGTTCCAAGGCTATCTCTTTGAGTTTATCGCGACTGTGATCAGGATTCAGGGGTGGGCCACCAAATTTAGCGCATCCAAGGTCGGATATTTTATTAAAGGACACTTTTCCTACCCACTTCACTGAACCTATCGTTGTCCGTTCAAGGTTATTCGGGCAAGATCTGGCTTTCAAGCCGAGTGGACCACACGGGATGAATGTGCCCAGTACAGGTTCATCATTCAACTCTGCGTGTACCCTCATACCCAGTCACTAGCGAGCTTTATAAGATACGTACCACAGTGGAGGCGGCCTCGATGCCGCCTCCACTTTTTACAATGAGTCCAGCCCGCCTAGTCGAAAGTACTTCAGGTCGGTCATCAGATCATTGCGATGTTTTAGATAGGGATGGTTCCTAATCAGCATTGCCCTTACAAGCTCTTAGCATACCACAGCTTTCGTGGCATTTTCCTTCAGAAATGAGGTTGAAAGAAAAAGGGGAGGGGATAAAGAAGTGCAATCCTCGCTAACAATGCTACGGTTTCGCTTACTTCGAAGCCGAGCCACTATCAGTCTATAGCACTCTGATGTATACTATTTCTAGTGGGTAAGGGTCAACCAGTTGTTGCCCCGGCCCTTGGGACCCTTGAATGCAACATTAATCTCGTGAGGTTTTTACTACGCCATATGTTGCCTCGTCGGAAGCTTGCTCAGTACTTAATTGTTTGACATATAGACATTGGCAATCTTCTTGCTACCCTAATTGGCTGCCCATCTCTATGCAAGGTGAATGGGAGGGATTCCTCGCCTGATAACCTTATTACATCTTCGAACAACGACTATCGATATATCTTGAGGTACCTTACTTGATCTTCGTGCTCAGGCCACATTACTCGAGTCCAAAGGTATCGGGGTGATTCCACGCGTGGATTGAGTTCCACGAGAGTTTGATAGACATCGCCGAGCAGTACCAATAGAACCTAATCCTGATCTAGACAATAAATCGCAAGCATGCTTGATGACTGCTTCGAAGCGCCAACAATATGCCCGGAAGCCGGCAAGGTTCTAGATCACAGAACTTTCCTCAGCACTGTAATCGCACGCAGAGAAGAATTTCAGCTTCTTTCTTTCTTTTTTTTATCCATTATATTATTTATCATATTAATTATTTTGTTTGATCCTTGCCTTCGTCGGGGGTTTAGCCACTTTGACAATATCGAGGATTGTCAAGACAGGGATGAAGTTTGTTCTGTTGTCTTGGCCTTCAGTAGAACCACTGGAGCCGCCACGGTCTTGCTTATTGTAAGAAGAAATAAAAATGAAACAAGACACCGTGTCAACAACCAGGGCATTGTGAACTGAAGAAACCGAAGAATAAAAAAAAGAGAGAAACAAAACCAAGTATGGCGCACGTGGAGCCTCTTCGTCATCCGGCTTTGCAACCGAGGTCTCCCTTGTTTACATGTCCCCATCTTCCGGTATGTTTGGCGGCGGCAAGGAATCACGATGGCAAACCCTGGTCTTGAGTATGAATCTCGCATCCGCAGGCTATACTATGGATGAAATATCTCTCCGGCTTGATTCATCGTTGTTCTATCAATTCTAGAGTTCGATGGGACTGGGAGGTTGGGTGTTGCTGCGCCTACCCCGATTGTCCATACGTGAAACTGACATGTACAAAGCGACAGAAAGCGAACAAACTGACTCGAGTCTTCCGGAATATGTTGGAGTTCGTTAGAGTTGAGTCAATTATTCGGCACAGGGCACCGACTTACGAATCGGGACCCAGTCCCTGCAGCTCGAAGAATTCCATGCATGGCGTGCGTCGCGATGGTGATAAGATGTCTCACTGTCACGTTGATCGCCGAACTCAAGTATGTGAAAGATAGAATACATAAATACTCAAAAGCAGTTGAAGCTCTGGATTGCCCTTCATGAGTCTCTTCCTGCTTCTCCTGAGACTCTTAATGCGCCGTCGGGGCCATCTTTCTCTTCGAAATCCCTAGTTTGGCCCAGTTCGACTGGCCCCTGTGTTCACACGAGGATATACACGGCCAGGAGTTGCATTTGTTGACTTGGGTGGATGGTTTATTCTTCTAGCCCTTTTTTCTTTTCCTCTTTTCTTGACGATTTTTTTATATACCTTTTTTTCGTGTTTGGTGAGGCATAATTGCATAATGGTGTTTTCCTCTTCTGTAATTCGAATATTTTCCTTATGGCTTCTCATTACACACGTCTGGGCAGGCGGGATTGAGGACTTAGTCCACCAATTGATGAAACCGGTGGAAGAGGCTATATCTTTCTTCCCACCGCTAGACTGGGTCCCTCATCCAAAGTGAGTTCAGTGTGTCCCCTGCCGTGCCCTCTCATATTTTTAACGATTCATTGCGATAGGGGAATACCATTTCCTACGAAAAACGACACTGCGGAACCCTGGAGACATCTTAACACTGCTCCCGTGACCCATGCACCAAATGCCAATGCTGCTAGTTGCTCAGCTACCAATGGTTCATCTGGGTATTGGTATGAGAAGACCGAACATAAGGACCAATCATCGTTTTTGAGTTCGGAGTATAAAGACAGCTACAAGGTTTTTCGGAACGTTGTGAGTGATTATATCGCCGACAACACAGGAAAACAAGATGCGGCACCTGCCATACAGAGGGCTATTGAAGGTATGCACCACGTACAAAGATTGTATTTTGGACGAGGACAATTGCTGAGGGTGAAATGGACTGGCAGCGGGGGCATCAAACGGGCCTTCTCGGAATTCCAAATCTATGGGCACGACAGGACAACCGGCCGTAGTCTATCTTCCGGGAGGTACATACCTTTTGCAAACCTCTCTCCAACTCTACACAGGAACGGTGTTGGTCGGTGATCCGACGAACCCGCCCGTTTTGAAAGCCGCTTCTGGGTATTCTCTGGATCACATCGTTTACGCCAAGGATCCTAACCACGAGGGGACGAACAACTTCTACGTTGGCATTAAGAATATTGTCCTAGACTCCACTGGGGTCGATTCAGCCAAGTCCTTGAGCCTCCTTGACTGGACGGTTAGCCAGGCAACGCAACTCACCAACGTCGCGTTCCATATGCCAACGGGCAGCCAGCATACTGGATTGACGACGCAGTATGACTATAATAGTAACATCATTGTGGTAAGACCCACTTGCAAACTGACTATCAGCATGTGGTCCTGACAGCACGCAGAATGACCTATCGTTCAGTGGTGGTGGTGTCGGCATGAAGCTGAGCGGCCAGCAATGGGTGTTCAAAAATCTCACCTTCACTGGGACGACTATCGGAGTAGTTGCAGGAGCCACCGATATCATCTTCTTGGGATGTCGTTTCGAACAAGGGGCCATAGGTATTAATGCGAGTGAGACATCGGGCTCCTTGACCGTGATCGACTCCAGCGTCTCGAGCGTAGACACCTTCATCACCTCGAATGACTCGGGCGGTGCAGGAAACGCAATTGTCTTGGAGAATGTCCAGAGTTCTGGAGTGACTGTTCGTCTGGGAGGCAACGCTGTGCTCACAGGAGGTGTAGCGGACACCTGGGTCCATGGAACTCTGGTAAGCAACTCTTGCCAATAGAAAGTATCAACTTCTAACTGGTCGCGGCAGTACAATTCAGGAAGCTCCAGCAAAGAGCGTGTTGAAGGGAAGATTGTCGTAACCAACCGGGCTTCGTCTCTTGTGTCGGGAAATAAGTATTACACGGTTTCGCCACCGACTTACCAGGACTACAAAGCAACCGAGGTTCTGAATATCAAGTCTGTATCCTCTAGCCCTGTCTATGGAGATGGTCAGACAGATGACACGGCAAACATCAACAAAATCCTGGCCGAGAATAAAGACTGCAAACTGATATATTTCCCTGCGGGTACCTATATCGTTACGGACACAATCTTCATCCCTAGCGGTACGCGAATCATCGGAGATGCCTTCGCTTCGACTATCAGCGCAGTCGGAAACAACTTCAAGGACGAAGGTTTTGTTCGCGTTATGATCCGCGTAGGATACCCAGGAGATACTGGAGTCGCGCAGATCAGTGACATGATCCTTACGGTGGGAGACATTTTGCCAGGCTGCCAATTAGTGAGTTCTCCACTATTTCAAAACCGACGCCCCAGTTACTAACAGGACCTCAACCCTAAGGTGGAGGTGAACATTGCCGGAAAGAGCCAAGGGGATGTAGGGTTCTGGAATGTACATTTCCGCATCGGAGGCGGAGTAGGCAGCAGGGTGCACAGTGATTGTACCAGCACACCTGACAACTGTAAAGCCGCATATGGACTACTCCATCTCACGGGTACTTCATCTGCTTACATCGAAAACATGTGGGGATGGACAGCAGATCACGATCTCGATGGATCTAGTTCGCAGACCATATCCACAGGCAGAGGACTTTTGGTCGAAGCAACTGCTGCCACATGGCTTATCGGTACCGGTTTTGAACACCACACTCTCTATCAGTATAATTTTGAGCATGCACACAATGTTCTTGCCACCATGCAGCAGAGCGAAACCCCATACTGGCAAGGTGTAGGAAGCACGCTGGCACCAGCTCCATGGGGGAATCACCTGAGTGCAAGTGATCCGGATTTTTCATGGTGCGCTGGGGACGATGCGACCTGCCGTATGGCGTTGTTCGAACGGATCAATGGTGCATCAAACCTCTTCCTTTATGGAGGCTGCAACTGGGCATTCTTTAACAACAATGGCGGCTGCAACGGCAAGTGTCAAAAGAACGCGGTCCAAATTATTGAATCATCTGCGCTGTACTTGTATGGCACGAACACCAAGAGCACGGAGAATATGATTCTGGAAGGCTCGACGACTATCGCAAAGGAGGATGATAACGCTGGTGGCTGGGGAGGAGTAATTGCGGCTTTCTTGTACAAAACGTAAGAAAGCCCATGGGGAGGAAGATGACGGGGGAGCGACATATATATACAGGCTTTATCATTCTGGTCAATGATAACAGAATCGGTGTTTATATAGATAGATTGTCACATACGCACAGCCGCTGTGTGACATATCCTTGCATCTCATTCTGTCCTTGCATTTATGCTAGTTTACACATTTCATATGGGCGCATGGTTTTCAAAAGTCATTTCTGAATCCTAGAACACACGAAATGAACATTACTACGTCAATTGACGTGTCAAAGGCCAACCAGGAATATAATCCCTCGAGTGACCGGCCTCTTGGGGCAAAGAAATCACATGTGGTGCCTGTGTGCCCTATGAGCATGTCCACTGGTTGCCGCAACCCAGCTACTACTCAGTACTACTAGTGTATACGTGAAATCTGAGGAATTAGAACAAAAGATATTCACAAAAGTTGACATTCCTATGGCTCAAAACCTGTAGAGACGCCATATCGTACTGCATTGATATGGCAGACTCTTAGTCACCCTTATTTAGCCAAGCTCAGCTTTGCTCTCACTTAGCAAATACTCCTTGTTCCAGAAAGTATGCATCAGCCCATAAAGTCCACAAATTGGTCACTGTCGCCATATTTGTTCCAGTAGCCTTGACATCCATGACCGATGCATGGAGCTACTGGATAATACCTCGCGGTTGGCGCGAACCTTTTGGTAAAGGTTTGGCAAGTATTTCGCATGGTATTTCTGCCGAAGCTCGTCTCTTGTGGAATAGTCATAAATTGACCAAAAATCTTCTTCAGTGTAGTAGGTCCGCGCATACAGCCACTTCTGACCCCCAAGTTTGTTTACTAGCTTCTCGAGAGCGTGGTTAAAGCGGAGAAACTCCCGGCCTTTTGGACCTGGTCCGTAGATACCAACACTGAGCATCATCCCAGAGTCATCCGGCTCGGAAGCTGGTTGGGCTCGGGTTTCTGCTACTAACCCCGTGACGTGAGCTGTGGTTGAACGCACCGGACAGATCCAAAGGGGATACTTCCCAAATGAATCGTCCACAAAGTCAACCAGCTCTTTAGCCCCTCTATAAGGGACTGCAACATCTTGGATTGTGTATTCGCTGAATAGACCGCTCTTGTGGACGGCATGATACATCACCCTTGTGTGAGAGATGCGATCCAAGGCCCACCGCATGAACTTGGTTTGAGGAAATAAAAAGTACTCAAACGCATATTTGCCAACCCAGAATCCGCCTCTGTCATATCGAAACAGATAGTCAGCAATTGGAATAAGGTCCTTTGCGGGGCCAGCTTCCTCGGCAGCCGAAAAGGCCATGTCTTCAGCGTGCATGTAAAACCAGGGGTCGGAAGGGCGAGTAAATGTTTGTATTCTTCGAGAGCCGTGGTCTGCAGCGCTTGTAATTGATCCTGCACAGATAACTCCTCTCTCTTTGGTGAACAGAATGCCGTCCAAGTACTGGTATGCTGGGTCAGGTGTGAGATGCTCGATCTTTCGTACAGCCTCTTCGACGCCCATTGAGATTGGAAAATAGGTCAACTCTACTGCTGGCTCTACAGGGAGCTCTAGCAGCTGTATTTCGAGGAGAGTGGTTATGCCCAAGGTTCCGAATGAGCATGCAGCCCCGAAAAAGAGATCGGAGTTCTCTGTTGCGGAGGCAGTGAGAATATCGCCATTCCCAACCACTACCTCGATCCAGTTGACAGTTCTATCAAAAAAGCTGTGTCGGTAGGAGCTGCTTTCTCCGCCTGTTCCGGCAAATCCACCACCGGCCGTTATTCCAGGAAATTCCATGACGACCGGCGGAATTAGTCTATATGGAAGGGTTGCCTTGACAAGCATATCCATAGGGACATTTGGCTCTACTAAGACAACCTTTCTCTCTTGATCAATCCTGAGCACTCGGTTGAGGCTGCTTGTGTCGACAGTGTTCGAGCGAAGCTTCGTTGAAGCGCGTGTCGAGTTCGTTGAGCCATGGTATATGTGGAATGGGATTTTGTCATCATAGAATTGTTTCACATGTGTAGAGATTTTCTGAACGATAGCGTTGTGTAGTTTCATTGCGAACCCGGTTCAGAAATGTTGGAAAGCGATGCTTTGCGTGATTTTCTATGATGGTGGTAAGTTGGTTCATTGAGCATCAATAAAATGAGAAGAGATATAGACTAACATACAAAGGCGGCTTCACCGACTGTAGTGATAGAGTAAAACTTTCTCCGTTTCGCATGTACCAGTGATGCAAGCATACATTGTATTCTACACAGTCTACATCACAGGTCCATTAGATCTCGCAGTTTCTATATACTGCAAGGGGTGTACGGCTTCACTCATCAGATTAAGCTTCACCGTTCCTCAACGGATAATTTCAGGTAAGTATTCCGAAAAGTCGGTCAACAATGCTAAGTTGGCACTATTCAACCCCTTTTTTCTATGGCTTTTGCGCTAGGATAGGTCATATTGTAGCTCGGGATAGACTTCCTGACCGATAGGTGTTCACGCATATTTACAAGAAAAAAAAATCAATAAAACACAATCAGTTGAGAATCACAGACTCCTCATATGGATCGTAGTAACGCTCTTCTAGCACGCAGTTGATGATCGATTATAGTCTAAGTTAAGATCGCTGCAATTCATCGAATACACTTGAGTATAAGGTCAAAACCATAAAAAAGGTAAACCAAAAAGCCCATGCGGGATTATTTCTGATAATTATTCTAAGGAGAGAATCTAGCACCGTTACTCAGTGCTTAACCTCCGACTCTGCGATATTTATCAGTCTTCGTGCTCGGGCTCTGCTACACAGATACGCGAGGCTCATTCCGCCTTCTTGCCGTGGGATAATCATGGCGAATTTCTCAGACAGACAGACCCAAAAATTTGATGTTGTCATCGTGGGTTGCTCCGTTGCTGGGTTGACCCTTGCCAGTGCTCTCTCTAATCGTAATATTGACTACGTCGTTCTCGAATCCCACAAGAACCTGCCATCACCTCTGTCTGGGAATGCACTGACGCTACTCCCTAATGGGGTGCGTATACTCAGTCAGCTCGGAGTGTTGGAAGATATTCAAGCTGTTTCGCAGTCAATCAGCAGCCATTCGACCTGGCTTGCCAACGGATATCTGCTAAAAACGGTTGATATGAGGCAGCTTCCATGCACGAGGTAGGCATTCACGTCTACCTTATCAGTCATGCAACTCATGAGAGCCTTCTAGGCATGGTTACGACTCGGCTGTGATCGCCCGCTGGGATTTAATACAGATCCTGTATAATAGTTTAGTCGGGGACAAGCATCGCGTTGTGTTTGATAAGCGTGCAGTTCAGTTCGAACAAAGCGCGTCAGAAGTCAAGGTGAAATGCGCCGATGGATCCTCATTTACCGGGGACGTAATTGTCGGCGCCGATGGAATCCATAGTGTCACACGAAGGGAAGCTCTCTGGCATCAAGACCTTTCTAGAACGCTATGTAGTATTCAAAGTGAGCCACCAAGTAAGTTACAATAGTTAATATTGGATAGACGCTTGGCTTATCTTCATTTTAGGGTTGACCTCCGATTTTTCTGGCATTTACGGCATCTCAAACCCTATACCTGGTTTACACCCAGGGCAAGCGCATCGAACCTATGGAAACGGATTCTCCTTTATAGTAAACGTTGGCAAACACGGTCGTATATACTGGCTTCTGTCAATCAAAACTAGAGAAACATATCAGGACCCCCGACTTTCACGTTATGCGCATGACCATACATCAATCCACAAACACGTCCGACCATTCTTAGATACCCACATTTCTGGTTCTGTCCTCTTCAAAGATCTGTATTACAACTCGAAAACATGTCTCCACGTTGGGCTCGAGGAACTACTCTGCGACAAATGGGTTTCAGGGAATATTGTATGTATTGGTGATTCCGTGCACAAAGTTAGTGTGGTCTTCTATTCCTCATCAAGATATTACCAGACGATTAACTGATAGGCGGAAAGATGACTCCAAATTTGGCACAAGGGGCGAACTGTGCTATTGAGAGTGCCGCGTCGCTAGCAAACTGCCTTGTCTCTATCCTAGATAAACGCCAGGGTTGTGTCCGTTCTGACACATATGGGCGTGAGGCGATCTTACAATCCTGGGAAGCCTCACGGAAACACAGAATGAAATTCTTCTACACATGCGCCTGGATACTGGCTCGATGTGAAAGCTTTTGTGGGACTTTGTTCAAGGCGCTAGGGCTATACATTGGTTCATATCACGGTGAGCAAGTCATCAGCTACATATCAGATATTGATGGCCAAACAGAATACTTGGATTTTTTGCCAGATCCTCCGCGCTTATCCAAAACAGCATCGAAGGTGGAGCATGGGAACCTCTTTCATCTAAATTATCTATTTGTGAAGATGGCATTCGCACTCCTAGACGGCTCGCTTCGACTTTGGCAGTTTTGTTTCTCATAAAAAGGGTAGCCGATGTTAAACATCAATAGTGCCAATATATTCGATACATACATCTCATTGCTATTGATTTTTCTGTCATATTTGCGCTACCTAAAGCATATTTCGGTGCGAATCGCCTCAATTAGCTACGGTCGAGTACTCCGACTTTTTGCTGACGCTGAAAGCCCACATCCGGTCATATGCGCTCTGTATGTCCTCTGTACATTCCATTTGGAACATCAATTGAGCTTCTCTCATCTTTCGCCGAAGTGGTACTCATCTGGTCTCGGCTATATCCCCTTGCATAAAGCTGTGATCAAGTGAACAACAATTTCTTCACGCAAACTCTCGGAGATGCTATTAGATAACAAGTCATGGTATAAATTGCCCCTAGTGGACGTCAGGAGTTTCGAACATTGTTAATTTGTAGCTAATTTCTCAATCCAGTGCACGAAGTGGCTGCTCCTTCAGTATGGAGTATGTTGTGCTGCAAGGGGTAACATACTTAAGGAATGAAATTGTTATAGTCCACCAATACATACTACGCAGGAGGAAACTACTGCGTCTGTTGAGATAAACTAATACCGCCACACCCGTAAAAGCAGATATCCCTTTTGTTTTGCCGAAGATCTCCGTTCTCCATGAGGTCCACTTAGGACTCTTCCCTGTAAGATTAGTAACATCATTGCCATTTGTTTGAATCTGGCAGGTTTCATGTAGCCGCACGATGGACACCTCTGTATCCCGTACCGTAAATTTGGTTGAGCTACGTGGCGAGACCCAGTTATGTGATACGCCTAGAAACTAGTACTGAAGGAGAGTGCAGAAAGATGGCGATCTCGCTGCAGGATCAGCGGTAACTGTGGGAGCCCGTGCCAACATCCTGGTTCTCCCTCGATCAAAAATACAAACATGCCTGTATATCGCCAAATGACGATCACAATACAGGATACCGACTGTCTGGCTATAAAGCACAGACTAGGGCATATCATGTGAGACTAGGGCACTTCCCTCAGCTATCCCCTGAGATATTAGAGAATGTATATTTCTCTGACCCCAGTGGAGGCACGCAGTCGAAACCAACATGGACCTAATATTCAACTACTTAGATCCACTTATCATTGACAGTGTCTATGACTCAGTTCGCGACTCGTTGCAACTGAGACTATGTCCTACCTCTCATAGCTCAAGTGTCTGTTCTGTCATCGCAGATTCTAAGCTATGGTGTCGGGAAAGCATCTATAGGCAAAGTCTTAGCATATTCGTTGTAACATGGTTTGTGCCTTGTCCTGGAATTGTCGATGGCTAGCTAATGGAAATCAACGGAAAGGGTTTCTAGCTCGGTGTTTTTTCTTCTGCTTGGGACCGTCTGTCACTATCTATATTTTGACAAGACATTAAAAAAGCATCCCAAATACCACAAGAACCAAATCCGACACGAGATTTACGATTCCTTGCTGTCCCTTTTCGGCTTGAATGTTCTGACCGTCCCGATCTTCGTTGCTCAAGTTCGCGGATACGCAAAACTGTATGATTTCGGATCTGGGGGAATACCTTTATGGTACGAGTTTGGGCAATATCTTTTCTTTGTCCTATTCAGTGATACTTGCATGTATTGGCTGCATCGAACCTTCCACATCAACTTCTTGTTCAACCTCATGCACAAGAAGCATCATCAGTAAGGCACCTTGGTACAGCTGAGGATTCGGGACTGTGTTGAAACTGACGAGGCACTTGCAAGGTACATTATCCCGACCCCGTTCTCGGCCTATGCTTTCAATCCGCTCGAGGCGTATATCATGAGCCTGCCCATTTATTTGTATAGCTTTTTATGGCCGATGTCGCGGGAGGCACAACTCATTGTATTCATGGCCACGAATATCTGGACGGTTTTACTGCGTATGTGTCAACTCCATCCCTATCGGCACTTGCTCATTTGCCGCTAACCAATATGACTCTAGATGACAATCGTGATCAATTCCATACGGTGCATCATAAGAGTGTTAAACTGAACTTTGGACAGTTTCTTACACTTTGGGACCACCTGGGAGGCACCTACGCAGACCCAGAGAGATATTTTGCAAGCAAACGAAGAGCAACAGTCAAAACCTAAGGAAATATTGTATAGTAAGCTTAGCGTGGCAGAGGAATGGACAATACGGTCTAGGGGGATTGACTTGGAGGATCATAAATCGAACGAGTTAAGGGGTTCATTTCCCGGTGTAGATCCAGAATTAATTGTAGAAAATGGAATACTACTCAGAATTATCATCCTGAAGTAGCGAATATGACTAGTTAAAATGACATAGCCCTTTTTCGAAATTATGATGTGAGTATTAGAACCGGTGAGCCCACCAAAGCCCATATTGACACTGCTCTCTCCGTCAGCCCCTTACTATTCGACAGGGATGCACCTCAATTTAACCCCTTTCATCGACCCACAAGAGAGTTCACATTGCTTCTCCATCGGTATGTGGTTAGAGCGCTAGCTCTAGCTCCATTTTTCGTTGGTTTACAACATCAACCTACACCCTCTCAGCTAGAGCAATGCACTCAAAAAATCGTCAACGCAATCCCGAACGTCTGCACACATCAGGTTCAGCCGACTCCAGATCTATTCCGGTACATATAGAAGCTCACGATGTTTCGGTGTCCCTCACTGCTTCGTCTTTCCAAGGTATACGACGCGCTTGGAAACCCACCAAAAGTACAGCTATCCCGCCACAACCACCGAGAATTCTCCACAACGTACGAGCATGTATACCACCTGGACGGTTGACCGTTATCCTCGGAGGCAGTGGTTCGGGGAAAACTACATTCCTGAATGTCCTTTCTGGTCGAACGCAGAATGGTCGCCTTCACGTTGCGGGTAAAATTCTGTACAACGGCCGCGCAGATATCCGAGCATTTCGGAGTGCCTATCTGGTACAGCAAGATATTCTTCCTGCAATGCTGACCGTCCGCGAGATATTGAGCTATGCCGCAGAGTTAAGCTCGGGATGTACAGGAGCCTCGGAAATTAATCGTTCTGTCGATAACATCATTTCGATGCTAGGACTCGAAAACTGTGCGGAGACCCGAATTGGAGACAACAGGAACAAGGGATGCAGTGGGGGTGAAAGGCGACGAGTCAGCATTGGGATTCAGCTGCTAAAAGAGACCTCGGTACTCTTTTGCGATGAGCCAACAACTGGTAAGATAAAGGATATACGCTGTGAGGTAAGAGAGTCTATTCGCTAATTCTTTAGGCAGGCCTTGATGCAACAACGGCGTTTCAGGTTATTCAGACCCTCAAGCGACTGGCTGATGGCGGTATGACAGTAGTCATGTCACTTCATTCACCCAGGTCTAACGCATGGAGCCTTTTTGACAATGTGATTCTATTGTCCGGTGGTCACTTGATGTACAGCGGATTATCAACTATGGTGGGAGACTATTTTAAGGATTGTGGACATGAAATGCCTCCATTCGTGAATCCAGCGGACTTTCTCCTAGATGTCACATCCATTGATGTACGATCGGAGGCATCCAAGTCTAACTCCTGTGCCAGAGTAGAGCATCTGAAACTATGCTGGATGAATTTTTCGACAACCAATACAGCGAACTGTCTGTCTAACGGCCGGGATGTTTGTGACTACATAGACTTCGGTTTTAAAGCCCCAAGCTATCCAAGAGTGTGCAAAGTAATGATACAGCGAAACTTGAAGATATGCTGGAGGGACTGGAGGTCGCTAGTGGGAATCTGGTGCGCTGTGGCTGCTTTGGCAGCTATCAATGGCTGGGCTTTCTGGAAACTTGATGGCAGCTTGAGTGGGATTAGGTCACGAGAAGGGAGCCTCTGGGACGCAACTGGGCTATACGGATACTTGATTCTAGTTCATGAGATATGCCGTCTAATGGATGAGATCGGTCAATTTGATCACGAACGGAGAGATGGAATCTTAGGCGCATCCGCGTTTTTACTGAGCCAGAGAGCATCCAGATTTTTCCCGGAGGATCTGAGCCTTCCACTTCTCTTTACAGCCATATACTATCCCATGGTTGGGTACCGTGGCTCGGCCTCGCAGGTTTGCGTGTTTATACTGGTCATGCTACTGACGCATTATCTTGCCATTGGGTTCGCCGGTCTTTGTGTGGCCACTACCAGGAGTTTTCACGGAGCGGGCCTGATGGGCAACCTTTTCTTCACTTTGCAGATGGTAGCATCTGCATATTTTATCCAGACGGATCAAACGCCACCGTACGCTAGATGGCTCAAATGGATCACTCATACTTTCTATACCTTTGGTGCTCTATGCGCGAACGAGTTTATCGGTGTGCATGGCCCTTACCAAGGCCACCTATATGACTGTCCTTTCTCAGCAGGTCGTACAGATCCTCGCTGTAAACAGTATACTGGACGGTTTGTCATGGATAGCCTAGGAATGCCAAAAGAATGGATATGGCGTCCCATTGTGATCTTGTGGGCTATGACTTGTATTTTCCATGTATCGGGCGCCTTTATTCTTCATATCAATCATCCAAAACCACCTCTTACTCCTACGGAACGGGAATACAGCCCTAGTTCAACGGAGGTGGGGCGACAGCCAAGATACAATCGTTCAGTGACTCCAGTTTCCCTCTGCCTGGAAGACTACGCCTTAAAGGTGAAACGGCATAGGTCAGCGCGGCGAAATACACCTAGTGTTGCATCCAGAATCTGTGGTCCAGTGTCCACAATATTCCATCCAGGAAAGCTGAATGTGATTCTGGGAGCATCAGGTAGCGGCAAAACATCTTTATTATCTTCATTAGCTGAAAGGCTTCCCTCGAGTTCAAGTTTCAAGTGGTGCCGTACAGGCTCAGCTCTGTATAATGGACAACGGTTATCGAAGGTTCAAATCAGATCAATGGTTTCATTTGTGCCACAGGATGATCACAATCTGATGCCGGCACTTACGGTGAGCGAAACATTGCTCTTTGCCGCTCGGCTGAAGTTGCCATCCTCCATGCCTGACAGTGAGAAGCGTGAACGTGTTTCAGAAGTTATCGCAAAGTTTGGCCTGGAATCCTGTGCGAGACGTCTGGTTGGGTCCGCCATCGTGAGAGGAATCAGTGGCGGAGAAAAACGACGCCTCTCGATTGCCTGTGAGGTCCTGACTATGCCGCGGGTTCTTATTTTAGATGAGCCTACGTCCGGGCTCGACAGCTTCATGGCACTCACTGTGCTAGAAGTCCTGCAGAGTCTAGCTACCGAGGGCTGTACGATCATTCTCACAGTCCATCAACCCACATCGTCAATGTGGCCGCTGTTCTCCAACTGCCTGCTTCTTTCACCGCATGGAGTACCCTTGTATTCTGGTGAAACGTCTGAGATGTATTCCTATTTTCATTCGGCGGGATTTGAGTGCCCTAAAGTAGTGAACCCTGCAGATTTCTTCATGGATCTTGCAACATCCGGTAAATCACAAGGGAACGATGAAGATAGTAAGAAGCGACTAGACAACCTTGTCAATGTGTGGAAGTCGCATGAGTCCTACGCGAGAAAACAACCCCTTGACCCTCGACCTGGAACTGATCATAGCCACACAGAATTCGTTGCAGATTCTACAACATGCAACCATCATTCTTCTGCAACAGCATTCCCGATGCTTGTACATCGCGCCGCCTTGAATACTTTTCGCCAGCCAATCTCAATCCTAGCCCGATCAATCCAGGCTCCTGGAGTGGGTCTTTTGCTAGCACTCTTTACTGCACCGATGAAAACAGACTACATTTCTGTTCAAACCCGCATGGGTGTTATCCAACAGTATTCAGCTCTCGCCTTCATCGGTAAGCTTCGTTCTTGGTCATCCAGCCAATCGGTTTGCAAACTGATTCTTGATCTCTAGGTATGCTCCAAAACGTTGCGACATTCCCTCCTGAAGTGGAGGTGATGTACCGCGAGACATCAGAGGGTCTATACAATATTGAGGCATTTCTCGCGCAGTACACTATCCTCGAACTTCCTTTCGAAGCTTTTTCTGCACTAATATTTGCTCTGTTACTCGCATACGTAGCGAAATTAGCACCTGAGGCAGACCGGTTTGGGTTTTTGTTCGTAAGCGCTCTTTGCACGCTCAACAGCGGAGAATCTATCAGCATGCTGTTTTATCTTGTTTTCGGTCATATAAGCCTAGCCGTCAGCTTCACGGCATCGTTGCTTGCTATCTTCACCGTACTGGGCGGCGTCATGAGTCTAGATCCACCAAAAGTCCTTCAGTGGTTCAACTACATCTCACCCGACAAGTATGCAGTAAGCAGTGTCTCTATCTTGACTATGAGGGATGTGGTATTTAGTTGCACGGAGGAACAGCGAGATGTGAATGGAAAATGCTTAATAGAAACCGGAGAGGAAGTCTTGCAGATGTACAAATTCGATCAGAAAAGTCTGTGGTTGGAGGTGTTGGGGTGCGTTGTGGCCATGTTATGTTATCGTGTACTGGTATACGCGATTCTCAAGGCCAAGACTAAACGGCTGAACTCCAGAGGCACTCGAGATTGGTTTAGGCAACGGCGGCGGCGAGGCGAGACGACACGCGACGAAGAACGGGGTTTAATGCTTTCTGATCTGGCCGCATGATCCATTACAGATAGTCCAGCATTTGTCGGTTTGTTCTACTTGTAGTACCGGTATATAACTCACTGCTATGGGGGAGCCCTAGCGCGATCTATTCATTTGAATTCAGTCGTACCATATCAAACTACCTCCAGTTCTCAGCACTCTTCTTTGTGAATGCTGTCCATTTCCGAGGTATGCAGTCCAAAAAGCATTAGTCCTTGATAGTAAATCCTGACTAATAACCTCAAGCAGTGCTGGACTTTCTGCATACGCGTAACCGAGCTATTGGGACTCTTGAATCTGTGGGAAAGTGGAGAAGGATAAAGACACATCACACGAGTAAATCTGGCACAGAATGGGCCCCTTGCATACTAATAGTACTAAATAGTGGTAGTTCATCCTTTTGGAATGCTCATAAGTATTCATATTAGTCAATACTCATTAATTTTTCCTCTGGAGTGACTTCCTGTATTCCTGGGATTCGTTCCCATTATATCCTGACACATCAAGACCTAAAATATGGAGTTTGACAAACCAAAATACTCTTCTAGTGCACCCATGACCTCTCCAAAGGGTGAAAGACCTAAGGACCAGCAGCAGCTGAGGCCATCTGCAATCACTGAGGCAATAAGTTTCATCTTGTGTACAACTAGTCCTCTTTTTGTGATTTACTACTGGATAGTCTATCACTACTTTGATACCTCGATAACGGCCGCAGCCAGAACTGCCTCCTCGGAGGGTCTGATTCAGTTCTTTGCTACTCGCTTTCCTCATCCAAATGCGGCAGCCATCTTGGGCTATTCCGCTTGGCTTGCTCTTCAGGCAGTTCTGTATATCTACTTGCCCGGGACCGAAAGTCTTGGTCCTGTAACGCCGACCGGGCGGAGGTTGAGGTATAAACTGAACGGTCTCGCAGCATGGGGCGCAACCGTCGCTTTGTGGGCCATCGGAACTACCTTGGGAGTCTTTGACCCTGCATACATTGCTAAGAACTGGGAGAGCTTCATGTGGACCATTAATGTCTTTGCTGTGAGCGCTACGATGATATTCCACATCAAGGCTCACATAATACCAGACAATGAGGGCGAGACATTCATAACAGGCAAGTTCTCACTAAGTCACTTTCGTCACGCTTCTCTAAACAAACTCCTTAGGTTCATTTTGGTACGACATCTTCGAAGGTGGTGAGCTTCACCCTCGTATAGGGAAGATGTGGGATTGGAGACATTTCTTTTGTACCCGTACCGGCGGCATCCTCACCTGGACCGTGATGTAAGTTCCTTTCGTATATTTCATGCAAAAAAAAGGTTTGAAAATCGTTGGTCCTAATGTTGGCGATGTAGTGATTTATCCTTTGCGGCGTTTCAATATCAAACCCACGGCCAGTTGACAAATACCATGGTGGCGGTTGTGTTTCTGCGCGGGTGGGTTGTAGTGGATTTTTTTGTCAACGAGGATTGGTATGGCAGACTCTCCTAAGACCTGAGCCTCTTGGAATTGCAATAATCTAACCCAGCTAGGTTTCTCCATACTCTGGACGGCATGTATGAGTCCTTCGGCTTTTACAATATCTATGGTTTCTCTGCCATGATGCCCGTGCTTTGGTCACTACAAACACAGTATTTGGCCAAGCATCCAACAGAGCTTTCCCACCTCCACCTACTCGGTATCATAGTACTCTACGTAGTGGGCTGGTATATCCGTTTTTCTGCGGATTACCAGAAAGTCCAATTTCGCCAGACACGGGGTGAATACCCCATTTGGGGTAAAAGGGGGAAGGGAATCAAAGTGTCATACCAGACTTCAGATGGCAAAGCTCATCAGACCTTGCTCCTATGTTCTGGTAAGTTTCTTCACCAACATAATACTAGATCACTGTTTCACAGAAAACTGATGGCTTTGGTACTTCTTTCTTTCGCCTAGGATGGTGGGGATTGGCTCGTCACGCAAATTATACCGGAAGCACAATGTACACTTTAGCTCTCTGCGCTGCTTGCGGGAATGGGGGCATATTTCCCTATACTGAAGGGATCATACTGATCGGATTGCACATTCATCGGTGTTATCGTGACGAAGAAAAGTGTGCAGCAAAATATGGGGCCGACTGGTATGAGTACTGTCGCCGCGTGCCGTGGAGGATGATCCCCGGTGTCTTTTAGGTCAGTACGCATCGGAAATTGGTACGATATTTCGGGGCCTGCAATATAATGCACTATGTCAGCACATCCATGTTAGGATGAGTTTCTAAATTTAAGTGACATGTCAAAGACCAACCTGGAATATAGTCAATCTGTCTCTTGAGAGTAATCGGCCTACTGGGGCAAAAAAATCACATGTGGTGCCTGTGCCCTACGAGCATTGTCCACTGGTTCGGGCCGCAACCCAACCTCGACGACTCCGTACCTGAACTACCTCCCGTCCTCTGTTCCATGGTCTTCTCACCCTGCCAACACACTCATGCAAGGTGTAAAGATGCCTTGTCCAACCATATTGCTGTTCATCCCTTCCTGATAGGTTCTCCACACCAATAATACGAAGCCATGTTGAAGATAAATTCTAACCAGATCGATCGCGCTTCAAGCGACCGGTGGCTGGGACCTGAAGGTGGCTGGGGGTTTCCCGACCAACCAGCCCGACTCAACCCAACCACCTCATGGACAGCAACCATGTCTGTCGCTTGACAAACCTCGGGCGACTTCTCCCTTGCGTCCTGACTGAAATTATCGACACTTGAGATTTCACTCAGATGTTCAATACCTGCGTCTTGGGAATGCCCATCGCATATCATTCGCTGCAAGTGAGCCGTGCACATACATTCCTCCGTTGTCTTGAGCCGTCATGCTTGCTTCGGGGTCCGGGAATGTAAGTCTGAGGACCGTCAGCTGTAAGTACAGTACAATTTAGAATTCGCGTTACCCATCTCATGGCCAGTCCGACCGACCGAAATTCGGGTGCTGATTCCTCGTAGCAAATAGGCCGCAAGTCCTGCGTTCCGAGGATCAACAATCGGTTGCCGCCTCGGACGACTACTATTCTTTTTCAGATCGCACTGCCAGTTCGAGATCTCCGAGCAACGGCAGTCACGCTACCGTCGTGAGGTATGCCACGCCGATGTCCCACCCTGTGTCTCACACTTCATCCCCCGCCATCTCGAGAACGCATCTAGGCCTCCCCATGGTTGGGTCAACCTCCCGCCTGGAGCAGCCAGTGAGGATGCCAAACGATCACAAAAATGCGCCATCCCCCGCTACGAGTACTGTTCGCGCCGTGCAAGACAGAGAAGTTTATATGAGCCCAATGACGGAGAGCACCAGTCGCCAGGTCCCGAGTGACAGCTATGCGGGACCTCCTCCCACACCCGGCATGGATGACGTTCCATACATCCGATTTGCTATTAACCAACTTACGCGTGAAGAAGATTCTCAGAGCTTGCGAAGACCGAGTTCAGTTGCAAGCGAGGATTATCCGGCTGAGCGTCTCATTTGGGACGAAGGATTGGGGTATTTTATCCGCTCACCTGAGTCGAATAATACACCTCCCGCCCAGCAGCCGCTGTTGCAGCATTCCTCACCAGAGCCGGTCGACAGGTCCCATCAGGACTCGGTGGAACCGGAAGCCTTTGTCGCAGTCGAGCCTCCAAAAGATAGTTTGCTCTATCCACGCCTGAACTACGTGCCGTGTGTGTTACGGCCATGGGCTCTTATTGCGGTCGTCTTCTGCTCTTTGCTCATGATCGCCGGTATTGTCTTTTGTAATGTATGGTCTCAGAGACACCAGGGTTTCTGGGATTATGATGGCCAAGGAGGTGGGCGGTACTTCGTTGTTCAATTTCTCCCGCAAATTTTGGCCGTCGTCATCACCATTTGGACTTTCGTTATCCAGGCTGCAGTGTCTCGTATAATGCCATTTGCGACCATGGCCTCGGAAAGAAAGCTAGGTCAAGTGTTGCATCGCTTGCCGATTCTATCGCGGAACTTTCTGGTTCCAGACTTTTCGCAGTTTCGACATGGAGAACCGTTAGTTGGGTTCTCTTTGGTCTTAATATGGCTCTCGAATTTGATCACGTTGCCACTGCTAAGTTGCTTTTTCCAAGCAAAGTGGTTCGTCATCGATGGGCGAGGGACATGGCGTTGGACTGCTGTGCAGGATGTTGGCTGGACACTGGTAGTGATGTACGGACTGCTGACCGTTGGATTGGTTTTATTGATGTTTCGCTTTGTTCGCACTCGGTCGGGACTAATGTGGGATCCGGTCAGCCTGGCTGATCTGGTCTCGATCATTCAGCGGTCCAATATCTTGCGGGATTTTGAGCAGTCCGAAATATTGCCGGATGTAGGCGATTCGCTCAACCCTAGAGTGCTTCGGCTGGGTTATTGGCAATTATCCAACCGGGACGCGACGTTCTATGGTATCGGTGAGGTTGCAGCGCCGCTAGGAAACCCGTCTCTCCACCTCAGCGAAAAGAGCCGCGAGAAGCAACCATACGGTTTGTCCAGGGTTTCCTACGATATCGAGCAGCAGATCGGAGAGGGCAAGTATGGCTTCGATGAGCACATGTATTCGCCATCTGTTCGTTACCGCTGGACTCCATGGTTTCTTCGAGACACTTTTATTGTCGCATGGACAGTTACTATCGGTGCACTTTTTATTGCGTTCGTGCTGGTCAGCTTTATCCATGACGCTATTAAAGGGGGCTTCCCACCGCGGCTTCCCACACTCCCGTCGCCCAAGTCCTTTTCCTCGTCAAACTTCTTGTACAGCTTCATCCCAGCACTCATCGGGAACGTCCTTTTCCTCGCGTGGCAGCCTATTGATGTGTATTTCCGTGCCCTGCAGCCATTTGTCTCGCTCTCTTCCCCGGAGGGTGCACCGGCCGATCAAAGCTTGCTGTTGTCTTATCCGTCGTGCTTCCCCTTCCATGTGACAGTACTGGCTATCCTCAACAAACACTATAAGGTGGCCTGGATCTCCTTCATGAGCGTTGCCTCGGCGGCTATCCCTATCTTGGCTGGTGGTGTCTTTATCGCTCTCAACTACCCTTCGCAAAGCGAAATACGCATTGCGGCTCTTATGCCGGCATTCTACGCCATGGTCGCGTTTTGCGCAATATACACAGTGTCATTCTTGTGTATCTGGCCCGGTCGCCGCCGCTACCTGCCTCATGATATCACCACGCTCGCCGATCAGATAAGCTTCCTCTACCAGAGCCCTTTGCTCTCGGATAAAATCCTCCGTGAGCCTCGGAGCAAAGCCGATCTTGTTACGCGACTAGTCATGGCACCCCCTGGAGACAGGGACTATCCCATGTATGGCTTCGGAATCTATGTGGGGCGTGATGGCAAAGAACATCTTGGCATTGATCGCTTTCATCGGCCGGGTCGGGCAGACATGTTGATTACAACGGGGTCGATGAAATGATAACGACGTTCTTGGGGCTTGTTTCCTTTGGCAAGTCTGTACGATCTGGAGAGATGTCCACTCTGGTCCCAGATTGCGCAGCATTTAAATGGCGTATGGTTCAATGATTTTATGATTGTATGATTCAATATGGGTGATATGAATTTTCGGTTTACGTTTGACATGATGGAGGAAGGTAATGATCGATAATGAGATATGCTGACGATTTTGTTGATTCCCTTTTGTGCTTTGAGATCCCCAAAAGACCCTTCTATGTGTCCATAGCCCAGATATAATAGCCCTTTGCTTTTTACATGTTTAGATACTCGAGCAGCTATGCAATAGACAGAGTGATGTCATTTGATTATCTCGCCGATAAGATAAGGGGTTCCTGACTCATCTTCCACGTGAGCGATCAGCTAAGCCACTTTGGGCCGAGACTCCTGCCCCGTTTCTGGGACACAATATGACTACTACTTCGGTCAAGGGTTCTAGGCTCCAGCTTACTTTATATGCAAGTATCGCTCGTATCAATTGTCAAAACACCTGGTTGATTAGAGTCCGGATGAACGACTTCGCTGAGGGATTTGCGTGTTGTACATACTACGGGATCAATGCAGCGAATGCATAATTACTAAAGCCTAATCTCCTTATCGCTTTCTTTGATATCCACACATGATCGAAATTACATTGTGCTGTCACCATGGTCTACCGTGGGAAACCTAGCACGGGCTGTCAAAATTGTCGATCTAGACATATTAAAGTATGCAGTGTGTGTGCATATCCGGGATTGAAATCATGCTAATTGCTGCAGTGCGACGAAACTCGACCTCACTGTAGGGCCTGTGTCCGGACCGGCCGGACCTGTCCGGGATATCCGCACCCGCTCGATGTTATGCTAAGAGATCGAACGGCCTTCCAGCGCAAGAAAAGTAATGTTTCTAAGGCCAAGGCAGTTAATACCACAAAATGCAAAAAGGGTTCGAAGGAACTATCTTCTCCATCGACGGTGTCGGAGACGACTACGTCGCCCTCCACTGCATCTGCTATATCATTCCTGAGCTCCCCGCCAGAGGTGGAAAGGTCACCCCCCTCCGTCAACGCCGTGAGAGTTCTAAGCCCTAGTGTTCCCAGTAGTTTGTACCTGCCTTTGGAGAGTACAGTTACCTCTTTGTTCTTCAATTCCTATCTTCATCAGCCGAGAGACCCTCTCATTGGGCTCGGGTTTATGGAGCTTTTACCCGATCGATACTTCAATGCTCGGCCTGGAACTCCTTTGTATCTGGGTACACTGGCTGTGTCATTGTTCTCTGTCTCTGCCTGGACAGGGAATCGCTCATTTCTCCGCTTGGCGGAGCAGACCTTCGTGAGAGCTTTATCGAATACAAGGGTAGCCTTGCAGGGTAACCTTGGTGAAAATATGGTCGAGACTATAATGGCAGTTCTTTTACTTTCTGTCTATGAGGTGAGTCTAGATAGATTCAAGTCCTATCCGATGCTTAGGATTAATGATGATGTTAGGAGTTTTCTGCTGTTAAAGAGCACAGAATTGCAGCAAAAACGCATCTGCGAGGGGCAATTGCTTTGGTCAACAGCGGCTACATGCCACAAAGTCAGGACACCAATTCGCAAATAGTAACAAACTCAATCCAATGTCAAATTGTCTGTTATGAACTCCGAAACTCACGGGCCCTGTTGCTGATGGCTTGTTCTAGATCAAAGCCTCGACGATACCGGCTTATCCGACCATCGAAATGCCAGATGTGTGGCCTATGGCAGCGCCAATACCCCAGTCCGCACCATCACAGCTGACAGCGGCTGCAACTGAGTTAGTGGATCTTAAACAGGTCTGGGATAAGGTCGCATCACAACCGGAACTGTACGGCGCAGATGAAATCAGTCGCATATATTCCATGGCTATGATTCTCGACAGTAAACTTTGTGCCTGGGCATGGGCTCTTCCCCAACATTGGGCCCCAGTTCCGGCAACCATAGTACCCCGATCTGTCCGAGAGGCAGGTATGTTCAACAACAGGTGCGATTGTTATACAGAGATGTGGATAGGGAGCACATGGAATACCTATCGAGAATCTCGGATCGTGGTCCAAAGCATCATCCTCAACTGTCTCCGTCTGCTCCCGAACATTGGCACTCCGGACAGGGTTGAAGCAGTGATATCTACTATTAGAGAAATGGCCACTGATATTTGCGCCGCAGTCCCCTTCTTCCTTGGCAGCCAGACCATGTCTGTTCATCTGGACCCCTCCAAGGTTGAGTATCCCGAAGCTGAGGAGCGCCGGGTGACTCCGGCCCATCAGCAGACGGCTCCCCTTCTTGGTGGTTGGTTACTTCGGTCCGAACTTGAGTATCTCTGCTCGCCTGACCTGTGTTTGCCTGAGGAGCAGCAGACTTGGGTTAAGAGCCAGATGCAGAGAATCTGGCGCATCTACACATTTGAATCCCGGGTTATATGATAAGCTGGGGTTGGTTTTCCACCGGTTTCAGCGTTGGGCACTGGTATATATTGGAGGGCTATGCCCAACACATCATTTGTCGCTTTCTCTTATAGATGATTACATGAGGTGACCGCTGGGTGCCTTGACCTACCGCATTTGGGGCATGCTACGGTTTTGTATTATAGCCGCCAGATTACAATGCACATATCACGATAATGAAACACAACTCTGGCTTGTTCACGAGAGATACTGCACCGGATGACTCACAAAGTGTTTCCAGACGGTTCCAACAGCAACAATTTACCTGCCTCAGGCATAAGTCACATGACCAGTACAATATCACGGACTCCGCATCTTAGCTTCAGATCTCCGCTCCATCCGCCTCATTTTCCCCTCGCAGAGCTCACTTGAACCCAAGCACACCAAGACTGCAATTCCTACCAATCGGCATCTCTACTGTTACCAACGCAAAGAACCTCCTTCTGATTACCATTTCACTCCAACAACATGTTCTCCTTTTTCCGCCGGGGTCCTCCCCAAACCCCCGAAACCCCATCAGACCAAGCAACCTCACAGCCAACCACAACACAAACTAGCCAATCTCAACCACAATCCCAAAACCAAAGACCTGAATCCGAGCCCGAACTGAAGTTCATCAACCCCCAAACCAAATACAAACTTCTCCTCGGCGGCCTCACTTTCTTCGCCTTCTCGCTGTGGACCACCCGCCGCGCCTTAAACAGACGCTATCTCGCTTCCGTCCCACCTTTCTATACATCCTCCCTCTACCACAAGCCCGACGTCAGCGGCGGTGCGGAAGCCTTTGAGGCGCTGAATCTGGCAACACTGAATGTGCTCTCCCTGGGCATGGCGGGCACCGGGGGTATCCTGTGTGCGCTGGATATCAATGGGGTTGATGATATGAGGAGGTTTGTGAGGAGGGGGTTCTATGGTGACGGTGGAGATGTGACGAAGGTGGATAAGGAGCTGGAAGATGAGGTTGAAGCCTGGGTGGGAAGTGTGCTGGGAGAGAAGTTTGGGGTGGAGTTGAAGAAGGAGAAGGAGCGGGAGAGGAGCGAGAATAAGGCTTGAAACAGTAGTCTTTTGAGGATCTGTCGGATTACTTTTATGAAGGATTTGGTTTGGGATGGGATGCCGGTGGGTGAATTTAGGGCTTGGTTGGCGTTGATGTGTATATGTCGATTGTCGTGCATATATGGAACTGAAATACCCCACTTTTGTATTATATGTTTATTTAAAGAAATTCAATCATGATTGACTGAGGTCAAGATCTGATGGTACTCTACGTTTCCGCTATTAGGGTCTCGTCTCCGGGAGCCCTATATGAATGCTGACCCCACGAACTATCCAGTAGTTTGTTCGGTTACTGGCACTGCAGCCCAGCTTTAACCCTATCGTTCATGATCATAGCTCCATTTGTGGGATAAGCTAGAAGCAGCTCAGCGAGATGGTTGATGAAGCAGCTTTATCTAGGTGGCTTGACGCCTTCGTAGGCGTACAAAGGTGTCAATTGCAGCTCCGCCTTTTCTAACTTTGTATAATAAAGTCCCTTTACTAGGTGGTTCATATTGAAAAGGTTGTCAATGTTTTGGATAGTTAGACTAATCAGCTTCTGAAATGGAGACATAAATATAAGATGCTGAGAAGCGTCGGATAATTTGGCAGGTGAAAGCCAAGAGACGATCACTAATCCATCACGCGCCGATCACAAGGAAATCCATAAAACCATCCACCGTCTTCAATCGCTTCCACCTTACACCTCCGTGCAATATCCTTCGCCATGGCCGACATCGACATCACCGAGACCCAGTTCCAGCTCCCCGACGGATTGTCCGTCTACCAGAAGACATGGGCAGTGAGTTCTGAGTCTCCGCTGACGTATTCTTAGCACAATATTGACCCCCATGTATAGCCGAGTAGCGCTGCCCCCGTAGCGCGCCTGGTCCATTTTCATGGTTTTAGCGACCATATCAACAACACGTATGATCTGTTTCCATTTCTCGCCCGCCGTGGGATCTTCTGTACAGGAATCGATCAGCGCGGTTGGGGCCGGTCGGCCAAAACCAAGGCCGATCGCGGGAATACAGGCCCGACCGCTGTCGTTCTGGCCGATCATGCAGCATTCATCGAGGCCCAACTCGAAGCGACACCGTCTGTTCCCGTGTTCGTCATGGGTCACTCAATGGGCGGGGGATTGGTCGCAACGTTAGCCTCTACGCCCAAGTATCAAGATCTTGTTTCCCGCCTGGGGGGGATCATGCTCGCGGCACCGTTTATCGGTCTCGACGCAGAGCAGAAACCGAGCGTCATCACTGTTGCTCTCGGTCGGCTGGCTGGTAAACTATTGCCTCACTTCCAGCTTACCCAGCCGATGAAGGCCGAAACGATCGTGCGGGACCCGGCTGTGCAGCAATCCCTGAAGGATGACCCGCTCAACCCTTGTGTTGGCACGCTAGAGATGTTTGCGAACATGCTCGACCGTGCTGCCGATTTGACTTCCGGCAAGTTGAAGCTGAATGATGGGGTTCGGTCGGTCTATGTGGCCCATGGCACGGGGGACCAGGTCACCAGTCACGATGCGAGTAAGCACTGGTTTGATGCACAGACCGGCAAGGTCGCAGACCGGAAGTTCAAGTCTTACGAAGGCTGGAGCCATCTGCTTCATGCGGACCTGCCGGAGAATAGGCAAGAGTTTGCCGATGATATTGCGGGATGGATTCTCGCACGAGTGTAGATGTTTGGATGTGCAGGCGGCGTCTTCGGTTTTATAGCTAGGAATTTATTTAATGGTTTTCATGCATGTATTCCTCTTTCGAACAATCGATCAGAAGTTTTTCCTTTCTACTGAGTGTCCTCTGATCCGCTACTATGGTCCGAGAACAGTCCTTGCTGGTGTGGTGTAACTCTGAAGCACCCAGTAGGGTTTATATATATATAACAATGCAAGCCGCTGGCATGGTAGAGTGGATTGGCTGGTTCACGGCTCAAGCTGCAAAGAAGACACCATGTACCAGTTAGAAAGGTCAAAGTTGAGCATATGTATCTGAAAGTATGTAGCACTTCTAGTTTCTACTATAGCAGGTGGTAGAGTATATCAAGAGGTGTTCAAATAGATGATGAGAGTGAAAACCATATTTTGGATTATATAGCCAAATAAAATGCAGACATTCAACAACATCCGATGTGGTGTAATGGCTAACATCGCTGTCTCTCACACAGCAGCTCGGGGTTCGATTCCCCGCATCGGAAGCATTTCTTTTTTGTCTTTCATTTTTCTGCTCCGTGTTCCCGTCGATCGCCTTGCCGAGTGCTCTCCGTAGCCCCGCTTGAAAGAAACGGCAGGCGTTTGTTTTCCTCAACTTCCACTTGTTGACCAGTTGGCCGACCATAACTGGGCGTCCCAGTACATCGGTACCTACCTTAACCAATACAATACCACTCACTAACTACCACCAGCTGTACAAAATGGACCAGTATATCGGAAGTGTGATATGATTGTCAATTATATAGAACCATGTCAGTAACCCAACCCGTTCAAATACTCGCCTAGGGCTTGCACCACCCTGGCAGCCTGCTCATGTACCACTCCGTCGGGACTGTGCGCCACGACAACAACCTGGTTCGTTTTGCAGGCATATACGCCCTCCGTTCCCTAGACGGATGCCTTTCAATAAATTATACCCGTCATATCGATTGCGGGAGCATACCTTCTTGCCAGAAATCGTGTTTGCGTTTGCCGTGACCACCTGATACTTCTCCCCAGCGAGATCAACCCCATTCGAATGTAGAGAACTCGCATCACTAAACCCTGTGATAAGGCTCTGAATCTCCGCCGGTGTAACCTATAGAACCGTTTTCACCCATATTAGTCCTTGAAACCATCGTTTAACAGGAAGTGCCTTACGCTGAAACCGGGGGTCGATGCCCATATATTATCACCTCCGCCTGAAAATATAGCGGCTTTGTCAATGTGACCACTCCCTACAAGAGAAGTGTCGACATAACCTGAAGAAGATAAGAAATTAGGAATCGTGTCATATAGCCAGAAGGATATAGTAGTCCAGTACTTTGCCAGCTCATCTTTGGTGTGTTGCTAATGTAGGATGCGAGGATAAAGGGACAGTAAGACTCGTTAGGGTTCGGTTGGTAGATCGAGGGGGTTCCGGCTCTTCTTTATAGCCACCTTCTTCTGCCCCTCTTCTCGGTGGATCGTAGAGGGAACCAATCGATCTCTATTAGCTTCGCGCTTGGATCTTTGGATCTTCAATCAAGGTCAGCTCGGCTATTGGCGTGGCCAATTGAATGGTAATCACCTCCACTGTTGGCTCAGCTGAAAGCTAAACTGGTTATCTTCAGTAAGACGGGCTGAAGATCCTGACCCACTATAAATGGTATAAATGGGATTGATCCCCCTAGAGTACGTGAAAGGTTCTTAAGACTCTAATCTGCGTCTGCTTCAATAACAGTTTCAAACTCGGGAACTTTGCGTTCTCCTACCTTTACAAACATGGCGGGTATGCATTCGGAGATACCGTTTATTATGTCGTTGGTCTACAGATTCTACATCATAACTTCACTCTCACGCAGACAAGCTTACCTATCTCACCTCCATGTCTTGGAACGGCTATACTAATTCAGTGATCAAATTGCAGATTCTCAAGATGGTGCTGCTATTGTCATCGATAATGGGTATTTGACCCTACTTCCTCTCTCTCTCCCTCTGAAAATCGGCATTCGAGAATCTCCTTTACTTTGACAACATTAAACCAAACTCGCAAACTAATCTGATCTGTAGGACAATGTATACCAAGGTCGGCCTTGCTGGTGATAAGGGCCCGCGCGTGGTTTCCCGTGAGTTTGTTTGAAGCCTTTGCTTCATCCAATGCTAAGTTTACTGGATAGCGACAATTGTGGGCTATGATGGAGGGTAAAGCCCGCCGTTTCCCCGCTTGTCATTATTGAATGCGATGGACTAAGATATATGCCATGCTTCAGATTCGAGAACAACGCATACGGTGGCGATAGTGCCGGCCCGATCCAGCGTGGATTGATCACCAACTGGGATGATATGGAGAAGATCTGGAGCCACGCCTTTGCCGCCGACCTTCAAGTTGCCCCGGAAGAGCACCCGGTTCTCTTGACTGAGCCCTCGCTTAATTCCAAAAAGAGCCGAGAGAAAACCACGCAGATCATGTTTGACACCTTTAAAGCCCCAGCATTTTATCTGGGGAACGACGCTGTCTTGGCTCTGTACGCGTCCGGCCGTACCACTGGAGTGTCTATTGATTGTGGTCATGGCTCTACTGATTGCGTCCCAGTGTGGGAGGGATCAGCATTGTGCCATGCAATTATCCGGGTGAATACAGGCGGAGACGACATAACCAGATACCTGAGAGACCGATTGGGCGGAAATGCTTTCAGTCCTGATATATTCGCGGACATGAAAGAGAAGCACTGCTCTGTTGCACCTAATTTCGATCAGGCGTCTCAGGGTACTGCTCAGCATGCCTATGAGCTGCCAGATGGGCAAACGATAGAAATGGGAGCGGAGATATTCCGGGCCCCTGAAGTCCTCTTTCAGCCGTTTATGATTGGGCTTGAAACCCAGGGCATTCATGAGCAAGCGTATAATTCTATCTTCAAATGCGATCGTGACAGTCGGAGGGATCTATGTGCAAATATTGTTCTGGTACGTATACCCCTTTCGCTTTTCTTCTTTCCTTCCTTCCTTCCTTCCTTCCTTCCAAAAAAAAAGGATCATCTGCTATGATAAACGGGTTCTTTGGTTTGCTGACGGGCCTTTCCCCTCTTTCTCTTCTAGTCTGGAGGCACTTCAATGTTGCCTGGTATAGCGGACCGACTACAACACGAACTGGTCTCTCTCAGCCCGCCAACTATGAAAGTGAAGGTGGTAGCTCCCCCGGAGCGAAAGTACTCGGCCTGGATTGGAGGTTCGATGTTGGCATCACTGTCGACATTCCAAGATCGTTGGGTAACCAAGGAGGCGTATGATGAATCAGGTCCTGGTATTGTCCATAGGGTGTGCTTTTGAAGAACTAACGCCGCTGAAGGAATATAATCTGTATTTGCGGAGTGCAAGCACTGATGATAGAATGGATTGATGCCACGAAGTGGACTACATACCATAGATGTAGAACATACCAACAGGCAGAATCTTCGCTTCCTGACAATTCCGTACAATCAGTAGTACCCAGTATAAATACCCTCATGGCTGGCTTTCAGACTTGAAATTCACACTCAGCTCAGCTATCAGCGTAGTCCAGCTGAACTGCAGTCCCCGCTGAAAATGAGCGCTACCAAGTGGATCAAAACCATGTGGCCAGCCTCAATCCGCAGCCAATAATTTAAACGAACACGTCAGTGGCCAAATACAGCATGTTGTGCGTTGATCGACTGATGCACGGATGATTTCTGAGCTGGCTGAGCTGAAGGTGATCTGCAGCTGAGGTATAAATGCCCCTCCATAGATAAATAACCCTCACCTTCTCGTCCATCATTTGGATTCACGACTTGGATAATCCCTCTACTCACTTCGCGTGTACTCGAGTCTACATCAGATTAACAGTCCCTGTTCACCATGTCTACCAAACTTTTTGTCGGGTGAGTTCTACTCACATAACGATATAATCGACCAGTGGCCTCCAACTAACACAACTCCGCATAACAGAGGCCTTGCTTGGCACACAACTGACGATGCATTGAGGTCTGCATTCGGGGAATACGGCACTATTGAAGAATGTGTATGCTGGGCTTATTTATTTTTATCCATCCGATGCTCGTTACTGATGCCATGTAGATGGTGGTTAAAGACCGAGAAACACAGCGAAGCAGGGGGTTTGGCTTCGTTAGATATTCCAGCGCAGAAGAAGCACAGGCAGCAATTGATGGGCTTAATAACCAGGAGTAAGTTTTCTGACGCGTGAATCGTGTTTTGCAGTCTTTGAAATCGAAGCTAAGCCCTTTTATGGTGTTCTAGGTTGGATGGTAGAACTATCAGGGTCAGTGCATCTGCTGGTGGCCGCCACTAAGGCAGTGGTTACGGTGGCTGAAGAGGGCCAGCAGAGTAGAATTTTCATGATATAGGAATGAAAGAGAGCATGTCGATGAATTTGTATTGACTCACTTGACTGTCCTCGCGCTGGTAGACCTCGGCTCTGTGAGGGGATTCTGTGACTGGCAAGATACCGTCACGGTTCCTCAAACTTCTTTAAGAAAAGGTCTCTTTACTTCCAGGAGTCAGTCTTAGCATAGACATCCCCTTTTGTGAATTGATAGAAAAGAATGCGCATAGGTACCAGTGGATATCATTCCCTAGAATAATACATTCTCGGGTGTAGCCCCACCATAGCTCAGCAAAATTGAGTTCGTTCACCGCTACTGATCAACCAGATTCAGCTCGTTGAGGGTCTTTCAGTGGGGCAGTAGATCTGAGATGTTCAGCTCGGTGGGGCTGTATATCACTCTCCTCTATAGTTCGTTAACTATCGGGTGTGGAGAACAGGGCTTCCGTCCACTCAGCCGTACTGAAAGCCACCTGTTGACCGCGGCCGACTGGAAAGATGAGCCCTTGGGAAGTTGCTGCTTTATAGGTGAGCTAGTCAACTTAGTAGGATTTTTGTGAAAATACAGTATAGGCACTTAATTTAGTTATGTACTACTTTTTATTTCCCTCTAAGATACTGGCTCTCAAGAAACAGCTTTATGATCCTAGGACCTACACAGAGATCAACTATATTATATAATGGACTCAGTACGATCTGAGGAAAGTAAATATAGAGAAGTACCCTTGGGATAGACCGGAGAGATGTTCCGTCACCGGCTTGTTACCAAGAGGCGAGCTCCAGCTGACAACAACGATAATGGATATATGAATATAGAAAGGACTTTGCAAATAATAGTTGTCGGCGAGACTGGATGCAGAATATGAGTGCCACTTCTTGATATCCTGGCCAATTATCAGAGTAGATGTGCTAGTAGGGTTGGTAGGATGTTTGGTTGAGTAGCCCTATCACAATTCAAACAGATAGGCTTGTTGCAGAGGTTCTTGGTGCTGTCATATATCCACGTCATTTTCTGTTATGTACATGAACTTCGAGCCATGGCTCAATATCTTCATCTTCGGCCTCCTCTAGTAGTCTCCAGATCCGCCGACGATTCCGCAGGCGGAGGGGAGCATGCTCTAACGGGTGCCCCGGTTCAAAGATCTCCACTTGTGCGAGGGTACGAACAAGGCGCTCCCAATCCCAAACGTCTGCTTCATATGTCCGTATATCTACAGTATCGGATGTCACAGGGCAGCTCTGTAGCGCAGAGATATCCAAATCCCAAAGCCAGGGTAAAATCTGCCGATTGAAAAGTAAGTCACGCCACCGTCTTGATGGTAAAAGCCGGGTGCATGTCTGCTCGGGATTGATAAAAGGGTGTAAATTAGCATAAATTATATCTTGGAGCTCGGTAGGCAGTGTCTCCAGTTTAAGAAATAATCCAGATTCAGGTTGTTCTTGGAAGGACGGCGGAAGAGGTTGCAGGTATGAAAGAATCTCCTGAGTAAGTCCCGGTATAGGAGAGGGTGCCAGTTCGTATTCCTAGTAGCAGATTGTTAGTGATAGGATAAAAGTACTATAGGCTATATAGAACTTACATAGGCCTTCTGCTCTCCCCAAGCCCAGGCGACGTTATGAAAGAGATTAGTATCCCAAAAGTAATAGTACTGTGGGTGGACTACACGCCGGGGGTTAAACGAGCCGTTGCGTCCGAGAGGATAATAGGTATGTACCCTCGTTAATCGCTGCTCAAATACTTCATAGAACTGGCTGAGAGTTGTAGGACATATTGCGTTAACGGATACTCCGGCTTTCAGAAGAGTCTGGCGATAGTATACCAGATATCGCATCATATCAAGACATTCCGCATGTACCGTAACATATGGGTACTCTGAATATAGATGGTGGACTAATTTCGACGAGTGCTTTGCATAATGTACGGGTTCCAATCTTCGTAACTGCTCCCCATAATGCACACCGTCGATCTCAATCTCTAGGAAATTAGAAATCTCTTTGGTTGATTATATTGAAAGAATCACACACCATCTAGCCCGAGTACTTCGAGCGGTAGATCATGGTTTGGCAGGCTCGCAATATCCCAATCTTTCTCATAGTGATAATTCTCAGCCCGGATGGCCTGTGGTACAAACCACTTGTACCTCTCAAGATTCTTGTCTCGCACTTCTGCTTCTACCACCTGGATCTTTATAAGCAGGATCTTGCTTTTAGGGGGACGGAACTCACAAAGTTTGGGACACCACAGATCACACAGCATATATCTTCCGCGTCATAGCCCCTAGGGAATCGCTCGAATATGAAGAGATCGCCCTCGGATGGACGCTCGCTGGGGTGGAACTCCATGGTAGGTGAGATGGAATTTTGCTCGGATTTCGATCCATGCAGATGGAGTCATGGACTCAAGAAGTATAGTCAATGACTCAGACAAGGTTGCATTGTTTAGCGCCTTGAGTACATCAATATATTCTATTGATTGGCTAGTCCCACCGAGGTTTGTTAAATCATCGGGTTAGGTTTTGGAGAGGCAGTCAGGGCTGGTATTATCTTACTTCGGAACCCTCCGTCTCTATCTCTTCTATATAATCCATTACTTAGGACAAACTAGTACATACGACCATAGGGTGTGGAGAACAGGGCTTCCCGTCCGCTCAGCCGTACTTAAGCCACACGCCGGGAGGTTAGTAGTTGGGTGGGTGACCACCAGCGAATCCCTCCTGTTGTATGTTTTTTTATCCATTTATCTTTGAATGCTAGATCTGTCCTTCCTAGCATCAGAGTATATTTAGCGTGGTGACTATGAATGAACCCACTTGTGGTCATGGCCGGTTGTATGCGGCACTATATTATCCGCCTCACTGTTGACTGTCAGTACCACACACAACCAGATGTGCACGTCATCCAATTCCAGTGTCAGCGCGAGTAGGGGGAGTCATATAAGAGTCTCGGTTGTTTCGGTCATGGAATGTGTGACAACAGGCTCCACATATGGGTCCAATACCTTTGAGACAGTAGATAAGGGTGGTCTTCGGATCTCACTTAACCTGGACGACGATACCTTCAAGACAACTAGGCCATCCTTCTACTACGTATACTATAGAAAAGTTCTCAAACGTGCATGTACATTGTCCAAACTCTCTATCAACTGAATACCGACGCCAGATACTGTACCCAATCCTTCCCCACATACCCTATATACAAGTCCGGTCTGACAACCACCACTGCGCCTTCGTCGCTCTTCACCCATTCCGCACGGAACTCATGTGTAAGGGTAGTGAGACGATGATCTTGGTTATGGATATGCCATATCTCTGCTTTCTGCTGCAGCTCAATAGCCTGGTCAAAAGAGGCAGGCTTCTCATTCCCAATGAACAGAACCTTGAATCTCCCATACCCAAACAACTCGTATAACCGAGTCTGAGACTGCTCTTCGGCATTGGCCTGAGATGATCCTAGAGGAAGCTTGGTAACCCAGAGATCCGGGCAACGGTTCCCAGCAGTGAAGTCGCCGTAGCTGGAGTCGACCACCAGTGGGGTAGTAGAGGAGTAGGAGACTCCCATGCCTGTAGATTATAGAATTAGGATGAATTTACGACAGAAAAAGGTGAGAGGGAAAGCGAATAATAACCATACCTGTAATGTAGCCCGCATTCTTCTCAATGATTTCAACATACTCCAAAGCAGTCTTGACGGTGGTCCGCACCAACTTTGCAGCAACGTCAATAACGGCCGAGGCTGTGGCACGACGCTCTTCATCGTAGCTCTTCAGGAGCGTAGAACCTCCATGTCCCTTGGCCACAAAGGCGACCCGCCATATGAGGTTGAATGCGTCCGCGATACCGGTATTCAGACCCTGGCCGCCGTTGACGGCGTGAACGTGGGCGGCATCGCCTGCAAGCAAAATGCGACCATTTCCATCCTTGGAAATGAAAGTGCTCGCTACTCTTTCCTTGACTAGATTGTTGTGTTAAAATTCATGGGTGCGACTCACGGGTGTAAAACGCGCGGTACATACTTTCAAACGTACTAAACCACTCAGTCTTCTTGAACTCAACCTTGTGTGGAGCCATATGGTCTCGGATGGAGGCTTCCGCATTTTCCTGTGTGATTTCTCCATCGAGCAGGATGTAGAAGCGGTTCATACCACGTTCGCTGCATGCATAGTTAGACTAATGGTCGGTCGACGAACTCTGACGACTTACCGAGGGATCCACGCAACGCGCGATTGTCCATCCTTCTGAAAGGTAATGATCTCAGGACAGGCCGGAAAGTCCGTCTCAATAAAGGTGTCCAGAACGGCCCAGACCATCTCGGGCTTGGTTCCAGTAAAGGGTATCCCCAGGGTGGTGCGCACGAACGAGCGCGCACCGTCTGCCGCAATGGCATACTTGGCTGCTATTGTCCTTCCTTTGTCTGTTGTTACTACAACGCCGGACGTGGTCTCTTCGATGCCATTGACCTGCGAGTTATAGTCGACCGGGATGTCAAGTTGGTGAAGGAGAGCCTCCTCAACCTGTGACTGGCCGATCATGAGGAAGTTGGGACGATGGGTGTGTTTCAGCGATGTCCACCATTGGTTTTGTTGAGAGGTAAACTGTCCCGCTTCGAATGTCGAGCTTGCTAAAGGAGGTTGTTAATCAAATTGAATTTCTTGCTGAGGCTGGACTGAACGCACTGTTGCATTTCAAGCCAAAGGGCTCGAGGAAGGGCAAGGTTTTCGTCACTTCGAGGTATTGTTGGGTTCTGGCGTTTAGGGCATCTGCGCGGCCGAGCTTCAAGGCGCCATCCTTGGCGTCTGAGAGCAGAGCTGGTTAGCATGCTTGACTTCGACTCATTGGCATGTTAACTCAGTGTGTAGAGACTGCTCACCGATGATGTACACTGAGAGTCCCAGGGCTCTGGCAAGAACGGCCGACAGTAAACCTGTTGGGCCGCCACCGACGATAACCAGATCGACGTCGAATGTTGATGAATTGTTCTCCATTGTGAATCTGCACGACTATTGCGCTAGTGAGATGCTCCAAACAGAAGGAAATCGAGACGATTTAAGAGCAGCACCCAAGAGTCTGGAACGAGAAGGATCGTATGATATGCGCCAGAGTGGTTCATCTTTCCTGAATCTGGGAAACACGACGATATACGTACTACATCTACAGGGCTGGGCATCATCGGCATTAGGCCACGCGAGACACCCAGCGAACAGCCCAGCAGATGGATCAGCTAATCTCAAGCCCCTGCAAGGCTACGACCGCGGCGGTATTCCGCTAGTGGATTGTCTTATCTGATGAGATGTGGCCTGTGATGACAAATGTAGAAATCACCCGGGAGTGAACTAATCGTTTCATTGAAAAGTCTAATTAGGTAATTAAAGCTCCCTTCGGCTGTTCTTCTCTGGCATCGATGGTCCTGGTGGGTCTGACCCTGGCTGTGCTCATCGTCTCGGTCTTCCTTGGCGATCTTGGCCACTGTCTGGACTCTGGACGCAGGAATGATACGGAATTGGGCAGAATTCGACTGTGGCGGACATGAGACGTCAACTGTCAGGGGTTCGCCACGGACCATTGTCGTGTCGAGACCCGGGGCCAGGAGAAATATTCCGACTGCAAAAGTCTGAAGCAGAGATTGCAGGCGTGAGCCAAGTGGAGCAGAGGTTGCATTAAATTTGGGGTTGACGGGCACTAAAGCTTAGCGGAAAGGCTCGGTCACGTTAGACTACGCGCTAAAGACGCCCGTTGAACGTAGGTCTTTAGGGCTAAACGCCCTGAGGGCAGTCCCTAAGTACCCTACTCAATAGCCGAGCATTAGTCCCGGTTGGAGACCGTCGGGCTCCTGTGATCGCGATACTATAGATTATATTAACCCAAGACTTTGCCACACCTACGGCGCATGCCTTAGTCCGGCCTAACGAAGCTAACAAAGCTAACACGGTGGTTATGCGCTATTCCGGCTTGCCATGCTGGGAAAAGTAATGATCCGCCACTTGAGCTTGAAGCCGTGATAGCTCCACTGAAATAGGTCCGTTCCAGCTCGCGATATGCATTATATCGCTCACTAACGAAAGATGACACCGCTCATCTAATACCTCAGAGGAGGACCGTGCCAAGACCCAACATCCCGAGTCTTTCGGCGCTTGGCGAGACGGTACGGGTGCCTGGAATGCTACCACGGTCCGGGGTACACCCCTTCAATAAGGCTTTCTAGATCTCGATGCCGTCTACACTGCCTTTTACGTCCGCAGGATCCGTACGTCTGGCAGGCTGTGTAACGACTTCAAATCCCGTTCCCATAGATCGTACCACGGCTTGCCGGAATGTCGGAATGGAATCATGAGGCAGTGCTCTGTAGTAAACGCTCTCGGGACGGTATCTTGATATAACATATCCACTCGGGGCCTGAATCGAATCGTAGGAGCTACGCTGGTGTGGGGTCTGCCTCGGAGCTAATTGGCTTAAGGCAGTGCTTGGTTCATTCTTCAGGATGCAAAGCTCTACCTAGTGCGAGCCCCAGGGTTGTCTAGTTCAGACGCTACTGGATTACCTGAGCAGCGCGGAAAATCCCGCTGTAATCTCGTTGACAGGGTCAGGGCAGGGCTGCAGGAAGCCCTCATCATATGATATTCAGTCCGTGCTCCATGGAAGGCTACTCCAGTCGATCTGATTGGCAAGGGTTGACTAACTTCTGTTAATTTCGTCAGTAAACATGCGTTTTATTGCATCGAATCGTCCTTGGCTAAGTGACCGTCACTTGCAGGAGTATAAATATATCTCTTTCGCACCATGATGCCGCGATCACCTCAAGGAGGGACAGGTTAATCAACTAGTCTTGCATTTTCACTTACACTTCCTAAGAGAACAACATGAGCGCAGCAGCAGTCCAGACTCCACTCGCCCCGACGAGCTTCTCGTCACTATCCCCAGTCGAGTCCATTGTCTTCGATGCAAAAGCACTCCAAAAGGCCACCGAAATCTTGAACGTCATCTATCGTTATCGCGCACCCGTTCCCGAATCCGTACAGGATCGCAGCGATGAAGGAACCCTGAAGTTCCTCCCTCTCATCTATTCGCGAGTGAAGGCTCAGCAGGCGATTCAATTGATCCTCCCAGCCTTTCCATTCAAGTCTCCAAACCGCAACAACAAGGTCCTGGGTGCCTTGCCAGATAAGGGAGAAGAGACTGCCTTGTCACACCTAAATGGCCTGTGCGCGGCGATTACGGATGTCTATGAGCCTGGTGCTATATTGACTATTGCCTCTGATGGTCTTGTATACAACGGTACGCGCATTCATGAGGAAGTATTTCCTACCTAGACGATGTCAAGGCTGACGAAAGTAGACCTCCTAGGAGTGCCCGATTCAGAAGTCTACGCATACGGACAATCTCTTCGACAACTCGTCTCCGACCAGGAATACAAGCACATCCAATTTATCAGACTCCAGCACCTCCTCCACGTGCACGAAGACATGCCCCTGGACGCAGCTACCTACGTGAGCCTTGCAGGAACCTTCCGACAGAGATTGGTGGAGAACTACACACCCCTGGACTACGACTGTGCCGCCAGTATCAGGGAGGACAAGGATGTGTGCGCGACCTATCGAGGTTACATCAAGTTCCTCACCAAGGACCTGGAGCACACGTTCGTCGACGACGGAAGCGTTTCGAAACGCTCCCACAAGCAAAAGCTCGAATCGATCGCCAAGGAGATGATCGTCCGTGGCAAGGTAGGTCGTTGTGTCCTGACACACCGAAAGGATAGCGCAAGTCCGACTGACTTTGATTTCCCCACTAGGCCTTTGCAGAGGCAATTCGGAAGAACTACGCAGACCATATCCGTCTATCGATTCATCCATCCGCCGGATCTACCAAGATCTCAATCAAGGTGTTGCCACTGGCTCTCCATGCCGTGACGCCCTGGCACTCCTCTCCATGCTTCACCGTCGACGGACGAATCGAGTACGGCCTGCGCGAGGTATTCGATAACCGCGACGACGTGGAGTTAGTACACAAGAACGGAAGACCATGGTACTACCGCGTCAAATCGGACCTGTACACCTGGTCTGAGCCGGTGGAGATCGAGCCGCAATACCCTTGTGGCCTGATCATCCGACCCACAGAGAGTAACATGTCAGTTACGCACCTGGACATGCTCAAGATCCGTGAACTAGCCCAGGAGAACTCCCCCTTGATTCTCCGAGGCTTCAACGACACCCGTGACAGAGACCTGTATCTCAAGAAGGCCGAGGAAATGGGAACTCCCATGCCCTGGAAATTCGGCTTGATACTGGAGGTCAAGGACCACGGGTCTGAATCCCAGGGTCTCAATAACGTGCTATCTGCCGAGTGGATGCCATTCCACTATGACGGTCTTTTCAAAGTCAAGAAGGAGATTGATGCAGATGGGAAAGAAGTCACTGTTTCTTGTCCGCCCAAGTGAGTGCAACCAAACCCTACTTACTATCTTTACTCCCACGGTAAATTTCGTAAAAACAAAAGACATGAACTCGTCTAACCAAGTCCAATCCTAGGTTCCAATTTTTCACCGGCATGACCCCCTCTCCAAAGGACACCGGCTTCACGCTCTTCAGCGCCTCCCACCTCATCTGGCACTACCTTCCCCAAAACTACACCTTGGAACAGCTCGCCAAGCTGTCCTGGACAGTGAGAACCGTTTCCTTCGATGAAGCCAAAATCACCGACTTGCCCCTCGTTGAGCCTCACTTTGCTCACAACCGACCCTGTCTTCGGTACCATGAGCCTTGGCCTCAAGAGAAAACGGCCTTCGATCCGACATACGTCACGATCCAGGACGTCCCCAACTCCGCGGAGATATGCCAGATGCTGGATTCCTTGCTTCATGATCGTCGTGTTGCTTATTGGCATTCGTGGGAGGAGGGCGATTGGGTGATCAGCGATAATGTGACCATGATGCATACGCGGAGCTCGTTTACAGCCAAGTCGGATCGGTGTTTGAGGAGGATTCATGTTGATTGAATGCTTGATTCAGTGTATTGCTATGGTTTCCCGGTTTAGATTTTTGGCTTGATTATTGTGTTTGAGTTTTTATGCGGACGTGTTCGACTGGTCTGAACTTGATGTCATGAATTTCATTGTGGTTAGCTATTGTACAAGGTATTACAACTATTTCTCCATTTGCTCGTAGCGCTCCCGTGCAGTCTGCCTTGTCTTTTCCAAGAATTCATCGTATCTCCCGCGGGTATTGCGTCCTGCTTCTTCGACTGCATCTCCCAATTTGCCTCCCTGTGCTCCTAGACCAACACCCTGCGCATAGACCTCGGTGGCAATAGGAGCAGTCATGCCAGTGCCCTGAGCACCCAGTCCTGTTCCAGCAGACCATCCCATCTTGCTGAGAAGAGAAGCACCCTTCGACGTTGACTCCACTGGGGGCTCTTCTTCCTCCTTCGGTGGAGGCGCGCTCTTCTTAGCTGCAGCCTTGGAGCTGCCGAATGCCTGTCGGCGTTCCCTGGCACGGTCGCGGTACTCCGGTGTCTGCTGGGCAATACCATGTTTGATGAGCTTCCCCATGGCCTTGGCTTTTAGCTCCTCATCTTGCAAGTTACTCTGGTGCAGCTGACTGAGTCGTTCGTGGCGGTTGACTTCCGCGGAGCTCTTGAATTGGCGCATGCAGAGATAACAGCAGTTCCGACTGGGGTCCGCATAGGACTGGGCTGGTGGAGCGCCAGGATCCATGGACGAGGCCCCTTGATCCGGGCCGCTTCCGGGGTCATCGGGGTCCTTCTTCTGAATGCCATGTAGTTCTGCGTGCCGATTGCTCCAGAATTGCAGATGCGACGGCATCGCAAGCTTCTTGGCGCCGGCAGTGGTCGAGTTATCTGCTTTTCTCTTTTTAGTTTTGTCTGTGTCTTTATGTGTCTTTCCCTGGGTTTCTGGCTGATCAGGCTGGTCGTTCTTCAACAGCATTTGATTATTGTCGCTGTCGCCAGTCGACACTGTGAGCTCTGTAACGTAAGCCTCCTCATCCCAATACATAAGCTTTAAGGATGGGTTGTTGAGAGGACTGAATGTGAACCTCTCCGTACGCGCCGAGGGATTGATGACGGGAACAAATACACCAGCGTGAATGTAGCTCACAAGCACTGGCCTTGATGATATGGTGAACTTCTCAAACGAGTTCAGACGTGTAACAGCCGCTTGAGCATCCTGGAGAGTCTGGTAAGAACGACTATACGAAAGCGGAAGGACGAGTTCCTTACCTGGATAGTTGCAAATTCCGCAAAACCGTAGCGCCAGCTTTCGTTGCTTTTACGATCTCGTACTAGTAGCACACGGCGGATAGACCCGTCCCGAGCTCCCAGGTTCGAATCGCCAGTAGTGGAAGCCACTTTAGCCCCTTTCTTCTGATTTCCTGATGTATTTTCAGCATTGCTAGCTGGTCGGTATAGTTTAGCAACTCCTTTGGCAAGAAGTTCTTCTGTCACGGTGGGCTCCAGTCCTCGGAATAAGAGAAACTGCGAGGGCTGGTTTTCAGGAGCAGCATCATTATCACCATTATTCTCAACCTTGGGAGCAGCGATTCCAGGAGGACCCGTCGGACCGGGTTCTGTGCTCGTTAGTAAGATACTTATAGTGGGTGAGGCGAAGATGCATACCAGGTCGGGGAGCTTGGCACCGGAAACATTTTGAACGTGTAGAGTAATTGACAATCGCACACTGAATAGAGATATATTAGCTGCGTTTCCGGTAGTGTGCAGTGTACTACGCACATTCTTGCAAGTCCAATCCCCCTCCGCTCTGGCGCGAGCGCGATCCTCTCTCTCCCGGCTATATGCGATGCGGACTTTGGTTCCACGGTCATCCTGACCCGCGCTTGGACCGTAGAAGTAGATGGACGGAAAGTTGCGCTCAACAAAAACGCGCGAATAGTTGAGGTCACGGAATCGGAGAAAGCCGAGCTGTCGGGATATTTCTGCAAACCGTCAGGACATCCGCGGATTACATCAAAGGAGTATTGATCTTACTCGTCTGCCGATCACGAATCACCCGAACTTCCTCAAGACCTTCAATATGATAGCCGTCTCTGAGTTCATTCGTAATCTGTTCAACACGTCGACCGGAATCACCGGTGACATGCACATCTCAGCCTCTTGTTACCAAAACGGTGCATTGTGGAGCGCAACTCTGAGCTTCCACGTGCAATGAAATCTCAGGGGGAAGGAGTGTTCCAACGTCTTCTTCCGTCATATCCACCGGCAGGCCATCCATCATCACTTCTCTGCTTTCTTGTCCGTAGTAACGGCCTCGTCGCTGGCTTCGACTCCGACTTCGACTGTGACTTCTGCTCCGACTGTGGTATCCCGGCGAGCGATAACCTTCGCGGTCGCGATCTCTGTATGCTGGCCTCCCGCGCCGGGGCGGAGGCGATCTAGACGAGCGTCGTCGATAGTCATCACGGTCCCGACTGCGGTAACGAGGTCTGGCATCCGGGCCGTCTCTGGGGTAATCGTGTCTTCTGTCCGAGGCAGGCCCTCGTGGGGGAGAGCGCGGAAGATCTTTTGACCCGAGAATACAGTTAGCAGTTGTCGAGTCGGAGAGAGACACTGTACGGCTTTTCTTCAAGCATCCACGCCTATGCTATCGTGCGGGGAGGAGCGTAATACCGCCAGGCGAGCGCGAGCGCGAACGGTCGTCGTACATGCGGCCGTCCCTATCATCACGGCGCGGATAGGGCCGGTGGGAAGCACCCGGCGGAAATCTATTATCGTCAGGAGGTAAACGAGACATGATGGAGTGACATGCGAAATATTATGAAAGATGATGCATGCGCAAGACTCGAGCGTTTCGAGGGAGAACAATCGATAAGTCCGCGGCAGAATTCCACACCGCCTGTCTGCCCAGCGGATTCGCGTCCGCCTTTCCCAATTGGGCGGCATATAGTTCGACAGCCTTAAAACTCCGAATTGAAACTAGCAAACTTCTAAAACGAACTATCTGTAATTTACTGTATTTAAACCTTTTCGATTAAGCTAATAAATGTACCAGCTGTTTCAAGCTCAGCCTGCTGCTGTATATGACTCCGACGAGTGAGGTTATCTCCTGGCGAGCACTTGTGCACATGTACACAACAGGAAGAATACAGTTCAAAAGAGAGAAAAATGATGAATGAAATTATGATAGAATGAAGTCTAATGCTTTCTCTTTTATACAAAGATAACGGATTCATTTTATGTAACACCATAAGCCCTGAGGCATATAATCTCTGTCTCGACTCTCCCTTATCTCAAGCCCCGTCCCAACTCATTGCCAAGTAAGTCTGAGGCGCTTCATGCCGAAGAACTTCTACTATATCCAACCATGTTGCCTAAGCCATGCTTCACACATTGATGGCCAGTTAGAAACAGGTAGACTCTCCGTGTCGAGGGCGAAGCCATGAGGCGCATCTGCAAAGACATGAAGCTCGACAGACCCTCCGCTCTTGGTTATGCCCTCGGCAAGACGATAAGCGTTGGCAACAGGGACGACCGGATCATTATTAGAGTAAACAATGAATGTAGCTGGGGCCGGGGATTTGAGCTGGACATCTGGCTGTACTGCGTCGTAGAGAGCTTGCTTCTCTGCAGGCGGAAGGGGTGGCTTGTTTGCAACGATGGTACGGCCGGCAGCGTTTGTCGAGATTGGTCCATATCCAAGAATAGCAAACTGAGCCTGAGGGATTTCTGGATCGGGTGATGTCCATTCTTGAGGATATTGGGCCAGAAGCGCCGCTCCGAGATGACCACCAGAAGAGAGGCCGCATATACCCTGTCCCTCCGGTGCGTGCCCGGACTCCGCCATCATCTTGAACGCACGTCTAGCATCATCTAGAGGCGCCTGAGCACCAGTACAAGCGGTGGGAAATCGGTGGACAAGCACAAAGGCGTAGAACCCAAGGCTGGCTAGCCATTTCGCAACCGCGATGCCTTCCCGACCAACCATGAGCTGAACGTAGCCGCCGCCTCCAAGAATGAGTACTCCCCTTCCATTGGCCTTGATTGGACTGTAACCAAGGAGAAAGGGACGCTCGACTTCAGTGATGACTGCCTTCGCTAGATCGCCTTCTGGTGCCTCAAGTTTGAATGCTCCATCCACTGAGCCCTCCTCCCACAGAGGCCAGCACAGGTCAGCCTCGAGCATTATGGCGTTATCAAGTGAAAACTAAAATAATCCTTGCAAGAAGTTGTCTTGATGAAGTTGATACTTGTGCGGGGATTGAAATACTAGATTAGGGTGGGCCTCGCGGTAACATCAACCCGAAACCCCGGATACTTCGCAGACTTATCATTACTCACTGTGTGGGATGTCGCATTGTGTCCAGGTTAGGGTTTACCAAAGAAGACAATATACCAGGCTTGCAAAAGGAGTTGGGGCCTTGTTAAAACAACACAAATGTATAGACATCAGCTATTGGGCCCCAGTATCATTGTGCAAGGCATTTCAATTGTCCAAGATGTTGACAAGCGTTCCATCAACTAAGCTGTAGACTGTAGTTTCAGTATGGTATACGCGACATTTATCCAGTTGGCATGCATGGTAGGGTGACTAGCATCAACTCCATCAAACCCTATCCCGCCCCTTTTGGAATCAGCTTGCAGCATCAACCTAGCTGGCCATTCAATACAGCTCGTCGGTAACGACCATATTAGTTAGTCCGAAATGACCACAGTTGCCAATGCATTGATCCAAAAAGCCTCTCAAGTTCTTATTATGAATATTCATGCAGTCAAAATAATTTGTGACGCAAGAGGTTGCGAGTCCCATCATCCATAAATCTTGATTTTGGAAAGTTTCAATAGTGATGAAAACGTCATACATATACTTGACTTTGAGAGAACAATATAGAATATAGATTGTTTAGAGATACTAGGACATCATTCACTTCTCTCGTAAAAAGAGCGTGGCATGAAATGGGATTGCTTTCCCTAAAACTTAGGGCTAACCAGCAGAACCCTTCAATCTGTGGCGATGGCCACTGTAATTATTGTTGGTGAGTTTGTTCTTCTAACCTCATGTTACCCATTTGTATTACCACTTTATCAAGACCTGACTAATAGTCTCAGGTGCTGGCACCGGGGGGATCGCCACAGCAGCACGACTGGCTCAACAAGGGTTCCACGTCAAAGTTGTAGAACAACACGGATTCATTGGAGGCCGATGCTCCATTATCTCTGAAGATGGCTATGTATATCCCACTCTGAACTGAAAGAATGTACCTAACAATACCAGCGCTTCGACCAAGGCCCGTCATTGCTTTTAATGCGCGAGGTCTTCGAAGAGACCTTCGAAGATCTCGGTACCTCGCTAAATCAAGAAGATATCCGTCTCATCAAATGCGAGCCAAACTATCGTGTTTGGTTCCCCGACATGGATATCATCGAGGTATCGACCGATCTCACACGCCTGAAGGAGCAGATCCAACATCACGAAGGTCCGGATGGGTTTCCCCGTTTCTGTGCCTTCTTGAACGAGGCCGGTACTCACTATAACCTGTCACTTGCGCATATGCTACGAAAGAATTTCCCTCGGTTGCTGAGTTTGCTACGGTGGAATGTATTGAAATCACTTATTTTCATCCATCCGTGGACGAGCACATACGCTCGAGCCGCGCGGTATTTCTATTCAGGGAAGATGCGGCGCGTGTGGACTTTTGGTAGCATGTACATGGGTATGAGTCCATACCGGGCTCCGGCGACGTATTCGCTGCTACAATATATTGAGACGGTAGACGGAATATGGTATCCAGAGGGCGGGTTCCAAAGAGTATGCCCGCTCCATCCCGTAGGTACACTCATTCGCTAACCTAAACAAGGTTCTTAGAGCTCTAGCAGATATCGGACAGCGATCTGGAGTAGAATACATCCTTAACAGTCCCGTCAAGTCCGTCCTACTCGATGACAGGGATCGCTTCGCAAAAGGCATCGTTCTGGAAGATGGCAAAGAGCTCTATGCTGACTTAGTCGTAATCAACGCTGACCTTGTCTACGCATACAATGAACTCCTTCCAAAGACACACCGGTCGCACAACCTGAAAAAAAGACCAGCATCGTGCAGTAGCATTTCATTTTTCTGGTCTTTCGATGAGAAACTGCCTCCCTTACGAGCACACAATATCTTCCTGGCTGAGGAGTACCGGGAAAGCTTTGATGCCATCTTCGAGGAACATCGTATTCCCGACGAACCGTCATTCTATGTGAATATACCGAGTAAGATCGATTCAACCGCTGCACCCCCTGGTAAAGACGCTGTTGTCGTCTTGGTCCCAGTGGGCCATTTGACATCAGAAATTGGAGGACAACTGGAACAAGAGAAATGGGATATCCTAGTATCTCAAACGCGCGAAATTGTCCTGGACACTATCGAGGCTCGCACGGGGCTCCAAGGCTTGCGGTCCAAGCTGGTCCACGAAACGGTTGAGACACCGCTTACCTGGGAAAAGAAATACAATCTCGACCGTGGTGCGATCTTAGGCCTATCGCACTCGTTCTTTAATGTGCTCAGCTTCAGGCCGAAGACCAAGCATCCGGACATTGAGCGGCTTTATTTTGTTGGAGCCAGCACGCATCCGGGGACAGGCGTTCCTGTTTGTCTGTTAGGGAGCAAGCTTGTCGCTCAGCAAATAGTGGAAGATTGGAACATGGAAATTGAGCAGAACCCTCGAATGGGGTTAATATTGACAGTAGTGATGGCTCTGTTGGCTCTGGTGGTGTCAGTTTTCTGGAAGCAGCATTAGGTATACGACGAAGATGAAAATGGTGAGGCAATTCAAAGACTTCTCTATGAGACATCTAAATTCACACTCCGAGAATCTAATAGAAAAGTAATCCAGACTACTGTCTCAAGGCCATAGCCCGATAAACAACCCACAAGCGTGTTCCAATTGGAAGCCTTAACTTGCCCCCTAGGGTTCCTGGCCTCATGCCCCGTCTCAAAGCTGCTCCTATCTCCAGATAGCTATCAACGGTCGCGTAAAAAGGCCCCTGCACCTCTTCCGGCAGAAATTTGATCTCTTCCCGAGCTGAAGCACTGAGATAGTCGGCCCTATCAAGTACTCTATCTCGTACTAACTGCACCCGAGGATCTGTAGAGGAAGCAAGTACATCAGCAGGACTCAGCCCCTGATCCTTTAGCCATGTTGTGGGTAGATACACCCGGTTAATCGCAGCATCGCGAGTAATATCACGGGCCACATTAGTGTATTGGAGAGCTTGGCCCATCCTTTCACCAGCATCTACCACGCGACGACGAAGAAAAACATTGACCGCAAACTCATGATCCGGAAAATGATGGACAACTAGACCCAGCATGGATGCCGCTACGGTGCTAGCGACGTGGTAGGAATATGTATCAAGATCGGATTCTGTGACGATAGGGAAGGACCCAGATTTCGCGCCGAAGGCTAGGTCCGTCCGGAAGCCCTCGAGGAGACCCTTTAGATGCTCAAGCCGCAATCGGGATACGGGGAGACTGTCGATCGCTGCGATGAGCTCCGGAGGCGCAGTCTGCTTGGCTTCTTCAGAGAATGGAAACAGATCTGGGTATGAAAACTTGGCTTCAAGGAGTTGATCGCATTGCGCAATGACCCTACGTGCGCTTTCGGTGTCCTGGGCTTCGTCGACTAGGTTGTCTGCTACTCGGAAGAAAGAGTATCTACATATGATACTCGTCAATATATCACGTAGAGTTAACCTAGGGGTAGACAATCACTCACAGTAAGATTAGATCGATCCGAAGCGGTCCTTGAAACATGGCACTCCCCATGTACAAGCTCTGACTGGAGGCTGCGAGACGCTCAACTGCCTTTCCTAGACTAGCTACGAATCGTGCGTCTGGATGGTATTTTTTGGTTACAAACTGTGCGAAGACACGGAAATAGGATGGGAAGCTTTGAAGTGCTTCCGATGATTGGGCTAGTTCACAGGTTGCCATTGCAATAGCATAGTCGATACATACTAGACCAAAAACGATCATCATATTGGTGAGGAGGAAGAAGAGCACCTCCCTGCTTGGTCAGTATGTTCTGAACCTAGTCATTCACGTTGGTATGGCTTACTCTATATCCATACCACTCCACAGTTGAATACCTAGTTTGGTCGGCACTTCAACAGTCCAAACTCCTTGGTTGATGGAAATTGTGTCCACAGTCCAAAGGAAAAGAGTGGGAAGTGTAACTGATACCATAAGCTCCATTTTGGGAAGTGCCATAATAAAACCAGATGACAATAGCCTAAGATTCGTGTCAGATACGACCAGTTCGCGATGCAAGGGTTCTTACCATTGTATCAGAAGAAATGGACCAGCCCATGTGATAATTAGACCAATATAAGTAAACTGTTCTCCACAGCGCAATGCGATAAGTCCAAACAAAGTATTAAGTAGAAGTATCAAAGCTCCAATGATAGTCTTCTTTCGTGCGACTGTACCCAAGTACATCGGCAACACAAGCCTCCGAGTTAGAATTAGATATACCAAGCTGGTATTATAAGTTTGAAGAATGAAGAAAGACACTTCTTCAATAGGGATATCGTATAGCGTCCAGCCTGTAACCCCATCAGGGGCGTAGGTCCAGATGCGATGACGCACCAAGTACGAGTCCCAAGGAATGGTAGCGACGAGAGATATCTAGCTCAACAGTAAGCTCCCTATTCCTGTCTACAGGAACTATACCTACAATGACGAGGGTGGAAATCTTTTGCCAGTCCAGACGTGTCATGAATGGCCAGTAAACAAGTGTCAAGAGCCCCGCTAAGGGTATATTATAGGTGACATGCCTGAAAGGTCAGGTCAGCAATTCCACGATACAACGTGATGACAGCATACTCACACCAGAATATAGTCAAGCCCCATGGTTTAAATGGAATTGATCTTGATTTGACAATTTCAACTGGACGTAACTTAGATTCGTGGGAGATGCTTAGGATATTCCTGGTTTATAGCATGCTCTCGAGAAGACAACACATTTGCGAAGCTAGTCGCCCCTTGCAGTAGACTATGGCCGTTTACATACATAGTTTCCCCACAAAAGCCTAGGATAACCGCTTAATAGCGAAGGCCCTGAGGTATCGCCCAGCAAGGGCAAGTCGTGGTGACCGAGCAAACCCAGAGGACAGGAGAGTTCAGCCATGCCAAGCACATACCCAGTTGGGCTGTACATAAACAGGCCTCTATAAAGTATGATTTCATATGCCATGAAACGGGCCCGACCACGATATGTTCATCGAAAATGTGGTTTACCTTAAATATCCAGCTCGCTGGTTGCCTGGTTTCGCCATTAGTCGGGTTTGTACCTAGGCTAGCAGCACATTCCCCTATACCACAGCCGACAACATGACTGGTAAAGAAAAAAGTCGCACGCATCCGTATGTGCGAGCCATATGCAGATGAGCAATATACTAATCCATTATCATAGCTACTTCTCCGGAAACTATGCCCCCATCTACACTGTCCAGCATGCGCATCCCTGCGAGGTTCAGGGCACAATTCCTGAGGAATTCCTTGGAGGGCAATATGTCCGCAACGGCAGCAATTCTCTTCAGGATGATGATCGCCGCGACCTACACTGGTTTGATGGTGACGGTATGCTCTCTGGTGTGTTCTTCAGGCGCATGCTTGGATCAAAGTTGCAGCAGCCGTTGTATTCGAATCGGTATATCCTGACGGATGTGCACTGCGCAACGGCGGAGCATCCACACATCAATCCGGTTGTGTCAAGCGTCACCACGCTAGTCAGCCCTATGATATCTCCACTGAAAGTCTTTATGGGCATGTTGCGGACCATGGCGCTGATGCTCGCCTCCTTTCTCGGACTTGTAGCCCGCCCAATCCGGAGAATTAGCACAGCCAACACCAACATTCTCTATCATGATGGAAGAGTGTTGGCAACCATGGAGACTGGTCCACCAATTAGAGTCTACCTTCCGTCTCTAAACACGGTAGGATGGTTTACAGGGAGCCGAGCCGAGGGAGAGCCCCCTGATGAAATAAGGGGGCCATCTTTCGGTGGACCCGGGATAGAAGGATTCCATAACGAGATGACGATACCCCATGTACGTCCCTATCTTGTTATTATTAACGGACACTAACCCTAGGATACCAGCCTCACAACGATTACCAAACGGGCGAGCTACTGCTTTTACATTCGACGTTTATCTTCCCATTTGTACACTACAGCATCATATCTCCTGGATGGGCCAGCAAGCACGGATCATACCTCAACCAGCCCGTTCCCGGCTTCACATCCGGAAAAATGATACATGATTTTGGGGTGTCGCGCAAGCATACCATTATGGTTGACATGCCTCTTGCTCTGGATCCGACGAATATAACCCGCAATAAGCCCGCCATACAGTACGACCCGCACAGCTGCACCCGTTTTGGGGTCTTCCCTAGGTACTGTCCCGCTCAGATTCAATGGTATGAAACCGATCCTTGTTGTATCTTTCATACCGTGAACAGCTGGGATGAAAGTGTCCCTTGGGGAACACGGGTCCACATGCTTGTCTGTCGGATGAACAGCGTGTCTCCTCTCTACCACATGGGAGATCTAGACGCACCAGCAGAGGCCACTCATCCGAATCCTGAATGTCGGTTGTATTACTACCAGTTCCCAGCGGATGGATCTAACAATATAAGCGAGCAATGGGCGCTGTCGGCAATTCCGTTCGAATTTCCCCACGTCCCACGACATCTAGAGATGACAGCCGCCCGATTCGTCTATGGATGTTCCATGAGCGAAGGGAACTTTGCCATGAGACAGAAATCCAGTGTCAAGATTGATTGTCTTGTCAAAATAGATGTCCAACGCTTATTGAAGGTGGCCGAAGGCCAACCACTAACTCAGATAAATGGATGTGTTGACCAACGATCTATCAGCGAGATTCTAGCTACGAACAACGTGGATGACCCCATCCAAGTGTTTACTCTTCCGTATGGATGGTATGCACAGGAGTGCTCATTTGTGCCCCGTAAGGATGGCACCTCTGAAGACGATGGCTGGCTCGTTACGTATGTGTTTGACGAGGCCCAGCTTGATGCGAATGGTAACGCACCAACAACCTCGCGCAGTGAGCTGTGGATAATTGATGCTCGCAAGATGAGGGATATTGTCGCGAGAGTGTTGTTACCGCAGCGTGTGCCGTACGGTATGCATGGGGATTGGTTTTCAGAGGAGCAAATTTTGAATCAGCGGGAGGTAGCTGAGTTTCGGTCTCTCGATTGATGGTAGTTAGGCATAGGGTGGCAGAGTTGTTGTATATTCTTTTAAAAAGTCTATATACAGTATCCACATATGAAAATGATACGCGCCAGAAAGAAACATAAGTCATCTCGAAGAAACCATACTCTGTAAACATCAGTAAGCGTACTCACAAAGAAGGAAAAGAGAAAGAATCTAACTCACAAACTCCTTAACCATCCTGATCTCCCCACGTGGCTCATCATCGGACGTTTTAAACCACGACGTATTCCCAGGGTTATCCTGCCCATCCACACCCCCGGTTATGTGCACATTTTGTCTGTGAGATTCATACCCCAAGTCACGATATGGTTTCATATCGTGCAGTGGGAGGGGCACCTCACTCAAACTCGTAATCAAAGACCGCTTCTTCCGCGCTGATGTCGCACTCCGATCGTAGTGATTCGCTGCGTATCCGCTTGATCCGTAGGGATACTGGTTTGTGCTCGAGTTTCGGGAGATAAAGGATTTGAAGGGCGGGAGGCAGCCGACTATGACAGCTACATTGCATCAGTATCTACTTGATGGCTCCGGTGATGAGAGAGAAAACTGGACGTACAGATAGATGATTCAGCGATACTCCATATGGCAAGATTGACTTGGTCCGAGTAAGCTTTTCCGATGATTTGGACTGCGCGCACGACTGCTATTGCAATGATGATGAATCCGACGCAGAATACGACGCCCAGGCCGATTTTCTGCTGTCTGGTGATCTTCGATTTCACGAGGATGCGGAGGGGGAGACCCATGACTGCGATTGTTAATATTAATGGGGTTAATAAGAATGTGGTAGCGAGTCGTACTCATCAGATCGGTGATGATATCCACAGCGGTACTATAGCTGATAGAGATAACGGAGCCTCTGAGATCGGCGGGTTTTGTGCATTTTCCTGACAAGTCAACAGATCAGTCTCTCTTTCGTATTCCGGATGTCAAGCGAAAAATACCGAATCTGAAGTAGTCCGATGGAGGGTGGCAGTTGAGTGCCGACGCAATCCAGCACCCAACATACGCTAAGAATGTGAATATGGAGATCGCAGCACATACGCGCCGGTACTTCGGGAGCCCGTCTGAGATCATCCAGAACAAGGCCAGGAAGGAGCCCTTGATACACCAGAGGATGGACCAGAAGAGACCGATAATGACGAACTCCAGGTGAACATAGCGCAGGGCATGATATTTGATGTCTTCTCCGGTGGGGGTTAGAGACATGTAGTAGAGGTGTGGCGCTTGTATGGTCTGTAGCACCGCGTTTGTGATGAGCAAAGCCAGCCCAAACAGGACAAAGTAGTCATCTGCTAGCAAATGCTTCATGCGCTGCAGGCGGATGGCTATACGGATGGAAGTGAATGCGACGCCCAGCGCCACACCTGTCCAGGTGACACCAATGAGGCCATTGGCGGACAGGTGGGTTGCTACGCCTTGGGGAGCAGTAAAACTGCTCATGCTGGTCGCATGGGGGTCATTAGGTGGGGGAGAGGTGGAATGTATAAAGAAGAGTGCCAATGCGAAGTGGAAAGCATGGTGATGGCCCTACGATGGATGTGACTTGGGATATACATGTTAATTTACTCAAATCTTAGATAGGTTCACCGGCGTCATCCTTCACTGCGCATGCGCATGGAGGACAAGGATTCCTCCCCCCATCAGAGGATGAGGGAGCTGAATGTACACGACTAGGCTGCAGTAGACCATATTCAAGACCGAACATCGGCCGCTGGTGCAACTCCAGAGGCCATCAGGGTCCGTGCTGATATGGGGGCCGTTTGTGGGCGGCAGCGAGGACCGCGGACCTAGGGCCCAGATGTTCCGATAATTTATTAAAGCTCGTATAGTCTCACCATCTCAACATAGTGTGTCCCAAATGTTTCGCCATCCCTGTCACTCTACGTAGGGCCCCTTATTAGTTGTCTATATTATGCCGTGTGCTCCAGAATCAAGTGCCGCGCATGTCGTGGTGATCCCGAGTCCACGACGGGCACCATCTGCCACCCTAGGGTTGTGGATCTCACGGGATACAACAAGACAGAATGTGAGCACAAGCCAATGGTTCACTTATGAATCTGAGGGAAATGTCAGTGTATAGGGTGCCGTCGCACACTTATCGTTCTTCTTTTGGAAACTTTACGAGAAATCCGCTCAATGGTAATCTAACAGAACAAATTTAATTTGGAGAAAACGGCACTAAATCTAAGCGAAGGGACGGACAACGGACGGGCGCTTTGTCGTCAACTTTAGTCTCCCGTGCCTGCATATCCACTGTACCATGTGGAACTTGGGATGGAGCCAACGTGGCCTGAGGGCTGTCAACTGTTCGAATGGTTTTGCCTAGATTCTCGGAGGTGGGATGTCGCCAAAGCCACAGCTGTGATCATAAGTCAAACACCAGCACGTCTCACATCTATAAAGGCATACAATTCTGAACAAGGCACTTAGATGTATCTGCAAGGCTTCATAAGCCAGACAAAATGCACCACATTGTCGGAGCCAATGAGATGCAAAGTAACTTGAGTCAGCATTCAATATACGCCTGGGATGATCCGGGATGCGGCACATCCCGACCTCGGTAGCAGTGAGAGTACCAAAGTGATGTTAATTAATGGCCAGACTAATGTAACACTCTTGGATTGCCCAATCAGACCCTCTTGCGCATACGGAAAAAGGTATTCACAGCGAACGCATGCACAACCCTTGCACAAGTCATGCCAGTTACCTTGCTTCGCTCGTACCCGTAGCCAATAGGGGAAGTATTTAGATTCAATCCCGACCGCAGCTCAGCTTCTCCTTCGTGAACATCTCGTACAATAGCTCTGTTTGAACGATTGACCATGCGTTCAACTCTGTGGTCACTATTGGGCCTCACCGGGTTGGCCTACGCCAACACCGAGGGATCCTGTAAATGCGTGCGTCTTTAAAAGGAACGACATCTCAGACAATTGATACTAACCACACAGCAGACACCTGGAGACTCATGCTGGCCATCTCTCGACACTTGGAATGCGCTCAACGCGTCGGTATCTGGAAAGCTTATTAAGAACACCCCCATTGCCATTTCCTGTTATCCAGGTCCCGACCAGGACGATGCCCAGTGCGCTTATGTCAATTCCCAATGGTCCAATGAAACCTGGCAGGCTCTGTCACCCGTCGGATACGTTTATCCTACCGATGACAGCTGTCCGCCCGTGGATCTCAGCTCGGGAGAGAAGCCTGGGAACTGTACCCTGGGACAGGCTCCTGTGTACACCATCAATGCGACAGAGCCGGAAGAGCTAGCTGCCGGGATGGTGTTTGCAAAGAAGAATAACATTCGTCTTGTTGTGAGAAACACCGGCCATGACATTCTAGGAAAGTAAGTACGATACCTTGCGATTTAGTGTGACTTTAACTCATCTGGTACAAGGTCTGAGGGCTACGGTGCCCTACAAATCTGGATCAAGTATATCCAGAAAGGAATTACCTACCATGAAAACTACGTGCCATCGGACCAATGTAAGGACACAAAGTGGACCGGTGCTGCGCTCACGATCGCAGGTGGTTACGTCTGGGCGGATGCCTATCGGGAGGCATTCAAGCGTAACCTGACCATCGTTGGTGGAGGAGACCCTGTAGGTCACTCCCATATTGACATAGTACAGCTCACAGCTCATCTAATGATTTGTAACAGACTGTAGGCTGTATCGGTGGATACATCCAAGGTGGTGGCCACTCACCTGCAAGCCGTGACTACGGTCTAGGGTCAGACCAAATCCTCGAAGCGCAAGTCATGCTCGCCGACAGCACCACCGTAACTGCCAACGCTTGCCAGAACTCCGACCTCTACTTTGCGATCCGTGGAGGCGGCGGTGGCACCTATGGCGTTGTCACCTCTGTAGTGATGAAAGCGTACCCTTCAAAACCTGTCGTGGCGCAGTCGCTCGCCATCCTGCCACTGGGGAACAGCACCGATGCCCTTCTGGAAGCAGTTACAGACATCCACACCGAGTACCCAGCCATCTCCGACGCAGGGTTCTCCGGGTACGGCACCTGGTCCCTCAACAGCCCCATGGTAATCATCGGCAACCAGACGGTTGGGTACGTCCATGCCGTGGCAGCGATGGGTAAATCTCGCAAGGACGCAGAGGTAGCATTTGCACCTCTGCTGCAGAAGCTACAGAAGTACAACGGCACCTCGCTTTTTGTTTCGGTCCAGTGGTATGAGTTCCCCTCGTATCCGGCCTACTACATGGCCATGTCGGGGGCGCACCAATCCACTGGCTCGGCGAACTCTGCGTTGACTTCTCGGATGTTCAACAAGGACTCTCTGACCAAGAACCGGGCTTTCCTTCGCAAGATGATCGGTACCATTGCCGGGGCTCCGGAGGAGTACACTATCAACAGCGTGGAGCTGGTCGGTGGTGGAAAGGTTCTGACCGACGGAAAAGACCGCTTCTCTGGGGTGAACCCAGCCTGGCGCTCGACCTACATGGTCAACGTTGTAGCCCGGGGTTGGGCTGACGAGTCAGACGCTGACGCTGTCAAGAAGGATATTACCTACAAGAAGGGCGGGGCTATGAGGGCTTTGACCCCGGGAATGGGTAGCTACATGAACGAGGTGAGTTCTTCTTATCTTCTGGAATCCTGACAAAGACTAATATGCTCTTAGGCCGATCGGAACGATCCTTACTGGGCTACCGACTTCTTCGGTGCTAACTACAAGCGTCTGTGTTCAATCAAGCAGAAGTATGACCCGGACAGCCTTTTCTACTGTCCAGCCTGTGTGGGTAGTGAGGCCTGGCATCAGGATAGCCTCCCTGGGAAGGCATATGGTCCTCTTTGTTACGGAAGGAAGTAGATAGTGTCCCTAGGTGGTTTTTTGTTGCTGTACAGTAGCTGTTACAATTAGTAATTCTGTAGTATAGGTTTATGTCTAGATTGTAGCATAGTGATAGGACGACGTGAGCCAGCTCCCAGGCGAGCCAGCTGGATATTAAGAAGTTCGTATTTCTAATTTGCACAATACTATATTAGATATTGGATAGAAGGACCTTAGAAAGCAGCGAAAAGGTGAAGCAATATCAGTCCCAGTCTCATACAATAGCAATTCTCTCAAAAGAATCAACACCTGCCCTTTCCAAAGCCTCACCTCGCATAACGCCCTCAACATACGCCTCCCCGATCAACACCCATGCATCTTTCCTGCCGACTTGAGCATGAAGCTCACCGATTTTCTGTTTCAAAGATGCAATTTCCCTCTCAGTATCGACGACAGAGAGTCGATGTTGTTTCTTAGCACCAGTCTTCCACTCGAAAAGGCGCTCTTCCAACTCCTCCAGCGTGTCTCCCAGGCTTTTCACTTGCAGCCTCAAATCCACATCAACATGTCTAAACACATAGGGAACAATGGCACCGCGTACCAGCATCACCAAATCCCCACATTCCAACCAACTAGGCCCCATCCCAATGAGGCCATCCTTCGTTCTAAACAGACACCGCCAGTTCATAGCAGAATAGAAGGCGTTCTCGTAGCGCTGCGCCTCGGGCGAGATGGGCTCTATACTATCCCTTAAAATGTGCTCAGATGGCCCAGGTATCTTCTCCACTATCTTGTCCCGAAGGTTCTCCATAATCTGCTCGCGTCGTCCTTTCTTCTGCTCACCACCATCACTCTTGCCAGGCCGCGGTCTGCCCTGGTCTGCTGCTCCAGTCCATGGAAGGTCGTTAAACTTTCTCACTAACGCCCGGTATACGACTAGAAGTCTTTCCAGCTGCCTCTGCTTGTCGACTCTGTGTCCCTTTTGCAGGGGGAAGGCTTTGATATCCATCCGCAAAGAGGTCACCCAGTGGCGCACCTCACGCTCAATGATTTCGCAGAGCCAGATGCGAGCACGCAGCTCCGGTGGCAGTGAGGACGGGGATCGATCCGCGTCCTTATCAGCCATGGAGCCCGCTTCAGTGTCACTGGAGGAGGAAGCAAGAGCGGTGGCCACCGCGTTGAAGCTCGTCCCGACATCTGAGGGGTAGGTGCAGGGCAACGCGGCCAACTTTTCGAGAAAGGGAATCAGGACGCTGATGTACTCCTCCGAATATGAGAATTCCGCATCTAGCAGTATCTCCTCAATACTGTCGAGGGGCATAGCATCTAGATATAATGTCGTTCCATCGCGAGAGATCGTAGGCGAAGGGATTTCTGCCGGTAGTTGTCCTAATGTGCCGGCTGCAAAGACCGTGCCGCCGCCGCCTGCTGCTGCTGGGGCGGTGGCTAGGTTGCTGCTTACACGAGACTATGGATGTTAGTTGAGGATTTGGTGTGCAGGTAGGAGTAGTCATAGAACGGAGATGAGACAAGTGAACTGATAGGGTACTTACTGTCCAAGAACCCAAGGCTGGGACCCAAGAAGGGAGACCAGGAGTTCTACTAGGCTTGAATTTGAACAGCGCATTGAGATGATCTTTGGGCTCCCGCGGACGAGCCGCAATAGACAGCAGATCAAGACCGTGTGGTTCGTTCTGGGAAAGCAGACATGCCGCGAGGTTGACTAAGACCTCCGCTTCACTGGCTTTATAATCAACCTCGATGACACGCCATAATCCCTTGGGAAGGGGCACCAATGATGGTGAGGCTCCTCCCATGGCTGCTGGGCATTCTATGGTGGGTTGATTGCTATTGTGAGCACGGGTGCCAGGACGGGGTGGCAATGGAGGAGGGCGAAGGTCAGATTTAGCGTACTCTCCTGGCTGAAGACGCAGCTTATCTATTCTTAACGACGCGGGATGAATCAAAGACAGGCCGCCAAATACAAAATCTCTAGAGTCGGTAGCATTGTGGCCCCTGCAGGTCAGAAGCCATTCTCGGAGGGTTAGCTTGCGGCCCTGGGTAATGGTTTCGCGAGCCAGCAGCACACTGGGGAAGTCACAGGTGTGGGAAAACCATCGCGGCATGATGTATGCCCTAGCAATGTCCCAGGACTCCTTCGCCGGCTTGACTGCCTTTCCAGGATTTTGATAAGCCCATATAAACGCAGTCAGGAGGGCCTGGAGGCTAACTTGATGCTTGCCGTAGAGGAAGACAAGTTCTTTCGCTAAGAAGAATTCTTGCAGTACCCAGATGCGCTTGAACCAATGCCGATTGCTTAGATCGAATGCAGCCATCGCTGGCGCTGATATGAAAGACCAGTCGTCCTTGAAGAGATTAAAGAGACCTGAGGATGCGGCAGCAGTAGACGTTTTATCTTCAGGAAATAAATCGAACGGCGGTAGTTCGCTTGGAGGCTTCCGCGCCAATGCTTCTAGCTCAGGAAGGCCCCGGGCTAGACTTGATGAGCAGTTACCGAGCCAAACAAGGACAAGGCCCGCCGATTGGTATATCCTGCCCATCATTCGGACCTGGGCATTTCTTTCTATCACATCGCTATTGAGCTGGTCAGTCACTGCCCTGTTGACTTTTTCTTTAAACACGACGGAGATGAATCCGGGTACCTTTGGTTCATGCATACCGCATCGATCCAATACTCCCCATTCCTAGGCCGAGTTTGTCGGAATGAGAGTAGAGCGTCATAGAGGTTCGAAGTCACGCCCAGTTTCTTGCCATTGCACAGGATGGTCTTGGTAGTGCGCACCTGTTCTTCAGCCCCTGTGTAATGCAAGTCATACTCTTCCCTTCGATACGCCGCTTTCACCATGTCCACTGCCAGGGTGGTGCCGATACGCAGGTATGAGTGCTGTTTCCTCCAGGTGTAGGAAAGAGCCGTGTATTTAGGGTTGTCGTCAAGGCTGACGGCTCGTATCGAGCAGGATATCTCATCGTTCGGTCTTCCAGGCTGGAGTCTCAGTAGACGAATGTGGGATGGGCCGGGCAAGGGTTGGTATTGGAAACTATCATCTGCGAACCACTTCTCTGGGGATTAGAACCCCGTATATATCTGTGGGTGGAAATCATCTTGAGGCTACAGATAGGTTCGCATACCGTGTGTAGTAGTTCTTTTGAGGTCCTTTGAAGATAATTTGCGGCGCTGGAGCTTGAACTGGTTTCCATACTGTACCTAACTTTGAATTGCTTTCGTCGGTGTTCACCTAAGCTGAGAAGCAGGAGATAAAATAATTATCCTTGGACCTTTCCTGTCTTTATATTTAAAGGCTTCAGTAAGTAAATAGTAAGCTGAAGATAAATGGAGCAATGATGCACTGACCCAACATCCAAGCATGCAGCATCGTCGCTTGTCAGCCGCGCAACATCTCCTGCATTGTTCAGGTCTACATAGCCACGCCATTGTAGATTTATATGAAGCATTTAAGTAGTAAAGTACCTAGATATTCTAAGAAGATCGAACGCACTCAGTGCTCGGACCCCCTCTTGGCAGCATTAGGCGTCATCTGAATGTCGATCTCACTACTGATTTGATCTCCAGCTGCAGCAAGGTCCTTTACGGCAGGCTCTTAGTACCACTGCCGAAATTCTGCTTCTATCTATACTGTAGACTATAGTACTTAATAGCAGTAATATGCGTGATATTTACTAATTTGATCTTGGTAAAAACTTAGTGAATAATAAGAGCATGTCACAAATACATAGATATCAGCAGATCATCAACAGGGGGTTATATAAGCCCAATGCCCATATTATCTACAATGGAGCTTGCAAGTTAGGGCACAATGGATATCTTCATTATACCATCGTTCACTCAAGTTTTTGAGTAGTGCGACAAGTATTTGTATTGTTTAATATCTAGACTTGTGTTTCCCCAACAATCATACCAATTCAGGAAAAGAAAAGGTTCAAGGTGAAGATCTCTCCAGTGTTAATCCAGATCTATTATGCAACGTGATCACCGCCAGCGATATTCATTCACTCAGTACATAACGTGACCAAAGCATGTATGATTCACTGAGAAAAAGAAAATATTGCGTTTCTTTATTCGGAAAAACAAGCGCAATGTCTTTGTTGGTCCTGTAGTGGCGGTCTTGTTTCCGATGGTTTGTAGTGAATAGGGTTACCTTTGATCAGGACACCAAAAGAATACCCTTTGTAGAAATACAAACCACAAAGAAAAAGAAGATTGATCACTGATCATCATCTGTTCATTTTATAAAACTCAAGCTTACCGCCTTCTTCAGCTCTTGTGTTGCAAGTATCTCAACCACAGTGGTCTTCAACTGATCAACACCACCACCAGCCTCGTAGACTGACAACACCACATCCACCACAACAAGCTCACACCAAACCTGGAGACACAAACCCCATCTACCTCACAAGCCAAAAAAACCCTCAAGTCAAGATGGCAACCCCCGACCTAAAAGCGCTCTACGACAAAGAAAGCGAGCTCAACGCGCAGTGGGAGCGCGACATCCACGAAGCCCGCAAAAAGCACTACGAGCACAACCAAGCCTTCTACCAGCGTCGCGCGGAGCTGGCCACCGGCTGGAGCGGCGACACGCAGACACACCACGCCCCCATCGCGGACTTCTGGCTTACAGCCCTGCGCAAGGAGCACGGGACGCGCAAGCTCGTCACGAAGCCCGATCTCGGCCCCCTGAAGTCCCTCATCGACATCCGTATCGAGTGGCTGGAGGGCTTCGACTATGTGCTTGTGTTCCACTTCGCGCCCAACGAGTACTTCACCAACCGGGTGATGCGCAAGGAGTTCTACTACGAGAAGACGGCCGCGCCGACTGGGGAACCGTCGCCGCTGGAGATGAGGGGGGATCGGATTCACTGGAAGAAGAATCATATCTTGCAGGCGGAATGTCATGCGCGCATTGGGACGAGGTCGTTCTTTGCCTTTGTGTCGAGATCGCTGGCATATGGGGATGCGCAGACGGCGGAGGAGGAGACGGTGGAGGATGCGAGGATGGTGGAGGACTTTGAGATGGGGGAGTCCATTAGGGATTGCGTACAGCCTTACGCGATGGACTTTAATTCTAAGGTGTTTGGTGTGGAGGGGAATCGGGAGGGCGAGGAGGAAGAGAATGTTGATGAGGATGAGGAGGAGGGTGACGATATGGATTGGTAGATGTTGGTGGTGTCTTCAAGTTTGGCGCAGGTGAGCCGGACTGGAAGAGAGCTAGGGTTGTAAATCATATTGGACAGTGATGATATTAGTCTGGAGTACATCTAGATGGTTGTCAACATGTCATGATCTTTCTGGCTCTATCTAGCCACAAAATAATCCTGGGATACTACAGTGTCGTCTACGTGCGCAGCAAACGAGATGGTAATCAGTGCATTAGAATATTGTGCTTATCCAGTAAGCAAAACAATAACTAATGTTCCCTATTGAAGAGAGGAGAATGAAGTGATCAAATGATCCCAACCATCCAAAAAGATCGCAGATATTTCTTGAGCCATGGTTGGGCTAAGAGCCAAAGGCCATCGTCCATAACCAGTGCCTGCATGGTCCATCAAACGAAAGCCAAATGGCATGAATGCCCCAAACGAAATACTTCGTAGCTTTACCACAGCGTAAGATATATCACTTGAAGGCGAGGTTTCACTACTTCAGGCACTTTGGACGGACCCAAGGTGTTGATCCAGGGTACCACTTGAGGCACTTTCCATTGCAACACATCCATTGATGTTCTCCACTAACTCCGCAATCCCACCACTGTTTGCAGGCCGTCTCTGTCTGTTCACCCTGGGGACCGGACTCATCGCTAGCCTTGTCATCAGGCTGATCTTCCGGCGAGCGATAGCGTCTCTTCTGAAGCTGCGTCTCGCTGCGGTCGTCGACGGCGGGTTCAGTCTCACCCGGGGTTTCTGGGGTTTCCTTGTCGTCCGTGGTGGCTTCGGAATCTTGAACTGGGGGCTTCGGGGGAACCCGTCTGCAGTCATAAACACTTTGACAGTAGCCGTTGCAGCAGAGGTTTCCAGGACGACAGTCCGTAGCCCAAGTGCAAGTCTGAGCATTGCGGGCGACATCGGGTTTGGGCGGAACATGCTTGCAATCTCCAGTTCTGTGACAGCGACCCTTGCAACAGAGCTGCTGCTTGGGGCAATCCCAGTCCCACTTGCAGACGACGGCTAGAGTGTCCGCGGATTCGTTCGAGATGAGTTCGGCGTTACTATTGGTGGTTGGGATGGACGCCACCAGGGCAGCGTAGAAGAGGAGAAGTACGTTGAGGAGCTGCATGGTGGTGAGAGGATCTCTTTTGTCAAGTGTATTTAGCGAGGGAATGACGAGAAAATCGGATGATAGGGTTATAGAAAGGAAAGGAGCGACGATTGAGAAGTAAGGATCAGATAGACTATGGTAAAGAGGGACTAAATAATGAAAAAAATATTGATGCCATTTCACCAGAGCCAGCTGGTATGTGAATAGAAACTGGTACGTGAATATCAATTTCCCCCCTCAGAGGAATATTAGGGGAAGGATTGAACATCCTCTATAGGAATTCGATCACGATGACTCGGTTCACATCCCTGAAAGCCTGTCCTTCACTCTGAAGCACCGGGTCAGAGCCGAGATGGACGGCATTCCTAGTAAGCTAACGCCTGTACCATGTATGACCTGTGCAGCCAGCCCAATCATGGGGCTGCTGTTCCGTTGTGAATTGTGAATGTATACACTCGGAGCCTCGCTCTAGCCTGATCGACCAGGGTTGTTCAACGGCGCCACAGCGAGTTTAATTAGGGAGCACAAAGGGCACCAATGAGCGGGTCAGTGGGATGGTCAACTCATCCTCCTGCAATTTTATTCTTTGTTTCCCCAGTCATGACTTGCCATATGGCGTTGTCGATTCCCTGCTTCAAGTGAAGATCGCAAGGCCACAAAACTCATCTCCGATGCTTCCATCCCTCTAGCCCTGAAGCCGTGTGGTGCTGTACAACAATACTCCGGACGGGGGGAATCAATTAATATTGAAAGCCACGGCGACAAAGTCACTTTTATGGTCAATGGCCTTTGAAGTTTTCTTTATTTTCCATTCCTTTGGTGGATTTGCGTACTATTATTGATCTATTTCTTGATCTTTGCAAGACTTGACCGAATGAATAGCGCATGTATCTTGCCCCACCTGCAGACCTGTTCCACGACTGGCGCTGATTAAGCTATTTGGATCTGATTTGTTGACGGCTTGGAATTCTCTCAGAAGAGGACAGCTGGAAAGAGGATTGCGGTTTTATTGGTTTCGTGACGATTTGATGGTGATGAACGAGATGGGATGAAAGAGTTGGCCCAATTAAGAGATATTGAGCCTGGAGGTCCCTCGGACTTATGATAGAAATGCTACCATTTTTTGATGTGATGCGAATACTATCTGATGATATTTTTGCAACGTACGTAAAACTATTGCAGTCTAGTTGAACATCGCCGATACGCCTTCCAGCAACCTTGCGTCCAAGCTGGTTAGCGACTGGCAGACAGACATATCACTAAGGGCTGAGATGCGCACCCTATACTTAAAAGCCGCCTTGGTGTCAGCCACGTCAGACTCATTCTCATCGATACGAGACGCCGGTTCGTAGCGTCAAAGCGCGAACCACACCCTTAGCATAGGTCGACTGCGCAGATAGCGCCACGAACAATGCATACATGGCTCAGGGCAGTCCAACAGCCCTCTGAAGACCGTCAATTGCAAGAGGAGAAGCGCTATAGTGACAACGTTCTCACTGCTGAGGTCCTTGAGGAGTTTCCATCTTTGGTTTCGATAATATAACCAAGAGCGACAAAGAATCCCGACCTACTACTTGGTTCAAATGTAGATCGTTGAGTTAAACATAAATGAGTTCTCCTTCTTTGACCGAAGTTCGCTTTACTAAGAATCAAATGATAGAGAATACCAGGTCAACAAGCAGCAATGTTAGTCAGGTAACAAAGAATCAGTATACCCATTTGGAAATCTATTATGATATCACCATACCTCAAGCTCGGTGTTTGCTTCGGCGTTTGGGTTTGGTTCAACTATCGGGCATTTAGGGCACAGTAGCCATCGGAAATAAAACCAGTACGACGTGTTGACTATATTTTCCCTGAATTTAGACATGCGATGGAAAGTTGGCCAGTGCGATAGCCAGAATGTCATGGTTCTGTCATTGGAGGCGAATGGTCATGTCCAGTTGCAGATATACCCGGACACTCGAGAAGAATCCGAGAAAAATATCTACCTTGAAGTATATGGAATAAGAGATATAACGAAACATCATCTCAGCGAGTCTACCTCAGCAATTCAATCACAACATGCCAAATGTAGCCCTCTGAAAGGGCGTATCGCCCGCAACCAGGTACGTACCTAAACCAACCGCTCTTCCTTATCCTGAGTATCTCAAGCTGACACAGAAGCCGATCGGCAGACGATGAATGGGGGCGAACCTGGAGCGAAGAAGGTCGGACGTGCGCCACATAAGGGGTTTTCGACTCCTTGACATATTGTAAGGTTTACTTTCAACTGTCAATTTCTACTTGTATTTGCATATAGATAGGTAATGCTGAAAAACCAATGGATATAGCATTACTAGTTTAATTCATGAGGGTCAGGGTTCTTGTAGCTCGATGGGGACAGTCGTGAGTAGTTCATTCAGTGCTGGTCATTCAACAGCCGTACCTAACGCATATATGAGTCCAAGACCAACAGAAGATCTCATGCTGCATGCATGTACTAACTAAGGGTATATGTTTGAGTAACCTCTGAGCCTCTGATTGGCTATTTTTATGCCCAATACTGCATCTGTCATAGCAGCCGGAGAGCCGGGGTTCAACTTCACTGCAACAACCGGAGGGAGTTCGGTATCCGAGCCCGGTTCAACTCCAGCCTCTGCTCGCCAGGAAGTCCAACATCGCCGAGTGGCCCAAGTCCACTTCGCCTGCGATCAATCACAAAAACTATATACAAATCCTGGAAAAATTCGTAAACGATAATATCCTAATGCTTTATTTTCTCCATAAGGCTTTGCTCAAACTATGTAGGATTATTATTGTTGACGATTTTCATACTAGGGCATACATGTCTTGATTTGCAAACTGTGCTATATATTCTTCCATGAGCAGCATTAGCTACAGTATATATCCCGACGCTGAAATCTGCCAGAAGTGCCCAGAAATTCCAGAAAGAACACTAAAACATATTCACCCTTGCACGTTTCTAATTTTTCTACATTTTTATTTAAACTTTTACCCACGCTAGAAATTTAGAGGAGTTGGTATAACTCAACCGCGGAGCAGAAAAGTCCCCGAGGGGTTGAACCCCAAGCATTACCAACCGTTGACAAATCCCACCAATCCCGAGAAATAATCAACTAAACTATTTTAAGACCATGGGGTCTGCAAAGTAAGCAGACCATCGGAGAAGCTGCCTGGATTTGAATACCTTCATTCCATAGTATATCAACTCGATAGTTTTCGGAGATCAACCTTCTGGATAGAGTGTGTCGATCGACGAATGAAAATACAAACAGAGACCATTCTACTAGAGAAGAGGCAATAATATAAATACTGAAGATTGGGAACTGATCGAGTCTAGACTAGGCTTGATGTCACTATACTATGTTCATATACTCAACCAAAGATAGAGTAGTCCAGTCGGAAATATTCCCAGTATCCTGCACGATTGACCGCAGGGACTTCAGATCACCATCATGATATCACGACATATGGACAGAATGTGTCGCGAATGGGGTTGTAATGTTGATGTGCTTGTAAACATAGGAGCTGTCTGCAGAGGGCTCTTGGATATAAATTGGTGCAACCATCGGTGTTCTGTTAGTAGTATAATCAAACAGATATCAATTCTGATTTTAAACTCCATAACCCAGCAAAACCCGTCAAAATGCCTCAGTACAGAAACGGCCAGAGTGTTATCTACAAGCCCGTTGGTGCTACGTCTCATTCCCATCCGCAACATTATATATCAATGAGTGAGAAACTGACAATCCCAATCAAAGGACCCGACTCAAGGACCCCCGAGAGTATCGGGACTGTCCTCACCGAGGCTGGAAACCAGGCTAGTCTGAACGTTCATGCGAGCGAAGAGAACCCTAGATATGAGGTGAGTTCTATTTGGGGAGCTATCTGGCTCTGACTAGGGCTCTAAATATTTCGCGATAGATTGAGAACCAGAATACTGGAAAGACGACAACTGTTTATGAGAGGAATATTCTTGGTCCTACTGAGTAGATTTTTGGTGAGGGCGAACCATGTATTTCAATGGTAGTACTTTTGTATGTAGGAAGTCTTGGTAATTGGATCTATGAACATACTGCGCAGTAGAGTCGGTATACCGATTATCTAGGCAGGCAGACTGTTGATCCTCTGTGGATAATGCCGATCATGAAGATCAACAGTCGATCACCCGAGTCATATCTATACCAAGACTTGAAAAGCCGAGTACATGAGTTCAAAATGGTGACGCTTATACTTATTCCTATTATACTTAATACATGTGAATAAATATCTCCAAACTGATAGTATAATTAAATCTTCGACCATCATGGGCTGGGAGCTAACCGTAACCCCAACCCTACAAGGCAACGATACCCGCCAAAACACCCGCAACAGCCAGAACACCCGCATTCAAACCCGGCATACTCGCCGCATTACCCGTCGGCTTAACAGCAACCGACGACGCCGTGCTCGAAGAGCCACCCGCACCAGAAGAGGCAGAGCTCGACGAACCACCTGCACGAGAAGATGAACCCGCGGCAGAAGAGGCGGGGCGAGACGAACCACCCGCGCGAGAAGAAGAACCAGCAGCAGAAGACGAAACCTGAGTGGACAGGGTAGGTGCCGCAGTAATCAGAGTACTACCGGTCTTAGTATTGGAAGTAGTGGCCGCCCCGGTAGAGGTGGCCGAGGTCTCGGAATCAGTGGCCGTGGCCGTGGCCGAGACAGCCGACGTGGACGGCGCAACCTTGCCGTTGGGACCCCAGCCGGGGAGGTAGCTGGGGGTCAGGGTCTCGGTGCCGGTGTAGGCGGCGCACCCGGGCTGGTTGAGCTTGGGGGGAGCGCGACCGCCGCCACAGTCTGGGAAATCGCAGATCTCGCCGGTGTCGGGCACGTACCAGATCATGCTGGCTTCGCCCCATTGGTTGACGGTGGCAGATTTGGTGCAGCCATCGAGATCGGTGCGGGCGGCAGCGAGGCTGGTGAGGGTGAGGAGGATGGGGAGAGTGATCGACTTCATTGTGGTGTATTGAGAATGAATGACTGGACGTTGGAAAGTATAGTAAAGGAGTGGTGACCGGTGGGGGTGGATTAAAGAGCGACGGACAGTGAGTGATTGAGTGAGTCCCCTGGAGGCGAGAAGTGGACGAGGAGAGAGGGTTGTGGCTTCTATATACTCCTGGATTTTGGTCCCTGAACTCTGGAATGCCGCTAGGAGCCTAGATCCCCCAAGTCGCAGCCTACGGAGTAACCGACTGAGTTTGTTAGCTTCATTATCAGCCCACGAATCGGTGATGCTTAACCACTCTTGGGAGTGCCGTCTCAATCGGTAATCGCATTTCTCCTGCTGGGTCCCTGGGCTAGTCTTGACTGGGTTAGGGCTAACCATGAAACCTCTCCCTCTCCGTCAATTACATTGGGCCAGAACCCCAATGGTGGAAATTAAGCACCCACTAACCATGGTCAGAGCGCAATAGTAAATCTATTATAATCTCCGGAAAACTCAGCTACTCAGCTACTGACTGACTGCCCTTGCGGTTTGCCCCAACTTAAATCTTGTACGAAGCTGTTGCCCGGCGCCTCAGCTGACCTTGTTTCTAACCAGACGGGTATATAAGCCTTCAAGTTACTAGAAAGCAACCCCTTTAATTGATTAGTCTGTTACTACTCGAGTTTGAGTTGGGCCGATCCTAGAGTTGCCATGACCCTTTTATCCGCTGGGATTTTGAGCTCGCGAATTCTTCGTGCGTCCACAAGTGGCGGAATGAGTAAACTTTATAGCGTTCACATTTTGGCATTCGAGACATCACAAATAGGTTCGATCAAGATGGATCAAACGTATCCAGGAAGACGGCTATCGCCTTTGAGAGCTCTTGGAAAGCATTTCAAGTGATCAAGAAGATCAAGATGTCCCGTAAAATAAGCGAAGAGGAATGACTGGCACTAACACGGCAGAAAGTAAGAAATGTCGAACTCGGGCATCTCTATAGGACAAGGCATTATTGTTTCGTTTGGTAAGTCTTTGAAAATCTTCAAATATCACATTCTCTCGGCCAAACCGAGAGGATTGTCAGCTAAGTTAAAGGGACATACCGAAAGTATTAGTCGTACAGAAAACTCTCAAGAGGCAGCGCGGTTTTTAAGTTTCAAAAGGGGCTATGGCTTTCAAAAGCATATTAAGCCAATGATGTCAACATCATAACATTTCGGATTCTCGTCCAGCATGCTCGACTGTGCGGCAAATAAGCCAGTACAATTAAAACAACCGCAGCTGTGGGAGTTATGCTGCTTGTTACTTCATTAATTCATTAATTCGGGCATGCGCATCGCCGCCAGACCATTTCATGTCCATATAAACGTAGTACCAAAGGCAACAGGAACAAAAGTAATCATTGTACTTAGACAGGAGGCAAATCGGTCGCAGAAGATTTGCGGCGTTCCTTCTGGACATGTGTCGTGTCTAAGAGAATAGGATGGCCCTCGCACCATCAAACACAGCCGAGGACCATCATGAGTGTCATTTGTCGACCGTGATACCAGTACGAAGTGCCCGGTCGAAAATGTCCAACACACACAGGTATGTGATGTCCTTGTAGTCTTCGGAGATGACGGTATGTGCTAATATCCCTTTGTAGACGAGCTTCTTGTTGAGCGGACGTAGCCTTGATTACAACTATATCCCCATGGGACAACAATGTGGCCTTGAGAATGAACCCTGTGCGGCCGCAGATGTGCAGCTGTTCAAATCCGCTCTCTCGGTCTTGGAGAAGTTGACAATGCAGTCGTCTAATGAACTGTTTTGACCCAAACGGATGCTTTCCCAAGCCATGCTCACGCACATCCGGACACTGAGGATCTAGGTATTCTTGAGTGAGCAAGCCACGAATGCATGCCGTGGTGCAATAAGGCCTGGAGGTGCAGCGTGTATTTAGGTTCTTGGCCTCAACCATAGTCGCTTCACCATCTGCACGCCCACATCTTTGCCGTCGGCCTCGCTTTCCCTGCCTTTCTTCTCTCGCAGGAACCTGATCGGTGCTACCCAGCCTTCTCTTTAATGCCAGTTGGGGTGAAGGCGATGGAACATCATTATCGCTCTCCCTGCTCTCCCCGAGCTGTGTCTTGGGGTTGCCCCGATAGGCCGACAGTTTGCTTGCGATCGTGTATTATACGGCGACCGTTTGACCGGCTTCCAATGCGACGGCCTGTAGTTGGAGGTAGGAGGCTCTTTCCGTAGTGATTCTGGAATGTCTCGCAATATATCAATGTATTCGACTTTCCACGTTGATAGTCTCTGATTAGCAACATTGTGCCACTCTTGCGATGGGGGTTCAGTCACATGCGCGTTGAGAGTGAAAGAGAGGGTTTGGCCAACAGCAGTCCGATGAAGTCGAAACTCCTTCTCTCTCAACAACTGCCCAGGGGCTTGATGGTTGAACCCTCAAT